TTATGTACAAAAGATGGTTACAATCCGCTTACCCGTTTCAGAGATCCAGCAAACCCACAAACGTTACTCCAGCAGGATTTTGAATAACTTCGCAGCCGAAGAAAATACAAATACCAAATAAGTTGTAACATTTACCTAGTCCAGATAACTAATTATTTAGCTAAAATTTATTTCAATATTACGATTAAAAAAGAAAATGTCTGGCTGCGGTAACGTTTCAAACGTTACCCCAGCAGGAAATGTTTTTTTGAAATAACTAAAAAAGTTTAAGTGAAACAAATTTAAAAATGTGCCTAACAATTACAGAAGGGGAGCAACTAATTATCTATAACGTTTAAATGACCATTTTCGACATTATTTTGCTGGGGTAACGCACACGATCCAACCAAGACCTTACGAAATAAGTAATAGTGTAGGTATATCTTCAAAAAAAAATTAACCTGTCTAATGTGCGGTTCGATTCGGCGATTTTTTTTTTTAATGGGACTAATCCCACCCACACGCCCACCACTGTAACTCCTGTACACCAGGATCCACAGCAGTGACCCACGAACACACCGAGTTATGACACTCGGGACAGCAGTAACGATCAGGCCACTGGCAGCCTTACGTGCCGCATTACCTTATTACAGAATTCTTGGTGAGGCAGCTGATCCGCGAGTATATGATATCGTAAAACCTCACATCGCGAGCGTGGATCTTACAAGTCGCCATGGTCTTCGTCGTGTACTTAAAAATTATGATTGGCTTCCTGTTGTCATGAAACCTGAATATTGTGCACTTTTGTGCCTTATCCTTGATAAAGTTGCTGATGGTAATGCGGGTGACGTTCGTCGCTATCTGATGACATGTCTTCCTCAAGTTGGTGAGGATCTGCTAAAGAACTTGTTAACAGAAACGTTGAACAAGGTTGATGATGATGTATCTTTCCCAGCTATTGTCATCCGATATTTAATGCTGAGCGAAAGCGACGATGAAGAGAAATCTAGGTTTGAACAGATAGGACAACCGTTTTTGGAAAAAATTACTTCGTTTCGTCAGGGGGACGATGAATTTCGAGGTCAGTATTTTAAGGAGAATCTTGACCAGATTATGAGTTCTCTACAGTACAATGCAGCATTTTTTGATATGAAATACAATAATTGTTTAGTGGTCATTAAGAGGGTTTTAGCTTGGTTGTCGAATGTGTTGACCAAGGAGACACATTTTGAAGAATACGCCAAAATACACGCCACTATGTTATACTATAAAGCAATTCGACAGAGTATGAAACAAAAACCTGAAATATTCGACGACCCCGTGAAGAAACAGACCGAAGGCGTAGACGTCGTGGGTTCTACGTTCGGACGTTATATTGTTAAAGAAGTGGCCTTACTGAAGTCTAATTACTTTGACTCGGTTATGGAGTTATACCGCAATGCGTTTACAGACTATTTGAGCAGTTACTTTGTATCTGGCGCTTCTAAAGGTAAATTCATAGCAGCACTTATAAAGTGTATGCTCTCAGAAAGTGTTGGAAGTGAGGCCCGATTGGCAGTCCATATTCTAGAAACATGTCAGTATAGCTTAGAAGATGCTGTAAAGGAAGAAATCATTGAGCTTTGCCTGGAAAGTGAGGATAATGAGGTTATGTTCTTCATGCATGCCGAGATTTTTGCTTAGTGTTTTGCTATGGCAAAACACTAAGCAAAAATCCCAGGAAGAAATTAAACTGTCTTGGAACCCGTAACGAAATTAATCAGAAGAAAATTGGAGGAGTTGGAAATACAGTAAATCCAGTAAATACAGTAGATTATGAAAAAAAATATCGCAAAGAATTATCTTTAAATTATCTAATTAAATACAGCCGATATATCGCACCAAGGGCTACAAATGCATCCCCACCTTAAATTAAAAGAGCTAAATGAAAAAATGAAAGTATTGATTATTAAAATTAGTTTTATTATCACATAAATACGATAAAATACCTCCGACATACCCTTTATGTCTAACAGTTACACACTTGATTACCTACATATCAGAAACAGTAGAGAAAACTCAATTTCTTATCTCAAACGACACGACTTCTTGTTATAACAGACTTACACCCAAAAATATCCGTGACGGTAGATTTAAATCTTAAGACTAGCAAAGTAGATTATAACAATATTAACTTCTTGAACGTATTGTCGTCTAACGAAACACGATTCTAAAATTAAATACAATTCACTTTCATTTGTCACGTAAGTTAACAATGGCGTTGAGAGTACATCGACAGTGTGATGATCGACATTATACGCCCCAATCTCTCGATTGCAAGACATACATTTTAATATAATAATAAGCGAGTCACATGCTAAAACCAATTTATTATTCAATATTAATATAGTTAAATATTGATTCCCCCAGTCACCAAACTGAATTATAAATAAGAACAATTTTTTTTCGATTTTTTTTTCTACAGTGTCAACAAATAGTAAACACCTGCATAATATTTGTCGAGTTTTAAAGTCGTGTCTTCTGACATAAAAATGTATTGTAAGATATCTGTATATAATACATATTTCATTATAATATATAATGGAGCACAGATAAAAAATATTTGAAAATTACTTCACTTAAAGTGAACATTTGTTCAATAATCCTGTGTGTAAAATTGATATAACAAAGCCTTGTTTCATCATTTTGAATCAGACTATACTAGTTGTGATTTTATTGTTGGCACTGTACCACTGTAGTAAATGTAGCAATTAAAATTATAAACGCGAGAATGTACGTACACACACACACGGGAACACAATCTATAATCTTTATTCAACAATATTTTGTAAAGAAAAACATATTTTTAGCATGATGATGAAACAGGGCTTTCATTTATTTAAAACATCACTATCTAAATAAGGACAAATACAAAATACTTGAAAGTATTCATGAAGGCGTGCAAAAACAGTATTGTATTAAAATTTATAACAATGTAAATAACGTTCACTTAACATCTTACGGAGCCATAAAGTTCTAAGTGTACTAAACCAAATTAAAACTATAAGGTTTGTAGATATGAGTCGTATATATTGCCGTCGGGGCCAGGGGTTGTTATTTTTATCCTTACTTTTCGACCTCCGGCCAAAAGGTAGGTTATAGATCCAGCATAGATACAAATCAAAACTATCTTATTAACTTCACTTGTAGAATGCATTCTACAATCTATCATTATACACACTTTTTTTAGTGCATTAAATTTGTTAGTAAAACAGGGCTATTTGGCAGATTTGAAACATTTATAAATATATTACAGAGAGCCCAGTAGGTTGCCTTAAGGGGGTATCCATTAATTAGGACGTGTTCTCAACCCCATAGCTAAATTTGGTACAAATCACGTAAGGTATGTTCATAAACTCAAAATTAATATAACGTTAGTGTACAAATGTCCTTCAAAACTTCACGTGATATTTTCTTCACGTCTGACTTGACGTTCACGTAATTAATTGATGCCTCCCTAAGATGTAGCTTTCAGTTACAGCACTGTTGATAAGCATTCATAGAAATTCTATAGCAAACCTGACGATTTTCTGTTATTTTGCCTAAATCTAGAGCGGCAGTATATAGATTTCATGACAAATCCTATTTCTCACTGAGTATCAATACACTGAAATCTTGTCCTTATTACTTTGAAATATAGCTGCATTCGGTTTGACACTGTTTGTGTTGAAAATACATACGAAAAATAAATGCTATTTAAAGACTGAATTTTATAAAAATCCCTTTTTTATGTATTACTGACACAATTGTTTTATCAACACAGTATTAATATACAGTGTCAATTCGAATGTGTCCTTAGGTATGTAGTTTAATTGCGTTTGTATAGAAAAACTACTATTTCTATCACATTGTATATTATTATGTACACCATAACCTACTGATGTAAATAGGTAGGCACACATTTTTTTGCTACACTCTCAATATTTTCCGACATCTGACACACAACGCCATCTAGTTTCAAACTAAGCAGAGTTTTTACTATGAAAGATGAAAGCTAGATTGACTGATGGAATACTTTTACACTTTTTTTATAACATATTCTAGTCCACCGAAACGTTGGACTGAATTTTGGGAGGCCCACTTCTAAACCATCCAGCAAAGCAGGTCGGGGGTAAGTGATGTCCACATTTCTCTAGTTGAGGAGCCCTATCGGCTGTATAGACGTTCTATATACTGATTAGTTACTTCGAATCGAACGTCGTCGTCAATTTTGCAAGTTGGCACAATACCCTGCTGTGGGCATATTTTGTAAATCCCGTGTCCTGAAACAGTGGCAAATCCTTTTTTTCAGGTATGCAGTTTGATCCTCAAGAGTGTAGCAAAAAACGTTGGGGCCTCTAAAATAGTTTTGTGGTCCGTCCTGTCTTTTGAACCAGATTTAGATACCTTTACAATTTCCTCTACAGAGTGCCATGAATCTGCAGTGCAGATAATGGGTATCTCTGTTTCAAAACGGGTTTTTTATACCGTTTGCTGTCTCGTCGGAATTGTCGTGCGATACCTGTTGCGTTCCTGTGCCAAAAACGGTTAAATACTATGTATTAAACCATTTTTGGAACAGAAAACTTCGGGTCTTTTATTGTGTTTTGAGAACACACTTCACATTTGTCACCTATAAGCAACGTAAACAGAAAATAAAAATATGTTAGAAAGTGTGTCTTATAAATCTTGCTAGTTCTTTCGTCAGGATCTACACAATGAAACAGGTTGGTAGCACAACTTCGTTCACAACCGACTTATTCTGACTCACTCGTACTTTAGAATAATCAAAAACTACTATATAATCTATATATATATATATATAAAAAGAGAGATAGTTTTTGTATATTACAACGACAATATGCCACAACAAAGCATGGCAGTGTACAGCTGGTTGTTTATAATTTCATTTTAACTCACAAGACTACCATTCATAGCTACTCTCTACTGAATAAGTAACTATACAAACGCAGCCAAACAACAACCTACCTTAACACTAGAACTTAATAACTAAAAGTGATACGCCACTCCTGGGCCATTTTGGCGCCTGGTTTCCTCACCACCAAGACATCATTGCCTTTGTGCAGTGTCATCTGTAGTGCGGTTTGTTTGTCGCCTTGGATCAGCTTGGCTGTCTTTGGGGGGGTTTTGATGCCGGCGATCACAATGCGTTCTACCCACGAGCGAGTCGGATAGTGGGCTTTGTCGTCAATAAACCTGAGAAAAGAGATTTAATTAATCTTTTTTTTCTTTCTTTAAAAAAAAAACTCCCGCATTAGGAATAAATCCTGTGTCGCGGGGGACTTTACAAACATTCATGAAATGGATACAAAGGACATCCAGACTCAAAACAACAATTTGTGGATCACACAAAGTGTCGTCCCATGTGGGGTTTGAACCCACGACACTCAGCGCAGTAGGAGGCGGCGTGGAGACCGCTTAAACCATTACGCCATCCGTGCAGTCAATCATTATAATATAGATACTATAAAAGACTATGTACAGGTTTTAAAAAATAAATAATAGTGGTTTTATTAAATTTTAACTTATAGCCAAAGTTCCGCCTCATTATTTCAGTTATCTGGCAGTGAAATCGACATTTCTACTGGCGATATTGGTACAGTAATTGAGATTAAATAAATATTTTGTTTGTCAACTTTTCCTTCTATTTACAGTGCTGCTGTCGTGTGTAGTTTGCCCCCTTAGTGGGTTCTTACGCCACCCACGGCCTGAATAGGGGTGGGTGACGTTCCGTATTCTTAATCCGTCACCAAGTCAACCCGTCAGGCCAACGTGGTATAGTAGGAAAACCTCGTTAAGGAGACGCCTATGTTACTATGGCTGTTGCTGTGGCTATGTTATAAAGATGAAAGCAGTACTCACGAGTAAGTGATGCCTGAGGGCTCGTAGTCGATTCTCGCGTATATGTGTTTGTTGTTGAGATACTCGTATGTCTCGCCATCGTCGATGTACAGCGTGCCGTGAGCCTTGTTCTGTGTGACATACATTTGTTAGTTACCAAGTACTAATGGAGTATTCTTCTACACGGTGAGTAGTAGCATCGAAGATTGAGTATATAAGGCTACAGCAGGTTCTCAATTAGACTGTTCGCAACGTGGCATGTTCGCCACTATATGACGTGTGACATATAATGTGAAAAAAAACTGAATATTATATTTTTATTATGCTGTTTTATACTAATTTCTACAAAATAATTTTGATGTTTCATATTTGCCAGACGTTCCGCGATAGCTCAATTTTTTTTAATAATAATAACAATAAAATTTATTCGCCAAATAAGATTAAGGCCTTAGGTTTCCCATTTTTATATGATTTACATCTTATTGTCATTAGATTCTTATAAAGCTTATTATTAAAAATGACACAAAACTAATATATGACTATTCTAAAAGGAATGAAAACGATTTTTATCTAAGTTGATATAGATAGGTACACTTATACAGTATTTTATTTTTATTTTATTTTGTTCGGAATACCAACAGTACAAATAACGCAAGGTAAAACATTAGAGTAAAGTTTCAACGAAGCTATTTACAGGTATTCTTAAATAGATTTCTAGTGTGAAATAACAGTTCAAGTAACTTAACAACAACAACAACTTAGAAAAAGGAAAAAATAAAAACTTAGACTAAGAAAATGTCACGCTCCTAATATTGGGCTGAAAAATTTTTTGAAGCATGTATTTTTTGACATGTGAAGGTCTGGATCTGAAATCTGGATTTGAATATGTACATATATATACAGTAACAGCTATGAAGGTGGCACTCACGTCAGTGTCGAGCGCAACGACGAGCGTGTAGGGGTCGTCGGCCATCAGCGCGGAGGAGCGGCGCACGCGCTCCTTGCGCGGGACGATGCTGCCGCCGCGCTGGTACACCGGGATCTGGACACGCCGACAGGGCTCGTATTACGTCATCATCGAGTTATCACAGTATAGTGCGAGAGCTTGTTATTGATATCATTTAGGAACAGTGGACTATGGTGACGAATATAACGTATCATTTTTCTAATTATTTTTTTGGTGTATTTAAATTATAAGAATATTCTTTTATCGAATGACTACTTAAATATACTCTATGTAGAAAATAATTCACATTATAATATGCCACTGTTAACACTTAAGTTCACAGTGCAGCAAATTTGTGAGTATAAATGTTATTATGGCCACAGAATACATAATAGTACTAATAATGAACTTCCACTGTGTACAATAATTTAAATAAATAGCGATTCTCGCACCGACACAATAGTGTGCAAATTAGATCGCATAGCGCTAATCGCCTGCAGTTATGTTCACCTACAAGTTGCTTCTCTTTCTATCGTGTCTTCTCCCTCTCTGACAATATCATGGGTGTTTTTTTACCTTTCGGTAGTATTAAAAACTGTACCTAAATGCTTTTAATTTAATTATGGTTAAGTAGGTAAGACATATCTGCAGGACGAGGCCGTAAGGGACTTGTAGTTGGTACCTTGGCGATCGTGACGTCCTGCGTGAAGTATCCTCTGGCTGGGAGTGCGACGTACGAGTCCACGTCGTACCACAGCACATTGTTGGCGGCGCCGGGCAGGTACACCTTGACGCTGGTGACGCCGGGTTCCACCACCGGCCGCACCAGGAGCTTGTCGCCTGCACACCAGCGATACGTTAGTGGGAGTGTATTACATATGTACCCACCCAAGTGCGAAAAAAAAACGTATTTTTTGTACTATTTAAAATTTCTTTTTAAAGTTATAAACTACATTTAGTTACACTAAGCAAGATATCTTGCATTGCATTAAAAAGCACCAAAGGTATAATAACAAATTTATAAAAAAATACGATTATGCGACAGCTCAGATTGCTTAGAAGAAATGAATAAACTTTCGTTATCCTTTAATACACCACTTCAACTTACCGATTAAGTACTGATCATCAATAGTGAAGGTCTCCTCCTCGTTAGGATATTCTTGGTAAAGCGCCCTAGTTACGGGTAGACCGTCAAGAGTATGCTCGTAGAACAATGTATACCTGAACAATATTTATTATTTATTTTAAATGTTCTCTATATACGCGTATATTGTGCGGCTGTATGTAATATACACTAACCAGAAGTCGAGAAGTGCATATCGCTTGCGCAGAGCATCTCTAAGAAGCGCAAGGGTCGAGGCGTCGTAGAGCCAGGGCTCGCGCCGCTTGGTCTCGATGTGCGAGTGAGCACGCATAAACGCCTGGTAAGCAGCCGCCTGCAAAAACATACTCATAACATTATTCAAACTTTTCATATTAATCTTACGAAATCGCACAGTAATGGTCCTTCGAGCCAGTTCATTACGAAACTTCTGGTCCTATATATATATATACACGGTGATTTTTTAGGCGTTTTGGAAACGAAACATTTTAATTTGGAATCATCTATAGTACCAATAAAAATGATTAAATCAATTGTAATGTTGTCTAAAAAAAAGTTTCAGTTTTAATATTCATTTTTACTCGATCGACTTGGAAAGTAGTAATGGACTGATCATTCATTCATTATCTTTTTTCTTCTTCTTCTTCTTCTTAAAAAGACAACTCCCGCATTAGGAATAAATCCTGTGTCGCGGGGGACTTTACAAACATACATGAAACGGACACAAAGAACACCCAGACTCAGAACAACAATTTGTGGATCACACAAAGTGTCGTCCCATGTGGGGTTTGAACCCACAACACTCGGCGCAGTAGGAAGCGGCGTGGCGACCACTTAAACCACTACGCCATCCGTGCACACTAACAGCAGCTGATAAAAGTATACCTATAGGCGCGAGCTAGCGAGTACTCACGTAGATAGACTCCAATTTGTCCTTCATACTTTACACGGGCTTAGGATCGTCGGAAATACCTATTTTATTTAAACTTCTTTTCGATTATTAACCACGATTGTTCTTTTCACAACAAATCAATTTATCAACGGACTGTAGGTATAAATATTTCAAGCGTATTTAAAAAATCGGAGCTATCTACAGAATAATTAACTTACATACCTATTTACACTTCTCTGTATCGAAGCAACTGCTCAAAATGGAGTCCGCTGCATTCAATACACAAACGTCCACGTTTAATGCAATTGTTTTTTAATTTTCTTAATGTGTCTCTATCACTTTTCACTTTATCAAAAGCGTCCACTATCGCAATGCGTAAATTATCACGACTTTCATATTCCCGTGTATAAACAAGTATTTTTATTTCCGACCATAAGAAAAAATCCAGGGGCGTTAAGTCCGGGCTTCTAGGTGGCCAAGGCACTGGCCCTCCTCGACCTATCCACCGATCACTAAACTCATTGTCCAGGTATGCACGCACTACACTCCGGCGAATAATAATTTAAACGTCCTTGACCTTTCGCGTGAGTATAGTATTTCTATTCGTAGTATTTACCTACTTGCGATTGAAAAGCCCTACTACTGGTTCTCACCTTTTCTCTGTAATCGATATGAATATCGACTTTGATGATAAAAAATATATATATTTTATTAAATTAACGTTATATATAGCTTCTATTACTGATAAATAACTCAAAATTTTCTTTTCCAAAACGCTTTCAAAATCACCGTGTATATAAACACATAATATTAACTGACCTGATACCAGCGGGTCATGAGCTCAGCCTCCGGGTACTTGAAGAACCCTCCGACGTCGGAGCCGCAGAAGCTGACGCCGGCGGCTGCGAGCGAGAGGCACATGGGCACGGACACGGCCAGGAAGCCCCACTCCGCCACGTTGTCGCCCGTCCACACCGCCGCGTACCTGCCGTACACGGGTAACTCATACTCTACTGCAGATACACAACTACATTACAGTGTAAATACAATACAGTGTATAGACGGCGTAACAAAAAATTTTGTAAAAACGTATTTCTGTTTATCCATCACGATGTAAAAACCATATCAAGAATTGATGAGCATTTTATTCATGATACTAAATGTATATACCAAATTCATTTCGTCCAGCAATTTATTCGATCTTGGGAGTTCAAGTAGCACACAAACAAGTGAAAGAGAGGGAGACTGCAAGAGGGGAGAATGATATAAGAAAATTGGCAACTTACAAATTAGTTTACAACTATTGAGGAGCCTATTTTTATATAGTAATTGCATTCATAACCGGTTAATTCTATCAAAATACTTATTGCTGCTGAGGATATTATATTACGAAACCCACTTCCTTGATAGGACATGTGTACTTACCTCTGAGTGCCGGCGAAGACAGCTCGCGTGAGAATGAACGGCCTGTACTTTCCCTCATCCCGTTTCAGTATTCCACTGTGTGATGCGCGAATGACAAATAAACCGTACTCATTGTGAATGTGTCTGGAAGTATAATATAATTAGCGTAAGGTTATTGAAAACAAACACACTTCATAATTTTACCATTCTTTCTTTAAAACATAATTTATGTTTAATAATTTTATTAATGATATATATATTCTCAAATTACAGTTGTTTTATTAAATCATTAATATACGGCAATCCTTTATTATCATGGTCTTTCGAGCCTATAAATTTTCTTAACATATAATTTTTAGGGGTTGTAGCTATAGCTATATAAAATTTATTAACACTGCTTGCAATTACCTGTGTTCCCAGTAAGAAGAAACCCCTTCGTGGCCGTCCTGAGGTGGTTTGTAGTGTTGACAGTCCTTTGGCATAGTGATCTCAGGGCCATTGAACACCTGCATGACAAGAGCAAAATGGGTAAATAAAATTTGTGTGCTATCACGCCTTACGTTAGCTATCATTTTATCTCTAACATTCATTTATGAATTGTTCATTCGCTGTTGAGTCATCGGGAAGTTATTATTATACAGACACTCACGTCTTTTATTCCCGAAGGAGTAATCAGAGGTGTATTAAAAGCCCATATTTTTTAAATTTACATGTATACCGGTGATGAAACTCACACTAGGTTCGTTCATGTCGTTCCAGAAATGGACATCTTTGGAGGTGCCAGGGAAGTTCTCGTACAGATACCTGTCGGAGTAATACTGGCTCGACACCGGGTCCAAGAAGTCGATGTACGACGAAGATCCTGGCCAGCACCAACCTGGAGACAACGAATTATTATAAAATGAATGTTATCCTATTACTTGATAAGTTGGTTCCTCCTCCACTTCGCGCACTAGACAGCTACGACCAATGGCCACAACGACCAGATATTAATTAAAAAAACCATACAAACGTCGCACTTGCCTGCAACGGTCAACTGGCCACATACCGGGCCGGGCACGACTGATCGTTCCGACCAACCCAATTACCCAAGTATAGTTTATTATGAGCGATCGAGTCAGCCAGCGGCGGCCAGCTATTCTGTTACAGTGTCATGCAAGAATATGGCGACGCCTTTTCCACATAAAGTACAGACATGTGATTTCTATGTCCAATACCATATAACAACCGCAGCAACTCGATGGTGGCCGTGGTCACAAACTTGGCCGCAGCCCAACTGTAGCTACTTGGTCAAAGTCTGGTCTTGGTAAAAAAAGACGACTGGTCGTGGTCGTGGATGTCTAGTACGCGAGGTGCCTAAAGCTTTTAGTACAAATAAAAAAAAAACAAGACAAATTTAACGGGAATGAAAGATTTCTTGGAACTTGAACAGAAACTGCAAAATGTTTCATTATTTAATTATTAATTTGCCAATTATTAAACGGGATAAACAAATCAGCTGTTTATTGATGAATATGAACTGAATATAATTTATATAAAAATATAGTCAGTCACCAAATAAATTTGGGATAGGTATGGTGGTATTTTTTTTGACTGCACGGATGGCGTAGTGGTTTAAGCGGTCGCCACGCCGCTTCCTACTACGCCGAGTGTTGTGGGTTCAAACCCCACATGGGACGACACTTTGTGTGATCCACAAATTGTTGTTCTGAGTCTGGGTGTACTTTGTGTCCGTTTCATGTATATTTGTAAAGTCCCCCGCGACACAGGATTTATTCCTAATGTGGGAGTTGTCTTTTTAAACGAAAAAAAGAAAGAAAGACTTATGTGGCGACTTGTCCCTACTGAATATCTGAATAACCAATTACCTTCATAATCCTTTCCATCCTTATCCTTGACATAGTAACCTTTGTCTGTGCAGTCCTCGTGCACGAAGTAGCCAGCCTCGCGCTTAATGTGGGGATCGATGATGATCACCATCTTACGGCCCTTCGCCGTCAGGTTAGCCACCATATCGTGAGGGGTTGGGAATTTCACCGGATCCCAGGTGAAGTACCTTTGTGATATTTTATTTATTTAGTTAAGACATTGTGTTCTATTTATTTTTATACAGAGAGTACCCGGTTTTTGGAGCGATTATGCATGAAATTTATATGCCGAGGGGTCTAGTGGTCTATTTCCAAGTGATACACTCAGATTTATCATGTGATTATATTAAAGACAAACCGACTATCACTACACGATGTTATAAAAGACCTACTGCCGTAAGAGAGGTGAATAAAAACCAAAAGCTCGAAAGCTACTGTAATGAATACCGCAAATCTCAGATGAAAAAAAAAGGTATTTAATCAATGAATGAATTAAAGAATTCTCATTTTATCGCTACTGATCCAGTATTACTTTAGGGGCTTCATTAATCCAAAATAAACCTAACACCCTTAAAATAAGACTCACTTCTTCCCGTTTGTGTATTCGATGTCTAGCCACAAGACGTCGGCGGGCAAGTCATGAGTGTCGAACCCTTCGTTTACGGAGCGGACGTCAGCCTCGTCCACGTAGTTCCACCGACACTGGTGGTACGCCAGAGAGAATTTCTAAAACAATCGATGCCGTGTGTTTTTATGTGAGTAATTTTTTTAAAAATGCAGTTCGAACTTAGTTTTAGTTGTAAATATATGACATAACGCAACAAGTCGCTCCAACATCTAAGGGGTCCCGGTCCGGCCCTATACAATGCAACATCAACAAAATACATGTGTAAGTAAAACCTCACAACTTTAATAAATAATGTTGCGCCATAGGATTAAGTGGTTCCTGTGTTGCTTCTGCAGGACTGCACCATCTGAGATTATGGTTCTTAATTCCGATACTTGCTTGCAGTGCCATCTAGTGTCGAACATCGGAAGATTATAGAAATTTGTAGATTCCTTATTGTACGTGGTTCTGTCTGGGACATTCCATAGGATCTTGGGGAGTAGTCTAGTGATTTCGATAGCACTATTAAAGAGGAGAGTGTTGGCCGTACGGACAGTATTGATTTACGACACAACGAATTAACATCGAAGCGAATTTCTAGTACGACTAACGAGTTATATAGTGATTTCTTGTTTGTAATAGTGAGTGTTTGTAAATACAGTGCAATAAAAGTAATTAACCAACAACTTTTATTTATTATATACCCCGCTCGTAACAATAATAATGTTTAATGGTTCTCGGAAAGTAATACTAACAGGTTCATAGACAGAAACTGCTGCAATGAGTTATAAAAGATGCATGTCAGACTATACTGGTTTCCAATATAGGCTGCATCCAGTATAAAATAAATTTAACAAAAATCCAGAACACGTTCATAGACATCATACGCTGAAATATTTAAATGTAATAAAGTACCTAGTATTTTTGAACTAGTTGATAACAAAAGTATTTCTACTAATAAAAACTGTTTTGCGTCTGTTGTTTAGTTTAAATTAGTTTATTAAATTAAAAAAATATTATTTAAATATTAGTTTTAAAAACCAGCCCTCAGCTCTCATAATCCTTGGGTCACAGGGCAACTGCTGTCGTGACTTCACGTCTACGCTGCTTTCCAGCAGTGACGTCACAAATGTGACTTCAAACGGAAGACACAACAGCCCCCCCTCCGGCATGAGTTTTCATCATTGGGCATGGCTCTTCATTAAATTAAGTTTTAATTTTATCTGCTAGTGCTATTTAAGTAAATGGTATAATGGCTATGGTAATACTTACAGGAGGCAGGGGAGCAGTTCCAGTGATAGCTGTGTACTGACGCAGCACATCATTCGGCTTGTCCCCGAGAAATACGAACACGTCAATCACGTTCGCTTCAGACATAAACCTGAAACATTCACAATCGATTATGGCTCTTATCAACAACAGAACTCGGTATAATGTCAGAGTTATTAACTGATATTCGAGGCAAACAAGAAATAACTAATTTTAAGCAATTTTGTAAACCAGTGCTGCTTTATATCACAAACTAACTGACCCGCACAAATTCGTGTGTGTTACTCAAAAGGAATTAAATTTCCCCGGTTTTGCAACATTTTTGATCTACTCCTATTGGTCCGTATATACCCTTCCTGGATGAATGGCTGTATTCAATTCGAACTAGCAGGTTCCTAAGATTAGAGTGTTCCCTAAAACAATCTTCAGCTTTATAATATTAGCAGTAGATTTTGGCTCTCGACGGAGCTCCAGTGACTATTCTAACTAGTACAAAAACAACTGGTAAAATAACTTATTAACGGTTATATACGGCCAGTTCGTGATGTCCAAGTTAAAACACCAGTCCAAACACGAAATAAAAAATAATTACACGAGCGTAGCCGCGGGGAATGGCTAGTGAGGACTATTTTTACTGCTTTGCTGTCATATACTGTTAGATTTTTATAAGTGGAGAACATTTATTTATTTATTTGACGACCGAATGGCGTAGTGGTTTGTGTAACGGACTGCTATTCCAAAGGTCGCGGGTTCGATTCCCGCTCAAGTCAAACATTTGTGTGCATGAACATTTAATGTTTGATTTGGTCTGGGTGTTTCTATGTATAATAAGTATGTATTTACAAAAAAAAAAGTATTTATGTATTTATATCAGTTATCTAGTACCCATAGTACAAGCTCTGCTTAGTTTGGGACTAGATGGCGTTGTGTGAATGTGGTAGAATATTATTATTATTATTATTATTATTATTATTTATTTAACTTACCGTGCGTCCACACGCTTCTTCTGCCCACCGGTGACGAGATTCACAAGTGAAGATACAACAGTGCTGTCAGCGTAGTTGATAACATCCACCCAGGTTTCAGCTGAATTGTGCCAGAATATACCCGCAGAATGCTTCGCTCTAAGAGAAATACATACAATTTAATAAAGAGATTCAGAAAATAAAGACTTATTTTGTAGTTCATTAATTGAGTGACTTTTGTTACAAGCCCTCAGATCTCATAATCCTTAGGTCATAGGGCAACTACTGTCGTAACCGTCAGTTACGCTGCTGTGACCAGCAGTGACCTTATAAATACAAAGCCAAACGTCATATCACGACAGCCTCCCCTCCGGCATGAGTTCTCATCATCGGGCACCAGGTATAACTATTACTCATTTACATCTACCATAATTTCATTTTAGAACCGTTTGTTATAAATATTGACGGATTAACAATACGGAGTGTCACCTATTCATCCCGTGGGTGTAGTGAGAGCTAACTAAGGGAGCAAACTATGCAAGGATAACAGCACTGCTAATAGAAGGAAAACTTGACAACCCGTCTGGCAAGCGTGATATGGTAGGCCAATTCCTCCTTTCTAAGGAGAGGCCTATGTACAGCAGTGGACTACTAAAGGCTGTTGAAGAAGAAATATTATTTTTGAAGGTCATATGCGTAACGTCATTGTATTTCTATGTTTTTTGATGATATAGGGATCAAACGAGACGTGTTACGCACGGCTGTTTCCTTAGAGAATAGACTGCTGATGGAATGGTTTTGTGAAGATTTTTTTTGTGTATAATAAATGCACGTGAAAATCATTACCCATAAAAATTAATATCCATCTATATATATGTTGTATTTATTTTCCATGCGACTGTGCTACTTACCCATGTGCATACATAACTGGTACAGCACCATATAAAGCCATGCGGCTGTCGAGCTCATACTCAAACACATCCAAATTGTAAAGCCGGTAAGGATCGCCAGATGTCGTGGTGCGAAGAGCCAGCTTGTCCGTGTGTTCGGGAATACCTGCGAACACACAGTGAATGTAATTTAAGAAGAGTTAACTTCTGAAAAGGTATCACACACTTCAATTCGAATACATGTAATTAATTGTAATCAACTGTATTTTGAATTTTTGTCACCCTTATAGGTGGTATTTTGTCCTCAGAACGGAACCAAAAAGAAAACAGTCTCCCAAATATAAAAAGAGTTATCAAAAACCGTTTCAAAATAACAGAGTTCTAAATGCATGAAAAAAAACAAAGCTGAGTAAAGAATCCCCTTGTTTTGAAGTCGATTAAAAAAGTGGTGAAAGATTTCGTGATGACAATCAGTTGTGATTTATAATTCTTAGTTTAGAAACTGTGATTAAGAATAGACTACTTTTAAACTGGACCTGTAAAAACTTAAAAGCAGCGAGAATGACATGTTATATGTTGTTTCAATATCCCACATGATTACCATAATATAAAAAAGTAAAATAAAAAGGCATCTTATTAAAGCTGTTTATATAATATGCGACGAATTTTCTATACGAGTTTTGTTGATAACGTGTTTGTTTAAAATATTTATTGATTAACATTTTATAAATATACTAGTATAAGTTACATAACCAGATTATACATTAATTTCGTGATACATATTTGGCAGTGGCTGAACGCCGCTTTTAAACTTTTGTTTTCAATTAAAGTGTACAGTACGTATACGCCCATATAATAATGTTTTTGTAAGCTTTTGTTTAACTTGAAATGTTTGTATATTTATATGTGTTCGTCATGAATCTTGGAAGCTAAATTAGAATCACTTCCCGGTGTCCGATTATTGACGACCGGATGGCGTAGTGGTTTGTATAACGGACTACTATTCCGAAGGTCGCGGGTTCGATGCCCGCTGAAGTCAAACTGTATTAACGAATGGTGTACATATATCCAAAACCTCCTTTCTAAGGAGAGGCCTACGTCTAGCAGTGGATCACTGAAAGCTGTTGATGATGATAAAGATGGGTCTTGAATGACAATATAATAATACGGTACCATTGTCTTCCTTTGATATACGTTTCCTTTTATATACTCTAATTTCTAAAGTGCCCAATTGTCGGCTCGATTTTACGTCAGAGGAATTTAAGACTGCAAAATGTACTCGTTTATTGCGACTCTACTAACCTCTTAAATATGAACACTTACCATACACTTGATCAGCCTCAGGAAAACTGAAGTCCATAGAGACGGCTTCGTTGCCACGTTTCTTGCTGTCATGATGGGACTTGAAGTTTTCACCCCACGTCCCCTCTTCCTCCTAAACAAACATTTTTCAAGAGTCTGTTAGATTAAGCATCAATAATACAAAAGTGCATAAGCAATTTAGACACACACAGAGAACAAGACAACCCACATAGAGATAAATAGACACAGATACCCTTTTTACATCCTATAATTGATTAAATACACAAAAAAAAAATTACTTGAAAATAACTAGGAATACCCAAATGACAGTAAAGAAAATACAGTACTAAATAAAATCGTCAAACAAAACAGCTATTAACTACAAGAAGTGTAGTCGAGTTCCCTGTGAGAAAATGTTTAGACATACCTGCAGAACACAAATTAATGTAACTGTTGATTTGGTTGTACGTTTAAGTTGTTTCTAACTAAGTCGTTTCTGACTAAGTGGCAATTCTATTCTATCCTAGATATTTTTCTTTTTTTTTTAAAGACAGCTCCTGCATTAGGAATCTCCCCGTGTTGCGAAGGACTTTACAAACTTTCTCAGTAGCAAGCTGGTTATGACATGGTCGAAGTTCTAACCTAACCTGCTTTTCTGGTAGCAAATCGTTTGACGTGGTCGCAGTTCTCACCTAACCTACTATATTATGAAATTTCTGTCTGAGAAAAGGGATCACCATTAGTTTCGGTTTCAGAGCTCTGACTTTCCATTTAAAGTCAAGTTTAGCTACAATACCAGTGTGCGATCCTAGCCTGTTCGACATGTTCCTAACGTTCCCCAATCCATCCTTATAAGCAATTTTCCGTTTATACTATTGCCTCTCTTTTCGAGATTTGTGTCTTATGAGATAATTAATAAAGTTCGCAACGATATGGTTATTTTACCGTCACTTGTGGAAAATTTCATACATCATACAAACATTTGGTGCGACCTGGGAATCGAACCCGAAACCTCAGCACAGCAGTTGCATACATACCACTGCGCCACCGAGGCAGTGAGACTCAATGACCTAAGGTACGACGTTAAGTCATTACACACAAGAAATGCTGTCACACTTAAATGACACTAAGAAAGATCACACATTGCTGTCAAGAGCTTTTCGTTTAAAAGTAATGAGTATAGTACAGTTTATATGCCGCAATTTGATTCAACAGGATGTCAACCTACATACACATGTGTCCTGTAAGAGAATTTGCCGCAATTTGCCTTTAAATTGAACAACATGTCGACCCACCTACGTACGTGTCCCGTAAGAATAAAACATTAGTATTAAAGAGCCTGAATAGGGCTGTCCAAACCTTATTTAGACATGAAATACTTAATGCCTCAACACAAGAATGTACGATTACCTTGTTAAACTAGATTATGTCTTCTTGTTAGTTACTTTTGTAATTATAGCTAGAAAACCAAGTAAGTATTGGAAATATTCATAGCATACATGTATTGAATGAAGATATCTACACAACAGCTACTTTAGCACAAAATATACTGAAAATGAGAAAATAAATTACATAGAATTTCTAGGGCTTTACCGGCTTTACCTTATAAGAGATCTAGACGTCAATAGTTTTTTGTTTTTTTTTTTATAATTGCCAATCGCATTTTCTTATCGGCCAGTAATTAAATTTTAGTACAAATAGGTGGGGTTTTATTCTGTAGACTGTATATAGTTATGAAACCTCATCATACAATTTCCTATAAACATTAAAATAAAAGAATATAATAGGGTCTTAATCATCTTGATACTTTAAGTCAATAAATGTATTTATTTTTCACCAATTATGAATAATCCTTTATTAGTGTTTTTTACGTGGATTAACGTTAAGAATTGAATTATCTCTCTGATTCAATATAAAAATAGTTAACATTACCGAGATTAAATAATAAAAACAAATTCGTCTGTTGATTAATTGATTGAGCAAAGGATTATTAAATAAACTGCTTTAAACCAGGGGTTTAAAAAGCACGCTTGACGTCTAAATCACCCGTGTATTATATAAACATGGAGGTAACGATTATAGAAGGCAGATCTAAGTCAAAAATCTATCCTAAAGAGATTAAAACTGGGGTTAGGAAAAACGTATTAATAACTATAAATAAATTATTAATGAACGAAGATACTACAAAGACGAATCTGCAAGAAAATGAATGCGATATTTACTTCAATCGACACTTGCTTTCCATCATCCAATTTGTTCTCGTTATTGTCATTTTCATTTTCAACAGTTTCAAAGTTTTCGTTTACGACCTTCATCGGTGCTTCCTAAATTAAAAATTATATTTTTGTCAATCAAATCAGCCTCTATTATTTCGGAAGGAAATAAATGGAAGTGGAGAAACCAGGAGTGATCTCTTTTCAGATAAACCTAGTACCTATATTTACAACCAGTATCTAGTAGTAGTAACTAGTAATTCAGGCTAGGGCGGACCTCTAAAACCCCTCGTAAAATCATGTTAAATGTCAAGAAGCAGATGAATGACGTAATCGATGCCTACTAGAGCTCGTAACTTTAAATGACGCGACACTGAAGTATCCCCATATCATTCACTGTGTTGTAAAACTCCAATTCTTTGAGCCCATGACCGATTATATCCTTATTCATATGTAACTCATCAAGTGCTAGTTTTTGTATTGTAAAGTTAATTCTTTCATAGTGCCGGCCCCGATCAATAGTAGATTTAAACATATATACTTAATATCGAATCAATCGAACAACAGTAATCTGAGCCGTTAATGTATGTATTAGTTTACGATCTATTGGACTCGTAAAATGGATTGGTAAAATGTAAAACAGAAATCTCAATATAGAACTGAATATTAACGCTAGTCTTTTTTTATGATATAAGGGAATGGCCCGAGGTTCGTCGGAGTACCAGGGCTTTCCTTTCTAGGGTACACTTGGTTCCTGGTTACTGGTTCCCCGGCTACTAGTACCCGAGACAGCGTGCGGTAGTCGGTTCGAGTCCGAAATAACCACGCCACTGATGGCTGGTATCCGAGGGGATTTCAGCACAGAAATAAAAAAAAAGGGAGGATAAAGGAGGGGATGGGTCACCTACTGGTTACTTGTTTGTAAGTGACTACCTGTAATGCCCCTCCTTTCAAAATTAAGGTGGGAGGGGAGTTGGACGTCCAATAATAGAAAATAAGTTATTGTTTCTAGAGTTGAATGTTAGTCGACCTCAAACCTTAATTATATGCAATAACATATACCGTGTGATAAATAAACACGCGATAATGGCCGCACCACTGACCTCACGTAGCTAATTAATTTATAGTTTATCTTATTGATACGTAATAATGTCGAGTTTGAATAGTTCCGTCCTTTGTTAATTCCTACTAGCTATTAGCTATACATCATCATCTGTCTACAGTTTTTAGAATTTGAATTTTTGGGTAGCGATTTTTTTTTCTTTTTTTTGTCACACAGTCTACCTATCTATTTTCTTCTCCTATAACCACATTATTAAGAGCTTTACATGAGATCAACTAAGGACTAACGCTGAACAGGAAGGCGTCAGATTTCGCTCAAATGGTTGTGGGATTAAAACCTTGAAATCCAGACTTCATTTACCCAACACAACCGCTTAGCTCAATTCGAGATTTTAAATCCACACTACAATGTTACTTTACAGAGTAGAGTGAATAAGTTTCTCTTGGATATGCGTGTATCATATTCGTTTTCATCATCACTTGTCATCAGGTGAGTTAGGAGAGAAACATTACGTTGTCAAAAATTGTCTCTCGCCAACTCCAACTCTTATAAACTGCCTCAGATAACTTCTTTAAAGCTCGTAAAACATCTAAGACACCGCGGCTCGATTCTGAAGTCTAAAAATACTTAAACCCTAATCTACACTTGCTCACGAGCCCCTAATACGTACAGACAGAACATCGACCTAGTTAATTAGTCACAAGCCCCACGTTCCAGCGCATTAGCGCGATAATTACATTGTTATATAAACATTAGGCACTAAGATGTAGTTCAAAAGTTATTGATGCGTGTATTATGACGTCATAGTGCATTAAATACCTATTAAGTGTAAACGCCTCGTGTCGATTTAAACATCTTATTATCTTTATTATTTCGACCATTCTCATGTTTCTTGGTCTCAGCTCACAACTCATGGTTTCTTCAGTCTTTGTCGCAACTGAAGAACTCTGCTTCGCGAATTTTTGTTAGTCCTATCATCATCTTCATCCTAATTTACTTCTAGGTATTTTTTGAGCCTTACAGCTGCAGCCTATATATAACGGTTACGTTAAACGTGTTTATCAATATTACTTAGCTGACAGCGTATTGGATGAGGTGATCAGCTCTCATACCCTCTTGAAGAATATCACCATTAGTTCCCACTCCTAATTGTGTCAGCTCACCTGGAGAGGCGAACAAGATTTAGCATAGGGGGCAAACGAGCAGACGGGTTATCTGATGGTAAGTGACTACCGCCTCTCATAAGTGCGTTATCAACATTTGGGCTCCATCGCTCAATTACGAGGGGAGGTTGGGCTTCCAGTATCTCACTCACTCAGTGAAAAGCCACCAAAGAATTGCTCACCACCGGTTTTCTGTGGAGCCATGGTTTCGCTCCGCTCAAGCCGGCCTATTTGTCAAATATGTAATTGTTTTTCATGGAACGCGAAACTGTAAAATTAGTACTCATAGTAATTGGAACGAAGTTCCTTTTCGCGTGTTACACTCTGAGTGGATGGGAGCGAAACCGAAAAATTTGTAACAAGACTTTTCCGACACTTAGATTTAATATTGATTTGATATAGCAAACGGCTACCAAAAAGTTAAAGGAACTTCGTTCCGACCGGGGCTGGGAACGAAGTTCCTTTCGCTTTTTCCAAAGATCCCTGACGCCGTTTTTATTAGTACTACTTTAAAGCTAGTACTAATAATAACGTTAAAATTACAAGTCTTCAATAGGATTGCTATCCATACTATCGGAAATCAAAAATATTATCGGTTCTTAAAGACACCGCAGATATTGATCTAATGCCCCTCTTACCCAATTGTGGAGCCATTGATCTTCTGTTATCAGTACGTGACTGATAGCAGATGTAGCTATTTACTGTTTATGAAGCTATATAGTACTCGTAGTAAAGCACTACAAAGAAAAACCAGCCTATATATGATAATCAACTCGGAAATAATCCGCATTTATATTTGAACCGTCAAGATGTCAAGATATAGCTTACTATATTATCATATACGAGTATAGGCTGGTTTTTCTTTGTAGTAAAGCACTGCAAAGAAAAACCAGCCTATATATGATAATCAACTCGGAAATAATCCGCATTTATCTTTGAACCGTCAAGATGTCAAGATATAGCTTCATAAACAATAAATAGCTACATCTGCTATCAGTCAAGTACTGATAACAGAAGATCAATGGCTCCACTATTGGGTAAGAGGGGCATTAGATCAATATCTGCGGTGTCTATAACACAAATATTATCTTTCTTTAAATGAAAAAGTAACACACATTAAATAATCAAATTATTATTACATTCAATGTGTTGTATATTATTATATTTATAATAAAAATCCTCCTAATATTATAAACGCGAAAAAACTTCTGTCTGTCTGAAACGTTTTCATGGCTAAACTGCTGAACCGATTTTCATGAAATTTGGCATGGAGATACTTTGATTCTTGAGGAAGGACATATTTTTTACCTCGATAACGGACATAACCGTGGACGAACCACAGGCAAAAGTTACTATAATAATATACAATATTAAATTTATTCGTCCTTTGTATCTAGGCGAATATTTTCAAAGTTATTAGTTCTCTCTCTCCATATAAAGCTCCAGCGATATCTTACATGATTTCTGAATCCTATAAATATGACGTATTTAAAAGCCACTTTATCTCATAATGTTTAGTAATAGAAAATAAACAAATCGACCTCTGAAGGACAACTCATTATCCGCACATTTTATCAAATGTTTTTATTTTTGTTTTGGAGGACAAAAGAAATAATTTATTTACGCTTAACAATCAGATAAAAAAAAGTAGTTCCATCAAAACACAGCGAATATCAAACCATATCATATCAGTCGAACGGGGATTTAGTTTACTGATCTTATAAGGACGTAGATATCTATGAGATGAATGAAACTGACACTAATTCACTGACTGATCGTGTGCATTGAAAAAGGATTTTTAAAAATTCCGCCCCTAGGGGTGTAAAATGGCGGTTGGAAATTTATATGAAACTTCGTTAATTTTCGTAGTAGCGTTTTCAAACTCACAGTAAATACTCTTTATTAAAAGTAATAAAAACGTTTCAAAAGTACCCTTAAAAACTTTTTTTTTACTTATCGATTCCAAACTCTCAGTATAATAATAATAATAACTTTACACATCCCACACACGGCAGTCCGATCCCATACTAGGCAGTGCCTGTGCTATAGTAACCAGACTGCTGATAAACTACTTACATTTTATAATTTTATTCTCTATGAAAAATAATAATAATGTTTTTCGATGAGTCAGTAAATCAGTCAGCCAGTCAGTTTGTATCTTCTTTTATACATATACCTATAATCTTGATTCATTGTGTCTGATGTCGACCACCACGCGGACGAAGTCGCAAGCAAAGGCTAATCTTTTCATATTTGTATGTCGTTACGGAGGTTATTGAAAGTATATCGGTAAGTGCGAAACTTGATCGCAAATGTAACGTTTATAGTGATTAATATTACGCGTGGTGACGGATTAAGAATACAGAGTGTCACCACCCATATTCATCCCGTGGGTGTCGTAAGAAGTGACTAAGGGAGCAAACTACGCAGGATAACAGCACTGCAAAGAGAAGGAAAACTTGAAACAAACCCTATAACAACCCGTCTGGCCAGCGTGGTATAGTAGGCCAAAACCTCCTTTCTAAGGAGAGGCCTGTGTCCAGCAGTGGACTAGTAAAGGCTGTGGATGGAATATTACAACTAGATAACGATAGGTTCACCACGTTATACGAACTAGATCTCATCTGGAGCTCGAATTGCGAGTATCATTTACTATTCCTTTATTATTTAGTACATAAGATGTCATTGATTAGACTTAGAAACACTTTATATGATTATGCTTATCATCTTATGATAATTGTTCTCCGCGAAAATGAAGAAGAAACTCGTAAATAATTTTACAGTGTTAAAAAACAGAGAAAAAAGAAATGCAATAACATTAGCATAACAAAGCGTGCTAACACGCCGTAATCAGGGGCGTACTATACGCATGTCTGTAGGTTTAACGTAGACAACTCACCGTACATACTGCGCGCTTGTAGTTTGATGTTGTCAACGCGCGGAAACCACGCGGACACTAAACGTATAGGTTTATCTATAAAGCTGGGTACTCACTAGCGAGTCGTAACCGTAAACGTTGCATGTACTGAGCTTAATGTAATGTAATGTAGTGTAATGTAATGTAAAGCCGGGTGTGTAAACTGCAAAGCAAGCTGTAAGTGACTGCAACCAAACAGATATAGTAACAGGTTTAGTTGCAGGTGGTTATCGTGGCTACCGCATATGGAAGACAGAGGTCGTTCTGCGACCTCCGTCCTCCATAAGCGCAGGCCTGGGGGTGACAGGTGAGGCCATCTGTCACCACACCAGAAGCAGGCCGGGGCGGCGAGCGCGTTGCGAAGCGCGTTCGCTTTCAGGGAGCAGAGGGAACATGGAGTTCCCACACGGGGGGTCTTCTACTCGTCTGTAGATGGCCCGAGGTATGTCGGGGCACCAGGGACTTCCTTTCTAGGGTATACCTGGTTCCCCGGCTATTAGTAACCGAGACGGCATGCGGTTTTAGTCGGTTCGTATCCGACATGTCACCGATAGGTGGTATCCGAGGGGATTTACGCACGGAAAAAAAGAAAAAAGGTGGTTTTCGCTGCCTATTATACCCACAACTAAAGTGCCCCAGAATCAGACCTTAAAGAGTTGCTTAACGTCGATTTTCTGTCAGGGTCGTGATATTGCACCGGATGACCGCACATTTGTGCCACAGCTGGCTTGGTTTGTTTAAATCTTTATTTTTTAAAACGTAACAAATTCAAAACTTTTTTTACTAAGGGGTATCAACTAGGCCTGGGGGTGGCAGGTCAGGCCATCTGTCACCTGTCACCCTAGCAGAAGCAGGCCGGGGTGGTGGCGAGAAGCGCTACGGAGCGCGCGCCCTCTTGGGAGCACAAAGGGACATGGGAGATCCCACACATGAGGGAGTCATCTACACGTCGTAGATGGCCCGAGGTTCGGGGTAGCAGGGATTTCCTTTCTAGGGTTTCCGGGTCCACCTGGATTTCCGAAAACTGGTACCTGAGACGGCGTGCGGTTTTTGGTCGGTTCGAATCAGACATAACCACCCCACCGGTAATTGGCATCCGAGGGGATTGCCGCACAGAAATAAAAAAAATTGTATCAACTAGCGTTCAAATTACCGATGGAACATTTAAACGATTTTTTTTAATTATGTTTGACTGTGTTTTTATACCATGGAATATATTATATTGTATTTTTTCAAAGGATAAGTTCCTAAAATGAAATAACTCACATAACAAAACAAACAGAAAAGCAAAACTCACGACTTCCACAACATTAGAGTCCTCATCATCCAACTTCTCTTTTCTCACCCTCAGCGGTTCAATCAGCAGCTGATGGTTGTCGTTGATGACAACGACCGTGTCTCCGGCGAGGTTCACAAACTCAAATTTGAGCGGCTCCGCTGTGATGATCACTTTGTGGCCTTGATTGTTCGACAACGTCAGTTTACCGTTCTCGTTGGAGATCAGCTTGAGGCTAGAAAAAAAAACATTTTTTATTTCGTATTCGCATTTTTTTTTGTTTAGGGGGCGAACGAGCAGACTGGTCTTCTGATGGTAAGTTACTACCCCAGTAGGTGGGAGGGAGGATTGCAGTGTTACACCTAACCTCGCTCATTCATGAAAAAAACTCAAAAACAAAATGTTTCAATGAAAACTTGTAATGAGTGTATGATCTATCCTTCAGCTTCGGAAGGTTTTGTAGATGAGGCAATGGTCGACCTCAACGTCAGATTCAGTCAACAATCTATCTTCGATCGGACTCTACTTGAAATAAATTGGGGCAGGCCAAAGTATGTTGGGCGGACCTGTTAGTCTAGTGGTTAGTGACCCTGACTGTTAAGCCGGAGGTCGTGTATTCGATTCCCACTCAAGATAAATTACTTATTGTCATTCAGTAGATCATTTCGTCCGTATCTTATATGTATGTCTTATATAATGTCTTATATATATATATATATATGTCTTATATATATATATGAATATAAAACATGTTATTTTTTTTATATATTTATTTGAAATTTTTAAGTACGAGTAGGTATGTTTATGAGCAGTCTGGTTACTATAGTACAGGCTCTGCCTAGTTTGGGATCAGCCGTGTGTGAAATTATTCATTATATCAACCCACACTGTTGCGACTGTAAGCTAAGTTATTTTTTTGTTATCATCATAAACAACCTTTAATAGTCCACTGTTGGACATACGCTTCTCCTTAAAAGGAGGTTTTGGCCTACTATACCAAGATGGCCAGAAGGGTTGGTATAAGGCTTATCAGGTTTGTGTCAAGTTTCCCTTTTCTTTGCAGTGCTGTTGTCCTGCGTAGTTCGTTTCCTTAGTCGTTTCTTACGACGACACCAACTGGATGAATAGGGGTGGTGACACTCCGTATTCTTAATCCGTCACCACACGGATGTTTTTTTGTAATATGCTGTAAGCCCTCAGCTCTCATAATCTTTTGGTCACAGGGCAACTGCTACCATATCTTTTGTCACCCACGCTGCTAATTGCCGCAGTGACTTTACAATGGTAAAGTCAGGTCACAAGAAACATGGCAACCCCCCTCCGATATGAGTTCTCATCATTGGGCAACTTTACAAAAAAAAATTAAGTTAATCGGTGTAGTGACGGATTAAGAATACCGAGTGTCACCTCACCTATTCATCCCGTGAGTGTCGTAAGAGCCGACTAAGGGAACAAACTATGCAAGGACAACAGCACTGAAAAGAGAAGGAAATCTTGACAAAAACCCTATACCAACCCGTCTGGCCAGCGTGGTATAGTAGGCTAAATACCTCATTTCTAAGGAGAGGCCTATGTCCAGCAGTGGACTATAAATGGTTGTTGATGTGATGTAATCAGGTATAATTAATCGAATAATTGTTTGAATCCTAATGTTTAGGGGGTATATAAGCCTATTAACGGAATGAATTTCCTAATAGCTTATGTTACCAGTTACCGTTTTTTTTTCTAGTTTACAGAACTATGAGAGAGATTTGACACAAATATATAAAGATGGTCATGAGAGCTATTTTGCACTTTGTTACTTAGTACCAAAAGTTAAATTTCAACTGCCTTTAGGGTGTTCTAAAAATAAATAAATAATGTGTCACTGGGACTGAATAGATTTGACTTTGACAAAAAATTTGAACCTGTTTAGTAATAGAAGCAAATGTAATTGGAGATAGAAAAACCGTTGGAACAAATTAATGTAAACAATTGGAAGGAACTATGTTTACACAACAACGAGGCGTGAAGGGGCGTGATATTGATAACTAAAGTCTATGTAGTAATCAAATGTTTCTTTGTTCATTCACAAAAGCTAATTAATAATATAAAATATTCCTACAATGTATAGTCTGTTAATCAAAGATCCTTAAATTTATGCTCGTTCACTTATCCATATCCCCATACTTATATTATAAATGTAAAAGTGTATGTGTTTGTTTGTTATATGTATGTACTAGTTTTTGCCCGGGGTTCCGCCCGCGTAAATGTCGGTTTTCGCGGTAAAAAGCGATAGTTTGTATTTCCTCAAGAATCAAAGTTTCTCCACACCAAATTTCATCTAAATTCCAACCCATTTCACCCCCTTAAAGGATAATATCTGGGATAAAAACTACCCTATTTCCTTTCCCCGGACCCGGACTATCTCTATACCAAATTTCATCTTAATCGGTTCAGTGGTTTAAGCGTGAAGAGGTAACAAACAGACGGACAGACACACTCCCATTTATAAGACATTAGTATGGATAGGTATACATATGTGTGTGGAACGACACATTATCAGCGAGGCAACTCTTTACCGCGATAACCGATACACAACCGGACGGAGCCGCAGGTAAAGGATTTAGGATTTTTCGTTATAACTTAATCAGTACGACTAGTGCTTCAGAAATTGATCATAATATGTTTCTAAAAAACTTACAGCTAAGCTATGTTATACATGTAATATTCATTATAATATAATACCTCTGAGAAGAAATTTGGCAAGACATCTATGTACATACATAACTACCCATAAATGCGTTGCGTTATCCTTATACTCGTACGACAGGGTATGTTAAATATATATTAACAAACTGTTGATAAATACGGTTCAATAAAATTGTGAATCTAAAAGATCTATATTTTTGCAAATTGATACCATTCAACCAAATTATTAAATCAGGGGATTTATAAGTCGCACCAGGGACTTCCTTTCTAGGGTATACCTGGTTCCCCGGCTATTAGTACCCGAGACGGCGTGCGGTTTTAGTCGGTTCGAGTCCGACACGCCACCGATAGGTGGTATCCGAGGGGATTTCCGCACGGAAAAAAAAAAGGGGATTTATAAGTAAAAAAATGACATCTTGGGGGGTACAATTTTTATCATTTCTGTACATAGTCTAATGAGTTATTAGATATTTGTACTTCATCATCAGCTTACTGCCCTCCACTTCTAAAAGAAGGATTTGTACGTAATGTATTTCAATATGATGTAAACAGCTTATAGGTGCAACATAATTTAACAGGTCTTGTATGATCTATCACGTAATTTTACCATGTATTATAAATGAAATAATACAACTCACAGGTTTTTAAGAAAAGTGAATATTTCATCTACAAAAGAAGGTTCTCAAATTTAACCTAGCTTACTTAGATCGTGAACTAAAATTTTTTTAGAAAGAGACATACATGGACATTACATTTGACATGCTTCGTTTTTGTTAAAAATTGTTTACTTTTGTGAACTGTGGCTTCTAATAAGAAAAATTCTTACCCATCAGGCTTAGGTTCTCCGTTCAGTGCTAATTGAGACCTGTATCTCGGGTACAACGGGTCAGCTTCATCCAGCTCAATACGAAAAGTTGCATCCTTCAGAGCTGACAGCTTCAAAGCATAATGCCACTGGAAAGGGACATACACAGTCAGTACTGTTAGATTTAAAATATATTATAACATAATTCAAATAAACTATGAATGACAATGACAAATCAGGTTACAAAAAAAACTTAATTCCAACAAATAACTACATTTAAAAATCTAAATATAAATAATTTGGAAAAAGACCAATCACCAATGCTGTAATTGGAAAAAAAAATCAACTGTAAGGAGTTTCTCTCACCAATGTGGTTCTTTTTTCTTCAGTAGTGTCCACGGTCGTCACCTCCGCCGATAAAACGTTGCCGTGGACAATTACGGTGTCTAGATTTAGAGTGTACTGCGATTTTTCGGGTTTAAAAGACCGCAGCCTCTTACAGAACCCTGATTGATCACAGGTCTTAAAGTTATTCTTGTCGACCGCAAAGCTGCCGCTTAATGTTAAAGCGGCTACCACAAAAAGCGCCAACGTCTTCATGCTGTAATACAACAGTTATTTAATGAAATATTAAAAAGAGCTAGCTTAAACAAAGACCGGTGTCGCTACAAAAATGAATACGAGTTACTAGACCGTATAATATAATCACTGACCTGGCAGAAAGTTAATTTTAGCGCCTAAAATAAGTAATACTTTTTAGTAACAATTTTCCTAGACAATCATCGCCGCTATAAAATATTTTACACTAATATTTTTTAACGAGAAAACGATAAGACGCAGCCACGCGTTACGTGGAGATATCTCGTTTGACAACTGATTTTTGTCTTGGGTTACCAGAAATAAACTTTTGACTACTTTTACACCTCGAGCCATTTGTGTGAACAGGTGAATGCACAGCTACATTGGAAACTATTTTATTTATTTATTCTAACACCTAGAAGACATTCTTCGTTATTTCTGACTTAAGTAGTAGTATTTTGGGCCCAGCAACTGAATTAACACCATTAAAAATACTCTATTACGATGTTCAAAAAGGAACCTAACAGGTGTTGTCTAGATTCGACAGATGTAACACTATTCTATTTCAGTTTATGATCTCTCTAATGATATAAAGCAAAACCTTTATAGCAGCTATACTTTAAAATGGGTACATAGTACAAAACGAAAGAAAGCTTTCTAGGCTGCGGTCCAACTGAATTACTTTCAAAGTCATCGTTTTTAAAAGAAAAAAATACCTAAAATTACTGTCTTTGTGCTGTACAGATTGAATCAATGTTTCTCTCCGGCATTGATAAAGAATATTCATGTTCCTTGTAGCTGTCAATAAGTGTGCAGACTTAGTGACTTAGTGATTATTCTATACCTTAATAGTTTTCTATCTATTCTAAATATTAAGGGATACCCTCTTCTAATCCCCTCTTCAATTTTTTGTACTAAAAGTACATGACATGTTATTAAAATTAATCTAAACTAAACGTATGAAACTTTAGTGTTAATTTGTAATTTGATAAGTATTATCGATTTAATTATGTGTAAGTAACCTAACTACAAAACTAGGTGTGTTACCATCACTACGAGAAGACTTAAGTTGCCACATAAATAATTATTAGCTGCATCGCGCAACTTAGTCTGCGTCTCTCAAAAGACATAAATTTGCCCCGTTTTTGCTACATTTTGACGTGACAACGTCTTATAAATTGGTTTGCCGGGTGACACTTCAAGAAACTTCGTTACGCTCCGCTCACGTTATGCGCTCACAATGAGAGCGAGTGAGAGGCACGCGTCCCTTCCAATCGGGCATGGTTAGCCCGCCTAAGAGCGAGAGAGACAGACATAGTCGTTGTCACGTAAAACTTTCGCCCGTATACCGACTTTACAGGCAACCAATTTTTCATTGGTGTTCGGCTCCTATTGATCGAAGCGTGATTTTAAAAAGAATATAGTCTTTCTCGTTAAATTAGCTATTCCACTCTAAAATAATTTCTTAATTCAAACCAGTAGGTCCTAAGATTAACGTACTCAACCAAAAAAATATATTTTTTGAATTATAATATTAATATAGCCACTCTCCACTTCTCTCGGATTAATTTATTTAAGTAGATTTATTTTTTGAGAATAGTAGTGTCATCTGGCTCTGTACTCAATTGCATCCGATTCCTTACAGCCGTTCTAGCGTGATTGAGTAACAAACACCCATGTTACATTTTTCTAATATTTTTATTAGAATAATTGCTATTTAATACTTAAGTATAAAGTGGCTGGCTCTATTGTCGTAAGCAAAAAAATAAGTCTTTTAAAACCGATAGAGAAAATGATGATTGTTACACCTGTTTCATAAATTAGTAACTACGATAATGATACGATACATTATTAATGATCTCACTGACTATCTTAGAACTCTCTTTTTAGCACGATTTAGTAGTCTGCATTGCAGATGAACATTTTGCATTTCATAGGTACCCTTATAGACAAGACATCGCCTAAATTAACTGTCAAAGTTTTTATACGTCAAACTGTACCCTTAAAAACAAAAATGTTTTCAACTTCACACAACATATTGGCATTGGCGCTGACCTCTAGAAATATAACTTGGAAGGTCATTTCAAGTTGCTACGAAACTGGCAATTTCCTTTTTCGTAATTACTCAGTGTTAAATAATATGACTGAGCCGGATTGGAAAATAGCTAAAAATAAGCTTGATAAATTATCGTTAGAAGAGAGAAGGAAACTGTACAAGACAAATGATTACGTTATTATTGATGTAGTGGACCCCTGGTTCTTCCATGTTTTGAAAGATAAGAGCATTCGTACAAAAAAACATACCCTAGATGATGTAACTGAATTTAAAAAATATAAAATTAATGCTGCTTTGAATGAGGACTTGGCCAAAAAGGTGTCTATTTTTAAAGGAGATATAACAAAATTAGAGGTTAGTAAGTTAAAATACTTGTTTGTGTTTTTGTGCAGTATTCTTATCGTGTGTGATACAAATTGAAACATCATTTTATTTATAACTTAAGAATTAGAGTTGGTATTTTTATTTAATCATTTGTACATAGTTTATCACATTTGAAAATGTTAGAAAACTACTCTATCAAACTTTTGTATACCATGATAATAATTATAGGGCAGTTAACAGGATAACTTCTGCTTATGTATGTACATAAATAGTTAATAGTCATTTAAACTCAGAATAAATAATTCATTCACTGATTATTTTTAATTTATTTCTTGACAACTGTTTGCAACATAACATAGGAAAAAATAGATATATTTCTTAAACTTTTACGCCAAATGTTTAATATTTCAGACCTAATTACCATAGTATTTATAGAATATGATAACCCCATGTTGTAAATCCCTTTCATCACCAAAAAACCAGTTCCAGTATCAGGTATCATAAACATTTTTTCATGTTGCAGTAGCAATAAACACACTATTCAATTGATTATCACTTTGTAGGTGGATGCTATTGTAAATGCAGCAAACTCATTTCTGAGAGCCGGCGGTGGAGTTGATGGAGCTATACATCGTGGTGCTGGACCACTTTTACAAGTAATTACATGAATTTATCAAGACAGTTGCATAGTAATAATAATGATAGTAACTTAAGTATTTAGAAGTGTGTCACAATAAATTACTGTCAATATGCTATGTACATACATACACATCGGGTAAGTAGCATTTTGTTACGTCTTAGGGCTTGTTGACTAAAGAGACTTTATTATCGCTACACTGAAAAACATTCAACAACGCTGAAGAATAGTCCGGAATGATCATTGAGGTTGCTGGATCACACTTCTATTCGCTTTAATCACTTCGATGTTTATCGTACTGTAGCTCAAACTTTGAGCGTTTGGGCTATATAATAATAATAATAAACATCGAAGTTTGAGCCTCAAACTGAACTGAACTCATCAACGAAGACAGAGTGTATTTATACAACTCCTAAAGAAAATTCTGGCAGACTCCGATCCCTACGAGGACACCGCTTCTGAGAAATACAAATTCCTTTCAAATGTAAACAAAATATTCTCGCGACAATCTAATTTCGATCTTATGTGTATTGCTATAAAACGCATTATTCTGTGTCAATCTGCATTATTATTAAAACGATTCCCGGTATTGCGCGTTTAATTATTTTTCTGGAATGTGCGTGATTTTTCGTGACAATATTACTCACCCACATTCTGTTTGTTTAGTTGCTAGACATTTTAAATATTCTACTGACAAATAATTATGTCTGAGTTTGTAATTATTGTGTTTTGTTTTCATTGAAATTACAGTAATAATTTCTTATAATATGAAGGATATTACTGAACAGTTGTCCTTATTTATGTATATATTTTGTTTACAGGAAGAATGCAATACTCTTGGTGGATGCCCAACTGGTGATGCAAAAATTACCTGCGGTTATAGTTTACCAGCCAAGTGTAAGAGAAATATATACTTTTTTTGCCCTCCATATTTCTATTAAAAAAAAAAAAGATTTTTTTGTTAAAAAGCAATAATTTCTAATATTATCAGCCAGACATATTTTTTATTTGATAGATTAAATAGGATTATGCACACGAAAGTCTAGGCATACAATCTAATAGTCCCAAAATATTTTTTTCTAACAAGCATATAATGCCTATTAACTATTGCACTAAGATTACTGTGTTGTGCCGCCCAAGATGAACAAATATCAGACTTCACCGAATCCTGCTATTGGATGCAATCGTACCTAGAAGGAAGGAATTTATGTTAGTTGTTGTCACAATCTATGATAGGGCCCACAGATCCGCATGGGTGGCAATAATTACAAGGATATAGGTCTATGGAGAGGCTTATGTCCAGCAGTGGACTATTAAAAGCTATTGATGATGATTGATGAGGTCCTACAAGCGTAATGCCCACAAAGTCGTGATAGGTCATCGCAAGCAATCCAGTTTCGTCTTAACTATACTTGTATTTATTCCCCTCTTGTTGTTTGTTTATAATGCGTGAAATCGTAAAATGCAAACTTTTGCGAAAACTTTAAAAAATTACATTAAATTGCGATACACATAAAATATATTATCCTGAATCAACCTATAGGTAGCCAAGGCGAGACGTAAGTCAGTGGAGGCACGGAGGAAATCTGCTTTCCTAACTAACCTGTTAGTTAATTTCTCGTTTTACCTCTTATAACAATTTAACGTTTTAAATTCTCTTCCAGATGTGATCCACACAGTAGGCCCCCAAGATGGATCACCGGCAAAGCTGGAATCTTGTTATGAAAAGTGTCTTTCTTTTCACGAGGAATACAATCTTCGCTCGATAGCCTTCCCGTGCATCTCGACAGGAATTTATGGTTTTCCCAACCGCCTAGCAGCTCACATCGCGCTCCGTAACGCGAGGAAATTTCTCGAAAAAAATAAAAGTATGGAGCGAATAATATTTTGCACCTTTATGCCAATCGATGTTGAAATTTACGAGACTTTGTTACAGATGTATTTTCCAGTTCCTCATTATGATGATGATACAACTGCCCTTAATTAATTGTTATAAGTTACATATAAAGCTAAATTTTTGAAGCTTATTAGAGCTTATAATAGTTATATGTTATGTTTGGAAGACTGCCGATTGTAATGTGGTGTATTAAATAGTGGACGATTCAATATTCGTTTGCTATATTTCTGAATTTTGTTTAAAAAAAAATGCTTTTCAATATTTTGATACTATTAAATGGTTGTACTTTAAATGCTGTTTTATTAGAACAAATGAAATCTAAATATGTTTTTCTGTTTATTTTATGCACTCGAACGATGTCAGCAGTGACTAAGGTCTCTAAACTCATCTTACTAGTTAAGACAAAAATATCGATTTGACCCTCGGATTAAATTACAATTGATTGAATTACATATTCAATAAATTGTAATTTAATCCATTTAACATGTAAAAAAACAATTATGTTTATCTTATCCTACTTACGAGAAAAGTACTGTTTCTAGCTAACTAAATTCCTACGAGCTAATTCTGAACTAGATCTATTATGAACGTTTAAATTAATTACGGACACTACCAATGATAAGGCTCTCACTTCTCGTTCATTTAAAAGACAAAATTTAAAGGTAAATATACAAAAGGTGTCCATGTGGTGACGGATTAAGAATCATCGCACCTATTCATGCCGTGGGTGTCGTAAGAGACGAAACTATGCAGGACAACACCACTGCAAAGAGAAGGAAAACTTGAAACAAACCCTATGCCAACCCGTCTGACCAGCGTGGTATAGTAGGCCAAGACCTCCTTTCTAAGGAGAAGCCTATGTCCAGCAGTGGACTATTAAAGGCTGTTGATGTGATGTGATGATACAAAAAGATAAGTTATTTGCAACCTTAGTGTTAGAAAATAGCAAAATAATTTACATAGTAAAGCCACAGCAGGTGTATAACGGAAATGAAAACGCCTCTAACCATTGGGGAAACGATTTTTTTCTCGACTTGAGAAGCTAAAGGAAGAATAGATTCACTTGGTACCACTCATTCTCTCACCTTAGTGAAAATCAGTTTATCATTAGTTGTTAAACCGGATTACCCACATATAAATTGTTTTAACTTAAAGGACAATGGCAAGTCCCCATACATAATTTTATTTGAACTGAAATGTTAGCGTTTAAATATCAAAAAATCCTTAACACTTGAGAATTTATTCTTGACCATTCTCATATCAAAATTACTTGCGAAAGAAGTCTAGGAAAAAAGATATTGGATTTTGAATGTTTCGAGGTTAAGTACTAACATATTGTTAATGTTTTGTTTGAAACTAGATGGCGTTGTGTGTCAGATAGCCGAAAATGGTATTTTCATTATTATTACAGTATATGAAATAAAACAAATAAAAGCATAACATCTATTCGAGTTTAACACTAAATTAAACAAAAATAAAATAACAAACGTGGTGAGTCCGGAACTTAACAGGATCTAAACCACAGATTAAGAGATATGTACTAAACGACGACGTATCGACATTTTGAAAATATCGATGTATGTCTATTTATGTGCCGTTATCAATGACAATGTATTTTTCTCATCACACTGTGTAGTGGAAAATAACGTAACTATATTCTATTTCTTTAGTGTGTTTAAAATCGTTTAAAGAGAGTCAAAAATATTTTAAATCATTTCTAATTATGTTGATTCAGTCACTCTACCGTACGAGTGAAGACGTGGGCAGAAGCAAATTCATAATCGTAATAGTGAACCTTCGATAAATATTTCAGCCAAAGCTATAAGAATCGATTATCGATAAATTGTTCCATTATATAATATTGCCACCACGCATCCCTAGTCAGTTATACGTGATGGCGAATCTGACATTACGTACTTAAGTCAAATAAAATCTTCAAAAATATCTTATCTTTTATAAGACTTATACAACACATGGTGGTGTAATGATAAATCATAGAAATTTTTTTGATTAAGTTTACTGTGACTCGATTTTTTAAACGCTTAAGTTTTAGGTAAATATGTTTCTGCCATTGTTCTTTACGTATATCATAAGAAAAATATTTATTTTGCTGTCGCCAAACTTCAATGGCAATAAAAAAAAAAAAATAAGTTCAAAATCATAGACAATGACATTTGTATTATGTAATCTGTTCAATAAAAAATATACACATCAAAGACAACCTTCAGTCGATGTCACTTGTAAATTACGCGATTTGTTTTTATTATTGAAGTAATGTATTTACAAAACTCATTAATTAATACATATAATTAAAAAATCTAACAAATGCCTCAAAAATAACCTTAACCTATTTATGTGATATACTACTATTATGGAATTTCAATAATATTGTAATGTTTTGATGCAACATGTCTTCTACTTTAGAAAATGAAGATTTGGATAATGTGCCCTTGGTTCGGATGGAAGACGTCCAACCTTCGAGGGAAAGGGTTATAGACTGCCAAAGTTTCTCCAAAGATGACGACGAGTTATACGAGACATGTATAATAGATGATATTGAGTGTGCAAACGAATGTATCGTCGACGACGATGAAGAGTCCAATATAGGAAGTATGGTGTCTTTGCATTCTGAAGATGTGTACGAAGACGATAGTTCAAGTCAGGAACTTATAATTCCTGAAGTATTAGAGGCCATTAAGACAGATGATGCAGATAAGTTAATGATTTATGAAGATAAAGAAAAGCAAGGGAATAGTTGTGAAGCATACTTAGTAGATGATTTAGAGACATGTAGTGAATACCAGGGGGAAGTGCTGGAGGCAGCTTATGTTGAAGTACCTGTAGACCAAGAAGATGTTGAACAACAGATAGACGCTCATATAGAGGCGACAAGAGAATTAAGGGCCAATCCAAGACAGTATGCTGCACAAAAGTTACTAAACACTTTAGAACAGGGAACAGTAGTAAGCATCTGATAATTTTTCACTCCATCAACATAACAACACAACATTACTGCATCTTGGTGCAGTAGTAGAGTATGCAACTGCTGTACTGAGGTCTCGGGTTTGATAATAGGGTTGGACCAAATGTTTGTGTGATCTGCAAATATTTGCTTTAGAGTTTGGGTGTTTTCTATGTATAATATGCATGTATTTACAAAAGTATATAAGTGTTCTATCAGTTAATCTGGCTTTCATTCATGTGTTAGATGTCTGAAAATAAAACTGATAAATAAACTGATGATGATGATGAAATGATATTATTTACTTGTGTTCATAGAATATTAAGTTTTGCTGGTATCTTCAATTGTATAAAAGGTATTAGACATTTAGAATTCATAATGTGTCTGGATGAAACGTGCTATTCTGTGCCCCGTAAGAATTTGTATGCAAAATTTCATGACAATCACTTGAGTATTATAGCAAAAGTTATTAAAAACGCTTTGGTATTTACAATATCATTTAACATATACCTTGGCTGTATAACATCTAACACATGGTAAGATGACATGAATAAAACATAATTATACATTCTGTTTCATTCATGCAGGCAGTTCATCTTGAGGTTTAGTAACATGATATGTTTAGACACATGCATGTATACAAGGAATTGATATTTAATAATAATAATAATATTCTACCACATTCACACAACACCATCTAGTCCCAAACTAAGCAGAGCTTGTACTATGGGTACTAGACAACTGATATAAATACATATATACTTTTTTTTTTGTAAATACATACTTATTATACATAGAAACACCCAGACCAAACCAAACATTAAATGTTTATGCACACAAATGTTTGACTTGAGCGGGAATCGAACCCGCGACCTTTTGGAATAGCAGTCCGTTACACAAGCCACTACCCCATCCGGTCGTCCGATTTAAACTTAAATCCTTGGTTCCTTTACTTTTATAATGAAATTTCTCACCATGAATATAACTATACTGTTATAAATACTTAAACTAACTAAAATCTTAATCACCTGTTTTCCGCATGTTGATGGAAGCGACCCAAATATCATTTGCGATAGAGGCGTGCGCACCATGGTTGTGCAATTGTCACAGAACTGATTCTCTTAGAGCTAGCGCTAAGATGAGAGTCATTTCATTGTGGCCACCACCAAAGGCTAAATGTTTGCATATTAAAATTAGAAACATCAATCATGTGTTTGTAAATAAATCCTTGGTAGATTTATAAGATTTACATAAGTAGATGTAGTAGATGTACATATCTTATTACTGCTTTGGTTATCTGCAGATGCGGCATATATCTGGCACATCACTATTTTATCTTGTATGTGGACTATTTTTTAGTGTATTGCATATGGACATGCTCGTCTTCATCATCTTTTTTTTTTATGTTAGAGGGGGCAGACGAGCAGACGGGTCACCTGATGGAAAGTGACTATCGCCGCCCATGAACGTCTGCAACTCAGGAGTCACAAACGCGTTGCCGGCCTTTTAGGAAGGAGTACGCTCTTTTCTTGAAGGTTTGAAGGTCGTATCGGTCCAGAAATACCGCAGACGATAACCCGATCCACAGATAAACATTCTCTCTTAATCTTAATGGGTTTTAGAATTCAATTATACTCAACGATAATATTTAATTTTCAGGGTGCAGAAAGTCCATCAAAGAAAGCAAAAACAGTAGAAGAAACAGTTATTACATCACCATCGCAGAGCTGGCCAACATTGGAAATACTGCCTGGTGGAGTGATCAAAACCTCAGATAAACTCGAGGGTGAATCTTACCTATACCCCGATAAGGTAAACACAATATATAATGGATATACACCTTTTACCTATACAAACATTTTTCTATTGTTAATTGGGATCAGAATGATTTAGGACATAGTAAGCGGATTTGGCTGATTTTGAACAGATGTAAAATGTGTTCAAATTTATTTTATAATGACTTACAGATGAAGTGACATTTTTTACATGCGCTCATATTTAAGTCCGAGTGTCTATGCAGTTGGACTTAAATTAATCTCAGACAAAATAAAACAAGATCAGGTTGATACAACAAGATATGCTCTATTTCATTCCAACTACGTTTTAAATTAGAGAAAGTATGCAATTATTGTGGGAACCAAATAAATAGACGAAATTAAAAGAATAAATGTTCCGATGAAATAGTTAGGAGTTTGGGTGGTTTCTATGTATAATATGTATGTATTTAAAATAAAAGTATATAAGTATTCTATCAGTCAATCTAGCTTTCATAGTACAAGCTCTGATTAGTTTGAAACTAGATGGCGTTGTGTCAGATGTCCGGAAATATTATTATTATATGAAAATATTGTCTTAAAGTACCTACATAAAAAAAACCGTTTGGCTTTATAACATCCTTGTGAAATATTATCATAATGTATGTGCAGGTTTTACATATATATTTTTTTCTTATTCAGATGTTTAAAATCAATTCCATAAAACAAAAAAAAAAAAAAACAATTGCCTCATTGAACTTATTTGTTTTATGCACGGATCTCTTTTTGTTTTCAGATACAAGAAACTGTTTCAAATACGGGCGATATGATGTACGCTTGTGCCAAATGTTCACAGACATTCAAGTACCTGTTTTGCCTCGTGAAACATGTTAAATGGCATGAAGATCAGAAGAAAATTATGAAAGATCCAGAACTGGACAAGTTGAGTGAGTAAAATGCCTTTTTTCTTTTTCAATAAACGGTTTTGGTGAATTTTATTGTATTCATTTTCATTATATTGTCAGTTTAATTAAAAACTATAACAGCTTAACAAAAATGACATACACATGCTCGAAGTTATCCTAAGTGTGGCTTTATTTTCAATTTCACGTGTCCTATAAAATAAATAACGCGGTAAAAATTGTGTCGTGACCAATTGAAAAATTTTATGAAGAAAACCGTTTAGGCGCAGAATGTCAAGTTCGCGTATGATGTGCAACATCTGAAATGTCACCTACCATTTGACAGCCAACTCTAAAATCGTGCGCTCTCATTGGTTGGAACAAAAACTCCAGAATCGCGCGCTACCCTTACCTCCTGTCGTCTTCCGTCTCTTTTTACAAAATGACAACAGATCGCAAGAAAGACAGACAATATGTCACACATAAAAAAATATTCATAATAGAACAGCCATATTGTGGTAAATAAAACATTCAATAAAATCTAAAAAGATAGTTAAGTGAGTTTTTTACAAAGTGGTCGCTATAAAGGTAAGTATCTGCATTAAATTATTGTGAAATAGTCAAATTTATAGATCCACCAAAGTTGTGCCAATTTTGTGGCATCTTTTACTTTTAATTGCCACAATATGGCTTTTGGTTGGTCTATATAACAGAGCATAGATATTATGAATCTGTGGTGTTTGAGAACTATTGTATGTCAAAATTTACTGTGAACTTTATTCCTTCCAAAGGTGCTAACAGCTAAAAGTAACAGTATAAAAGAATTTGTATGTTAAATAGTTAGGTAAAGTACCATAGATAAGTTAATATTAATGTTAAAACGGAACTAACATTTTGCCAAAATGCTGCCATAATGTTTTTTTTTCCAAAATCATGTAAATTCATTCGCAACAATATAAGAATTATAATGAAGGGACACCTCATACACACAGGTTTCGGGTAGGAGCTTGATTGGCTCACCTAGCCAAATTTCCTTAACGCATAAAGGACCATTCTTCCCACAACCAATGCCAAACAGACATTTTCCCCATATAAATGACAGAATTTAATAAACTACAAAAAGCATTACACTACTTTTCTGAACAGTCGTGTTAGAGCTTAGTACGTTTCTTTATTAATTTATAGGGTTGCCAATTATTGATAGATGACCTACCTAATTACCTAAAAAAAAATAGTATTTTTAGACAATGATCTATAATTAATCGTTTAAAATGGGTAACTTTCAGCTGCAACGGAAAGAGAACTAGTCAATTTGAAAAGAGAAAGAAATGAATTGGACAAGGTATACAAAAAGCAGAAATTAGAAATGTTCACGAGGTTAGTATTAAAAACTTAATATTATTTTAGGTTTGTTGATAAGGTTATAAACGCAACAGCGCGAGAAAGAAAAAAATTAAAATGAAGTTACTTTTAAGTTCTCTAATACCTCATTCTCAGATTTTGATCTGATGACAATAAAAAAAAATTAACGCGTTATCGGGTATCACACATAATTAAAATGAGACATAGCTTAATTACTTATATATAATTAGCCATCTTGATAATAAACCTGACAATACAATGAATGTCCATTATAAATATATGTTGTAATAATGTGGAGGAACGGGTGCCAAGTCCCTCCAACGCGAAGGGAGATACCTCCGACCAGGAGAGGTGATCATATCTGGCGACCCAACGGATGATGTTGAGAAGTTGAATATATGCAAAATGGCGTGAGGACTTTTGATATCGCGATACAGGATTAGCAATTACTCCGTAGTTCGGTGTCTTCTATAGTATGTTTCTGTTTCGTTGTATGTGGTCGTCATAAAAGTTTGAAATAAAAACAAAGTACGCGGTCTTTAGTGTAGTTCAACGGTAGTTTATTTCTTGCTGTAACGTATTCGGCGTGCTGGACTCGTGGTACGAGCTCCATACTCGCTAGAGACCAAGTCGAGTGAAGCCGCAGATAATAAGTAGTGTAGTGTAGTTAAACATCATCAACAGCCTTTAATAGTCCACTGCTGGACATAGGCCTCTCCTTAGAAAGGAAGTTTTTACATTATTCTTCAAAATTAATTACTTTAGTAAAATCAATTTAGATTTAGGTACCCTAGATTTTTCAGGAACAAAAAGCCGTTATTAGGCGACACCTAACTTTCTTTTTTGTTTCAGAGTTGCAGTAGCCATCAGCAAATTAAGCAAAGCTAAAAATATTTTTAATAAATAGTAAATAAATGTATATTATTTGTTTTATTTCATCAATCATTAATCTTATATGATCACATCACGTTACATCATCCTAATACTAACTAATATTATAATTATAGGTAATAGTTTATTTGTAACACCGTGACTGAAAGTTAACATTCTTACGATTAAAGCTGAGTGCAAAAGCTATTATTTTATAAATATAACCCACTGTAGTAGTATACTAAGCAGAGTTGTTATTGTAGGTATCAATACGAACTTAATATTTTTTTCTATTCTGCTGTCATCTTTTTGCCCCTACTTGGGTTGCGAGTTCGGCATGACTTGCAGGCCAAAATCTGTCTTCGCGAGTACATACCCGAAAACTCCCATCCACCCTACATACGTCGAGTCGTCTCCCTCTACAAGCAGAAGGTAGAAGAAATTTGTCGTGATTTCGGTCACCCTGGTATTCTTGTTCGTCACATTTTTTTGGATCTACATATATCATGCCTGCATACATAGTCTGGTAGACGACACTCCAAAATCTTTTGTTGCCGATGCATAAATATTTGATTTACAAGATACAAAACAGGAAGAAGAGGATAATGATGTTGACAATATTTTGTTTTTCAGAAGGCGTACCAAAGCAATACATCTGCCTACATTCAACTAAGAAGAAAATACTAGCGACAGAAAGAAATAAACAGAAACCACCGAAGAGGCTAAAATCATAGTCAATTGAAACGAAATCCTTGTGTTCAGCGGTAAACATATTTGTCTAACCCTCAAAGGTCCAAAAATGTAGGTAGGTCACGTGCTATTGTGAACTTAAGCCTAAATTTTATATTTATTTAGACCTTGCATCAACACGCGCACAAAATTAAATTATTTAAGAACGAGGGTAGATTCTTAAATAATTGTATAGATACGCAAGAAGGATCCAACCCACAGTATGGTCGAAAATGAGGCAACCGAACATTTACTTAAATATTTCTAAAAATGTTTATTTATTCCCTTTCTAAAAATGTTTATTTATTCCCAATAAAACTTATTTCTATAAAAAGGACAACAATTTTTACAGTCGTGTCCCGAATCAACAAAATCACAAAATAGAATATCAATGAGCAATTGAAACTTCAATGTTCATTATTTCAAAAGTGTCATTTTGTGGGTTGGATCCTTTTTGCGTATCTACGTCCAATTAAAAAATAACAGTCCTTGTAAAATTAAGTGTTAGAAAAGACTTTGATAAGTTTAATTCGTTATTATTTATATCTTCTTAAGTAATTTGACGACAGCGACAGCGTCACAGATTAGACGTTTAATAAATAAAAACTGTTTTGATATAAAACTTCCGAGTTCTAATCGTGTTCGTATATTGACTTGTTTTGTTTCTGCCGTTCATTTAACATGCTCCTCTGTGTAATACACACTTCTCAATTAAGCTATCGAACTTTGTTTTTAAAAACTACTTAGTTCTGATTCAGTAAAACTAAAAGTTACCGATTAGCTTCTGTCTGCGACTTCTCTCGCTTTAATATTGCCAATCAATTTAGATATCCCTCGAACAGAGTATTTTTTTTGGGATGAAAGATTCCATGTACCCATGTCAAAGCGTATAGAAAGTTTGACACAGTCGGACATTTATAATACCTATTATTAAGTAAATAAGTACTTACGACACTGAAGCTCGTTAAAAATAACTACTAGATAACAGTACTCCTATTTATATATAGATGTAAGTAGAAAACTTAACAAGACATACTAATATCTAAGTGTACATTGTACCGAAAACCGAAACAGTAACTTCCTAAATACCACATAATTGCAAAAAAAGCATTGTAATCAATCACACTTTATTGAAACATAATTTCATGCAATCAAATTTGTTTTTTACAAATACCCGCACGTTGCGCGGTAAAGCGGCAAGTTCGGATTGGTAGCTGTACATTGCACAGCTCGAATACAATCAATAAATCCTTAATTGGACATGATTAAATAACTTTTTCGCCGAGATCCACATAAAGAACGCTTGCACAAGTTTTTCAGTACACTGTACCTGGCTTGTGTAAGTTGTTATAAATTTAATGCATATACTATGTAATAAATAAAAAAATTATAACAACTTGGGCTATTACTATAGCCCAACGGTTCCTGGTATTGGTTTCTCCGTCCTTTGGAACGTGTTCCACGTGACTTTCATAAAGGACATAGTAATTGTGGTTAAGTAGCTTAACTACGAGTGAAGTGAAACCAAAGGTGTGAATATGTAAAAATGATGATAATTTTACTTAAAATATTACCATAAAATATTTATTTGTTGTCCCAGACATGATTAAATGTGAGCGAAATGTAGATTACACTCAATTCGTATAAGTTAAAAGAGGTAATTTGAATTGACTTTTTAAAGAATTGTATTCATTTGGTCACTATTAAAAGAAGAGGAAGAAAAATTTTAGTTCCTCATCTTTAAACAACTGTTGCGCACTGAAAAATGACATATTTGGTGGATTTAAATTTTAATTTAATGTTTTTATAAATTGAAAAATTATGTTAAAAAGCTTCAGGGACCCAGTATAAATGCTCAATCTGTCATGCTATACGGAATGTCTATACAACGACAGTTCAAGTTATACGGGTTAACGATGTAAAACAAAATATTCAAAACATAATTACTTCTGATTGAATTTGGAACATCAGACGATCGCTTAAAACTCGGTACATCCTCATGCCCCATTACCATTTGGGGTAGCCAGAGACGATAGTGAATCATTTGCCACGATCTTTTTCACATATGATTATATCAGGGCTTTCACACATGCTCGCCGGTAATACTTACAGTACCAGTATTCTTCTTTGATCCTTACACATCCTAATATTATACTCGAAGATACTTACTTAAATCCAGTGCAATATTCGAAGAATCTACACAGAAAGTTCTAGAAGGAATACTATTGACATATCAATCAAGCTAATTGACAAACGCTTGCTGTAACTATGTACTCGACTATCTTTAATTTCGTTTAGTTACTAATGTTAAGTATATTTTTATGTAAAGTTTGTTTTATTTTATGTAAAATCTTTATTTATTGTTAAGATTTAGAAATAGTGGCAACTAAAATGTTGATAAACTTATGATTTGTTATATTTTATGAAGTTTAATGAGTATGAGATTTAGATGATCAAAAATTGATTACCTATCCTCAAAGGGTAATACGAACCTAATTAATGTCCAAAGATTATGATAAATAATACACCTATTTATCGAATAAGGAAAACAAGTTACTTGCATCTTGTTTGAGCTGTAATATTCTATTAATTAAACCGTAATTCGACTGAAAACTTCATTTTATTGAGTTTCTTATATAGCGCTATAAAACGGGATCATAAAGTATGGTACGTACGCTCTTTTCTTGAAGGTTTTTATGTGGCATTGGTCCGGAAATACTCGCAGGCGACAATTTATTTCACAGATTGATTGTGCTAAGCAAAAAGTTTTTTGGAAATTGCCCAGTGGTGGAGAGCTGACTATCCAAGTGATGGAGATGGATGAGTTGCCACATTAAACAATTAACATTAAACTATTTTCGTACTACTAATACTTTACGCATAAACATCCAACGTTGACTGAAAAATGAGTCGGTAATCTGCTAGAGGTATTTTTGTAGTAAAGTATTACTAAACTTTACTATTTTACTACGAAAATACCTCTTATGACAGTTGTGAGATCAAGAGTTGATCAGAACTGAATTTTGACAGAACTTTTATTACGAGAATTGGACTTCAGGTTACTTTGGCCGTGGTCGTGGTATGTAGGTATACATAATTATATTTTGTCCTGAATTATCTACATATGCATCACAGTCCTAGCGTGAGTGTCGTGATAGTAATCCTTGATAAATAAGATGGCTACCGTTGCTCTTTGTCAATTTATCAGCGATGATGTTTAACTATTAATATGAATGTATATTTTGAAACTTGGGTATAAAATCAAACATAAATGTGGGTGACCCATTGTCAGTCAATTAATATATAAGAAAATAATTTTTACAACATAATTATAAAGTTACTGTAAGTTATATTAAAATAATAATAAACATTTACATTGTATGTGTTGTTATTATATATAGTTACGGAACAATAGGGAATTTGCATATCTTTTTAAACGTTTTTACTAGTTATTACATTATCAAAAATAAACCAATGAGCTAATTTAAAAAAATTAAAATCTCTTATTATTTGCGGGCGACTTAATGCGGACATTTTGGCGCGATTATTCTGTGACGCCAAATAACACAAGTTCGATGTCAACAACGAAGTGTTTGGCTCACAAAGTTACTGAAAGTGAGTGATAAAATCAACTTATCACCATGGGCCTGGGGCATTTAAAAAAGGGACTTTTTAATGATAAAATTTCAGTAATAAATTAAGATCAATTTAAAAAATAATTGTATAGGTATGTTTTTTAGCAATAGTTTACAAATAAAAATATTTTATCCATTTTCGAGTCACGTGCATATTCCCTATTGGTTAAACAAACACTGGACTCAAATGTTTCAATAGAAAAAAGAAAAATATTAACCCTCGCCTGCTAAGACTTCTCACTTATTTTTTTCTACATTAGTAATGAACACTTTTACAATAGTTTTTGCAAATCTTCCAATTTTTTCTTTTTCGCTTCTAACCTCTCTCTGTCTGCCAACTGCACATCAAGAGCCGTTTTTCTCAAGTACTCTTCGCTGGAATATTTGACTTTCAAATTCGATAAAATAACTTCTAATCTTTCTATTTTCTTCTCCAGTTTATATCTTGCAACAGTTAGTATTTGTCGAGCTTCTTCTTTCTCCAGCGCTACAGCAATTTCCGTGTTTTGGTCAAACATAGTTTTGATGATATTTTCCCTAGGCGGTTCTTCAAATTTGACGTCAACACATTGCGTTAAATTTAAAACGACATTTTTATTATTTAATATGTCCGACTTTAGGTTATACTTTTCGGTATTAATATAAACACATGGCACAAGCTCAGATGTTATATTATAAAGTCCCTTAATATTTTTCACTACTTTTACAGCACTCAATAGTTCCCCAACTCTCTTTTCTACAGCAGCATCCTTCCATACTTTGAAATCAGCGTATTTAGGATAATTTAAAACTTTGTTAGAAGTGTCTTTAAAATTGTGTATAATATTAAACCTAAATCCAGGTACTCTTGGTATTAATTCATCTGTTAAATGTACCATAAAAGGCGATAAACACCTCAATGATGTATTTAACGCTACTGACATTGTGTGTGCATAGGCGTATGCTTGTTTCGGATTTTTATTTTCAAAGTCTAGTTTTGTGCCTTCCATATAAACGTCACACAATTCTTTATCAATGAAAGTTTTTAACGCTTTGGCAGCCACATGGAAATCGTAACTAGCTATAGACTTGTTTGCTTGATATACCATATTTGCTAATTTACTAAGTATCCACTTATCAAAATATGTGAGATCTCTAATCGTTATTTTCTCGTCCGTTTTCTTAAGTTTTTCATAGTATTGTTGTGCTTTAATAACACACTGCCATACTTTATTGCAGAATAGTTTGTTTTCATAACATGAAGCTATGTTAAAATTGATAGTATCCGATTTTATATCTTGCGACAGCAGAGTGAATCTTAGAGCATCTGCTCCACATCGGGGAATACCATCTGTGTTTGCAAAGTTTGCTTCATAATAATTAGATATTCTATCCAATTCAGCTTTACTCAAAAGTCCTTCCCTTTGCATTTCTTCATATCTGTACGTAAGGGCGTCAAACGGAACACCATATACTACATCATCAGGATCAATCATATTACCTCTTTGTTTACATATTTTCGCACCATCGCTATCGCATACAGTGCCGTGCACAAGAACTTTATTGAACGGCAATTTATCCGTAAGTGCCAGATTGAGGATCACCATTCTATGGACCCAAAGTTCTAACAAATCCTGCCCTGCAACCGTTAGATTTAGGGGAAAACTTTCTAGAACATTTCTACGCTGGTAGCCCCGAGGAAATCCCAGTGCCGAAAAGGCATAAACACTAGATGTAAACCAAGGATCTAAAACGTCTTTATCACGTTCAATTTTAATTAAGTTTGGTAATGTTTCAAGCAATACAAAAGCTTCCATTAGTGCTGCATTCTTATCATCTGCGGCAACCCATACACTTTTTTCGTCAGTAGTACATTTGTACATAGGAATTTGATGTCCCCACCACAACTGTCGTGATATACACCAATCACTTGCATTTCCTGTCAAATCTAGCCAATTTTGAATATACCTTTCTGGCAGAATTTTTAACTTTCCAGTTCTTACAACTTCAGCTGCTTTTTCATTCAATTGGCGGCAAGACAAAAAACATTGTTCTTTTGGCAAATAGTTTATCACATCTCCAGTAAGAGTGCATACTGGTAACATCATTTGGTATGGCAGTACTTCTTTCAGCAATCCCATTTCATACAACTTTTCGATCAACACTTGTCTACATTTGAATTGCATTACATCATTAAAATTTTCAGAATTTTTTATAAGCCCACTCTCATTAATAACTTGCAGTAAAGGAACGTGGTGATTCTTAGCTATTTCATAGCCAATTTTGCTATGCGCGGTTACTGCGACTGCCCCTGTGCCAAATTCCATATCAACATATTCATCGAAGATGATTGGTATTGTCGTGTTTCTGAATGGATGCTTTGCTCTTTTATCTTTGAGTCCACTGTACCTGTAAAGGACGAAGAGCCGATTTTTATTAAATTTACCTCCTGATCTTTTCGAACCACTTTTGACCACGGGGTACTTATTTATGGTTTGACCACAAAAGAGTATACGGGTTACCTGATGGTAAGTGACAACACCGCCCATGAACACCCGCAACTTAAGAGATATGCGCTATCGCCCTTTGGGTGCTCTCCTCATAATTAGGGGTTCAACCTCCGGTAACCTCACTCACTCGATGAAAAAAGCAGCGTAATAATCTGCCTTACATTACTGAACCATACTTAACATATGGGGGGGGGGGGTCTCATCGGCTAACCGTTTCTACCTGCATACATACTTACGGTGTTATTTCGCTCACGCTCACGTATCTATGTTAGTGATTAACGTAGGCAAGTTAAAGTCCTTCGACGATCACTTTCGGCAGCTTGCTCCAAAGCTGGTCGGTGCTGCGTCTGCCCTTGGGAAACTTTTAAATAATTTGGGAAGACCTAGCGTCGCGACAAGACGATTGTACAAGGGAATGTCTGATCAATGGCACTATACGGTGCACCGGTGTGGGCGCGGCGCTTCTGACCGCTCAGAATAGGGCACGTAAATATCGGCAGGCCCATGAGTTTCGGGCGGGTAGTACAGTCGGCCCCCGTCCGAAGAGGTATGCGTATTGCGTGAGGACGCTCGCCAAGCCACGATGGCTCGTAGGTCGACCCGTCTGGAGGTTCCACGTGCTGGTTTTGCCGCCGTGGAGGCGCTCCAGGCGGTTATCGTCGAGTGGGCAGTGCATGGAAACTTTTCCTTCCGACTGACGCAGGTCCTTTCCGGGCACGGTCGACAGGAAGGAATTGAGTCTGTCACCACTGCGATTGCACTGAGGACTCAGCTCAGCACAAGCTGGCAATTTGCCGGCTTGGACGCGACAGCGCTGGGTCTTCATTGCAGTCATCGGGAGTCTCTCGCTACCGGCCGTCATACGCTTCATGGCCCGTAGTGACGGTTATTTCACCGCGGTCGCATCCTTTTGCGAAGACGTCATCTCGCAGAAGGAGGCGGCGGAGAGGGCCCGGGAGGATGGTCTCCACTCGGACCTAATTCGTCGCCGGGCGAACCAGACAGCGGAGGGGCGCTCACCACCGCCCTGAGTGTGGCTGCGGGTGGAAGGGGGCGGGTTTTCCCTTCCATCATCTATAGTGGCCAGCCGCGAGGAGGTTACGTCTGCGTGTGCCGTGTGAGAGGTCCGGGTATCTTAATAACAGCAGTTCTCGGATCCCTCCTATTACGGGCGCAGAGCGGCACACCGTGTGTGCCGGTCCGATTTCGACACACCACCCCGCCGTAAACCCCGGTGCGGTAACGACCCGAAGGGGTTTCCACACGTACAAAAAAAAGGCAAGTCCACTTAGTGAAATTACTAATGTAGGTATTTTCTATTCCATGAGAATTTCTACGATCTATTTTTATGATAATATCTGGGAGACCCAGTCTAGTTAGAAAACAGCACAGTTCTATCCCACTACACTTTTGAAAAGCTTTAAGTTAATTTTTTACGAATAATGTGAATCACAATTAAAACGTTTACAAGAATGAACTGGTCTGGCTATTCGCCGGGATCACATCCTCGCTTGGCAAATGAACGTCTACTCAGGTCAAACATTAGCTCGCGCGTTAAAGCGTCATTATACTCAGCTTTACTCGAACTGCTGACAAACGTAAATTTATATGTACTTCAAAAGAAAATACATCAATGATCACGCTCATGACGCAATTACTTTTCCTGCGTGAGAAAGGAACCAACGACTTCTGTCTCAGATCACCAATCAAGAGACCAGTAAGTTCATATTTAATATTACTTTAGGTTAGTTGGTAATATATTTTTTTCCATTCAATTCTAGCCTCTTTCTCTTCTTTCATATTCTCTTAGCTATATACTCTAAGAAATGTGCTAAATATATTTCAATCCAACTTTCGTGAATTTAATGCAGAACTACTAAATTATTTCATAACACACCTTCTTTAAGGCAAAAGCAAGGCAGAATTAAAAACTCAGTTACTAAAAACAGAAAAAGTTTAAAAATACCTCTTTTTATACAGAAACAAACACATTTGTTAATTTTAACTAAGATAACAGAAGGCACGACATTAATTTAAAAACAAAAAAGCATTTTAAATGGCTCTCCTGTCAAATTCCAAAAGATGCAATTATGCCTTTGTCTTACCGAAGATGCGATCAGTTCTAAAATGTTACTCAAACAGTTATTATAAGGTGGGAATAATAAATCAAGTTTTTATTGCTTTTCATTTATTAACAATAAATTAAATAATTTATTCATATGATACCATAATTTTAACAATTTCATGAGACTAGATCTAAAGTTAAATTATTCAATACCGTCTTAAAACATTCACAAATTTATTTACTTAAAAATTAACGATGGCAAAATAGACATATTCAGAGACGTCGAAACACCTGCTTTTAGAGACAGACTCGCAATATCCGCAGTAGTTACAGCTTCGAGATTTTTTCATCTGATCTAAACACGCCTTGTATCAACCAATTTTACAAACACCAAACCGATTTAGGTATTATATAACTTGCATATGCTATTTAACTTAATTATATCAGTTTTTGCAACTCCTTCAACTCTTTCTTCTTTTTTAGTAACTTCTCCTTATCCGACATCTGAACTTCCTTTGACACTGTTGTCAAGTAGTGAATACTGGAATACTTAGATTCTAACTTGGCCAATAATGCTTCCGTTCTGATTATTCGTTTATGTAATTTTTCTCTAGCTCTTAATATGGCCTCTCTAGCCTCTTCTCCTGATAATTCTAAACCCACTTGTGTATCATTTGATATTGTAGTTTTGAGAACATAATCAGTTGGGGTATCTCCAAATGTTAATTTAGAACATTTAGTCAAATTTAAAATGGTTTTTTCATTTTTTTTAAAATCTGACATTAAAGTACTGTTAGTAGTATTTATATACACACCAGGTCTTAGCTTATTGGAAATATTGTATAGCCCTTTCAACTCTCTGATTTGAGTAATGGTATTCATAATATCATTAACCTTTTTCTCGGCATCATCACTCCTCCATTTTTCAAAATCTTTATATTTCGGAAAGTCGAAATAGTCGTTGAAAGTATCGACATAATTGTGTATAATATTAGATTTGAAGTTAGGTATTTTTTCTATTAATTCATCAGTTAAATAAATCATAAAAGGCGCTAAACATCTAAGTGTGGTGTTTAAAACTACTGATAGCGTATGCGCATGGGCGTAACCAAGTTTAGGATTTTTGTCCTCAAACCCAGCTTTTGTAGTTTCCAAATAAAAATCACAGAATTGATTATAGGTAAAAAGTCTCAAAGCCTTAGTAGCTAAGTGGAAATCGTAATTTTCCATAGAGGTGTTAACGGTTTTAACCATACTGGCCAGTTTACTAAGTATCCACCTATCAAAGACTGTGAGATCATCAGTCGTAATTTTACCATCAATTTTCTTCAGTTTGGTATAAGCCAGTCCCGTGTAATTTACACTTTGCCAAATTTTATTGCAAAACAGTTTGTTAGCATTACACATAGCCACATCGAAATTAATGAAATGTGATTTTATATCATGTGAAAGCAAAGTAAATCTTAGAGCATCAGCACCGCAACGAGGAATACCATTAGTATTTGAAAAATTTGCCTCATGATAATCTAATGCTTTAGACAATTCATCTTCGCTTAAAAGTCCATTCGCATACATTTTTTTACTTTTACTGTTCATTTCTTCTAGTTTAATACCATTTATAACATCCACAGGATCAATCACGTTCCCTTTGCTCTTAGACATTTTGGCTCCTTTGCTATCACATATTAAACCATGTAAAAGAACTTCATTGAATGGTAATTTGTCAGTGAGCGCCAAACCTAATATCACCATCCTATGCACCCAAAAGCCTAAGATATCATGAGCCGTAGCCATTAAACTGAGTGGATAGAATTGCTTAAAGTCTTTGTTTTCGTTGCTATGAGGCCAACCTAATACAGCAAAAGGGTAAACTGCAGACGAAAACCAAGTATCAAGAACGTCTGTATCCTTTTCTGTTTCGACGTCTTCGGGAAGACATCTCAACAATTTAGCACCTTGTGTTCTAGCATCAGCTTTCTCGGTTGCAGGTATCCATACCACATTTTGATCATTGGTGCATTTGTATGCGGGAATTTGGTGTCCCCACCATAACTGTCGTGAAATACACCAATCTCTATTATCACCCGTCCAGTCCAACCAATTTTTAACAAACTTGTCAGGTATAAGTTTTAAGTGTCCTCCCTTTACTAACATAGCAGCCTTTTCATTCAAACTTTTGCTAGTCAAAAACCATTGTTCCTTTGGCAAATAGTCTATAACATCACCAGTACGGTTGCATATCGGTAATGTCATTTGGTGTGGCGTTACTCCTTTCAATAGTTTCATGTCATTCAATTTTTGAACTATTTCTTCACGACAGGTGTATTTTTTCATATCATCGAAAATTTCAGTGTTTTTCATAAGTCCATCTTCGTCAATTACTTCAATTAGAGGTAAATTATGACGCTTGCTTATTTCATAATCAACTTTGCTATGGGCGGGTGTGATTTTAACGGCTCCTGAGCCTAACTTCATGTCAACAAACGCATCAAAGATTATCGGTATCAACGTATCTCGGAACGGATGCACTGCTTTCTTACCTCTTAGATGGGAGTATCTGGAATAGACGACATTTTACGTCATGATATATGGTTGATACAAGCTAAGAGCCCCGCCACACTTGCTGAAATTTTGCAAAGTAACTCTAATATGTAAATTCATGGAAAATAAAAATCATACAGAATTATTTCGGCAAGTATGTGAGGCCCTTTAAAACTAAATATCTGTTTCAAGCTAAGGAACATACGCACACGCGTTAATATGATACGGCTAGAGAGAGACTACAGAAATAAATTAAGATAAAACTCTTTTAAATTATTTTACTTGCTTTTTCCGAGTGCCACCGACATCAATCCACACTTCAAAATAAAAGTTTTAATAGTAACTTATGTTACCTATGTTTTTTACTTTTTCACATCTTGCAGTACTACCTTGATTTATTTCTGTGTAAAAAAATATTGAGTACCTATCAAAATTTCAGCATACTACAGAATAAAAATATATCAATTTAAATGATTTGCATTGAGACAAAATTGAAGAAAAACGTGTTTTTGAATGTATTTCAGAATATCTTCTTTATAAATATTTATTGCAACTACAGTAGCAGCATTAGTATTTTTACAGGGAGTGAGAAGGCTGATCGTGTCAAAAGGTTTAGAAAGTTCTCGAAGCAAGATCACGTGGCACTGAATTATAATTACATTTATGCAACTTGCATTTTTTTCTTTTATTTCGCTATCTAATCTAAAAAAGGGAGAACCATACAAATAATATTTCAAAATTTGCATTTATCGGGTCTTTCTTTCGTTTCAGTCCTAAATTATTTAACTGACTTCTTTGTGCTTGTAATAAATCGTAAAAAAAGTTTAGACAAAAATTGTTGTATTTCGTATTAACATTTTAATTTTGTATTACCTGAGTCCGTTAATTAATATTTTTCTTTGCTATGTGATAGAAATTGAATTTATAACGCTTTTACTATTCTTAAGAATCAAAAAACAAATATTACTATTAAAATTAATTTTAGGAAATCAGGTGTGCGTAAAGGAGGAATATAGGAACCTGATTATTACAACCACAAATGATTGTGTGTGTCATTATATCTTATTGAAAAAAAACGACACAAAGAATAAACTTTTATACTCAGTGGGGATATTATCCCGCCCGGTTTATAATGCCCCGTGATGCTTCTTTGTCTATTAAAAGATATGCAATGCACAATACAATAATGGCAAAACGAAATAAATGGTAATTAATTTACAACAAAAAAGAAAATTACCTCGCATCTTTAGGATTTACTGCTATAGCCGTATCGCCCAACATGGTTTCAGGAGTTGTTGTAGACACTACAATTTCTTCTGTTGAATCATCTATTTTATACACCAAATTATAGAGTTGACCAAATTTCACTGGTGAATCATAACCAGGTACGTTAACATCTGTCGGTCCAGATATTTGTATGTTATCAACCTCAATATCCGATACAGTGGATTGTAAAGCATTGCACCAATTGACCAGAGCCTTTTTTCGGTAAATATACCCTTGCTTGCACAGATCAAGAAATGCTTTGTTGACAGCACGTGTGTGTGCAGGATCCATAGTAAAAGCTTGTCGTGACCAGTCCAGAGAACATCCCAAAGTTCGTAGTTGATTGAAAATAGTGTGACCATGCTTCTCTTTCCATTTCCACACTTCATCCACGAACTCTTCTCGCCCAATATCTTGTCGGTTCACCCCCTGACTTTTTAAGTGCTTTTCTACTATACCCTGAAATAAATAAAACCTTTCTTTGGTAGGTATAAAGAAGATTTATTTGACAGTGTGTAGGAGACGCCCTCACTGTCGCCCTCTCTCTAATTATTTAACTTACTTTTGTAAAAGACACAGCCTCAAGACTCTCTGTCACTCTCTCTCAATACAGATCCACTATTTATTTTATTATAAGTTTGGCCATCATAATAACTATAACTAATATATTAGAAATTAATGTAATTGATTTCTAGTCATCTAGTGTATTAAAAATGTGGGTAGCTAGCCATCTTATATTATTTACTTGCAATAGCTCTAAACTAGTAAGTTAACTGTTCCAGTCACACAAATTACATGAGTATACTGTAAGACAAATTATTTGTTATATAGGAATAATGGGCTGCTCTAAAGTGGGGGGGGCTGCCCTTGAAATTGTATTAACTGGACATCTCAAGGGATATATTATAATTATTATTACTACTACCACTATTATTATAGGCTGTAACCCCCAAAACTCATAGTAGGAAACGGTGTGACGACCGCTTGAATCACTACGCCATCCGTGCAGTCAGTTTTTGCAAAATAAATGTATCTTTATTCTGACATGAGGGGCAAGGCTTCTACTAATATTGTCATGTAAAGGTAACTCTCTGGTCAAAATACAACCTAAGCCATTGATTTGGTCTGGGTGTTTCTATGTATAATAAGTGTGTATTTACAAAAAAAAAGTATTTATGTATTTATATCAGTTGTCAAGTATCCATAGTACAAGCTCTGATTAGTTTGGGATTAGATGGCATTGTGTGAATGTGGTAAAATAAAAAATAAAATAAAAAGTGATACCACATTCTACGTATATATAGAATAAGCATATATAGAATAAGTGGTTACAAGAGCCTGAACCCTCCTTATCTCCCTAATTCTTGGGGAAAGGATTGAAAGGACGGTAACACACTTGAGACTTTGGAGATGCAGATGTCCTTGGACGGCAGTAGTCACTTACCATCAGGTGACCGGTCTGTAAACAATGTAAGTAGTCAGCTAAAACAAACCTGTGTGGCGATCCCGGCGTGGTCAATCCCTGGTAGCCAGAGCACATTGTGGCCAGTGGACCTCTTGTGCCTTGCTATAACATCTTGAACTGTACAGGCTAAGGCATGGCCTGTAAATTTTTGTAATTGTTTTTATCACGTAAAAATTGTTACGAATAGAGATTCAGTTCAAAGTTGATATGTAAGATTTTCTACTTCTAATCAGATATTCTAAGATGACTTGTGGGTATTAGCAGTTAGTGTAAACAATAATCATAAGCCAAGGCTTACGGACCTTGTGGTGTAAAATATAATCCACAAATAACTAAATCTCAAGTGTTGACCTGTATTTATGATCTTTCTAGTAACTTTCTATTATAAGATTTTTATTTGTAAAATGTTTGGGAGCGAGTTGAGGATAGGAAATACTTTACAACCCATTCTCATACCTACCTTATTTACAAATAAAAATTAATTGAAATAAGAAAAGATTGATCGAAGTGAACTGCGATAGGCTGATGGTGATGATCAAGATATTTATATATTAGATAATAATGTATAATATACAACTAGATACATAGATTGTTTGTCCTTATATCATAAAAAAGGCATGTCTTATAGTCAGCAGACTAGTGATAAACATATTAATATTTTCCTAACTACATACATATATTCATGTGATAATGCGTTACATGCATGTAAACCACCCAAATTTTTTAATGTCTAATATCCGTATTAAGGTAAGAGATTGCCGTGAGTGATAAGACCGGCAATTGTTTTGTAAATATTTGTAACTAATTTATGTGTTAACTGTATACAATAAAGATATGAATAAATAAAACATATAGTGGATAAACTGCACCCCCAGACCAGGTAATTCTAATTATCATACAATTATTTGTCCTGGGTGGGAATCGAACCCGCTACTTCTAGCACAGCAGTCAGAATCACTAGTGCAACAGGTTGGTCAATTATGTATTACACAAGCTTGCTGTATACGTTCTGAGTAAAAGTTTTGTCATTAAATTTCTGGGACCCCCCTTGGTTGCCACTCCATAAGTACACTTAAGGTGCAGGGTCTGGATACCCTCCAGATTTTATATAAAAATCAGCTAGGTAAGTGCACTTCAAAATAACAAATTTGTTTTTACATGTAGAATTTTTACAGAGAGCACCAAAGTATATGAAATGATAGGATAATTATCGCAGACCGCTCTTTAATTCTGCCATAGGTTATCAAGACATTCATAAATAAATGTTACATTCCAGACACAATTCAGGCTGTCAGATATGGAGAAAATGCTACGTTACTATTGCCTAACTAAATTAACTACGTGTGCCAGTCACCCAGCCTGTATTAAGATCATCCTGCAATGAACATACTTGCCTTTATTTTCAAAATACGTGGAATATTTCTAGGTAATTAGAAGTAGCCAAAATTCTAACCTAGATGCAGTTTGCCGGTGACGTTAGGCGGTGGCAGAATCATACTAAATCTAGGCTTTGAAGAATTATTTTCAGCCTTGAATAAATTTCTCTTATCCCATGAATCATATTTAGTTTTTTCTACATTTAGCGGGTCATAGGCTGGAGCGACTCTGTTCACGCGCTGTATTGTTACATGTGTGGTGTCCGAAACACGCCTCTGTTGGATGAGGTTTATTATTGTATTTTTTTGTACTCGCATCATCTTCAATTAATTTAGAAATCCAAGGAGAGAGGAAAAAGCTTTTCTAAAGAAACATTTAATTTTCTGTTTTGATTTTGTGTTAGAACCAAGATTAGTGTTGCCAGACATACACTGCAGTGAAAGGCAAAAAAATGTGTTGTGTGACTGTTGTGATGGCAAGTGTTTTTTTGTTTTTTTTTAGAATATTATTTATTTATTTTATTTATTAATGACTTTAAATCTCATGGTCGGTGACATTTTTATATATATTCATATACTAATAATTTAAATGTATTTAATAAATATTTACTAATAACAGAAATAACTCTAAGTTGCATAAAATATGCAACGTTGGCAACTTTGACTTAAGTCATATTTGACAACAAAAATTTAAATTTTGAATATCTATAAAAATGCGTTCCAAGTTAATGATATAGGAAAAATATTTGGAGATGGTGGATTAGACTAAGAACATCATAGAAAATTATTAGGTCCTTACATGTGAAATTAGCGTTGTGTTGTACTGACCACTTTGATCTGAAATATCTCCTCTTTAGTTAAGAATTTCAAATTAATAAATTCATTTAGCTGGTACATTTGAGTTTTGAAAACAGTCATTCATTTGTTTTTTCCTCATTATTATTTTCTTTGGCGTCACTTATTACCGCACAATGGGAAACATGACATATCGGTATATTTACGAGTACGAGTGCTGCAGAAACAGCTCGATGGTTTAATGATGTGTACGCCGCTGGTGTCGCAAAAGAAAGCACGGTACGTTTTTGGTTTCAACGTTTTCGTTCTGGAAATTTCGACCTTCAGAACCAACCCGTGGACGGCCAGAGACCAAAGTGAAAAATGAAGAATTAAAGGCTATTGTGGAAGCGGATCCATCACAAAGCACATCAGAGATAGCTGCAGGCTTCGGGGTATGTGATAAAACTGTATTAATCCACTTAAAGCATATCGGGCAAGTAAAAAACTTGAACGATGGGTACCTCATGAATTGAGTGAATCGAACTTGCAAACACACATTGACTGCTGTGTTACTTTGCTCAACCGACACAATAATGAAGGGATTTTAAATCGAATCATTACTTGTGATAAAAAGTGGATACTGTACGATAATCGAAAGCGCTCGTCACAATGGCTGAACCCTGGAAATCCACCGTAATCCTGCCCTAAACGAAAATTGACTCAGAAAAAGTTACTTGTGAGTGTTTGGTGGACTAGCGCCGGAGTCGTTAACTACAGCTTTCTCAAATCTGGCCAAACGATTTTGGCAGATATCTATTGTCATCAACTGCAAACCGTGACTACTACAAACTAGCTGCTAAACAACCGAGATTGGTCAATCGCTCTAAGCCACTGCTGCTTCACGACAACGCAAGACCACACACTGCACAACAAACAACCACTAAGTTAGATGAGCTACAATTGAAATGTCTGCGACATCCACCGTACTCCCCGGACCTTGCTCCAACAGATTACCATTTTTTTCAGGAATTTGAACCTCTTACAAGAAAAAAAATTCAACTCCGATGCGGCAGCCCAAACCGCCTTCAAAGAGTTTATTGATTCTCGCTCCCATGTTTTTTTTAGTAAAGGGAGCAATGTACTACCTATGAGATGGCAAAAGAGCATAGATGACAACGGTGCATACTTTGAGTAATTAAATATAGTTTACAAAAAAAAAATGTCTTGATATTCCACCCGTACAAAACGCCAATTTCATATTTAAGGACCTAATATAAATTCTAGTAATATTCTATAAATAATTACACAATCTAACACAATTTTGGTAAGTAAGAAAAGTACCGTCAACGAAGCCTATGAACAATATATACGTAGTTACTGCCTGGCTCTATATCCCACATTTCATTTTGCGTTAAACTTAGCGAATACTCGTTTAAACGTTAGAATCAAGATTGAACCTTGATTTTCCGACTTTTGATTTTAAGGCCTTTGCGACTCAAAATTATTAATAACAAAATAACAGATAATGTCAGTAATAACCTACTACGTTTATGCCACTCACATAAGCATTAGAGGCCGAGATGCAGAGGTCTATTTCTCTGTGTTTAACTGCTAAACTGGTATTCACCTTTCCTTCTCTCTTACTTTCTTAGCGTCTGTAATTTGCAGAAGGTAAACGAAGGATGCATGAACAGGTTAGTTCTCGTTTGATTCTTTTCGAACGTGACAAAGCCGCCGCTTTCATCACAATTTCTTATATTCTGAAGTTTAAAACAATTTTAGTCGATTGAACTTCGGTACATTTCTACTTACCTTTTCCTTTCTCTCGAGGGGGAGAGGGGGGGGGGGGGTTAGTCACTAACCATCAATTGATAAACCTCCTCTCTATGATACTAAAAGAGAAGACGTATTTGAACATTCGTAACATTCGAAGACAACAACGTATTAAATTTTTATACATAAATATCGGTATAGACTAGTATTATACCACAGCAAACACTTACAGGTTGTTGTGATCAAAATTCAAGGCTCGTATAGCAACCAGTTTACACAAAATAATTATATTTATGGAGTTAACTAATTTTACTCAATATATAAATATGTAATGACTTTTTTTATTTATTTCAAAGGTTGTATTACTTTGTTCCGTGTGGTGACGTATTAAGTATACGGAGTGTCTTAACCCGTAGGTATCATAAGAGCCGACTAAAGAAGCATACTGTGCAGGAAAACATCAGTCTAAAGAGAAGGAAAACTTGAAACAAACCCTATACCGATCCTATGTCTCGCCAGAGTGGTATAGTAGGCCAAAACCTCCTTTCTAAGGAGAGGCCTATGGCCAGCAGTGGACTTTTGATGATGATTACTTTGTACACTGATTGTGAGCTCTGTGACAGTCAGAAATTCTGGTTAAACTAGACCAACAGTGGATTTCTGTCTGCAGTCACGCAATTATTTGTCCTGGGTCTGAATCGAACCAATAACCTCCGGTTTAGTAGTCAGGGTCACTAACCACTAGCGAGACCAACTATGTTTTTAGAACTGAGGCAGTGCCGGATTAAGACTACTTGATTCCCTAAACAATCCACGCTTGGGCCACCCGCCCCCTCCTTCGGTCTTTGAAATAAGTTTTACGTATTTATTACAGCGATCATTACATACCTTAGAATAGGTATTAGGTACATAGATAAAAAGGGTTTACGAGGGCTACATTTCCGAATAAAACTGCAGTCTTGCACTTAACTGAATTGCTAATTCAACTTTTATTAGCAAACTGTTGCACAGATCAATTCCGAAATTCGATGGAAGTTTATATTTATTTGTTAGCAAATAAAAAACAGGTTTAAAGTAAAAAACGTTTTCCTTTACACAATTTTTTATTGCACTGGAAAATACGTTTGCATCAATGTCTCATAAATATGTATATTTATTGGCGAATAACAACAGAATACTATTCGTTCTACTCCAGCAGATTCAGGGCTTTCTAGAAACTTCCTTGTAACACTCAGTGCAATATTTGCTGCCAAGCGATTGGGGAACTTATACACTCCTGTGGCAATACAGGGGAAGGCGAACGAGCGAATATTGTAGTCTTTTTGAAATGAATAGCATTTTTGATAGCACGATTCCAGTTTTGATGGTGATCCATCTTGAGGGCCTACTGTGTGGATTACGTCTGAAAACAAAACAAAAATTTTTTATGAAAGAGCGGGCCTTCACCTGATGGAAAGTGATTCCCGCTGCCCATGAACGCCTGCAACTCAGGAGTCACAAGCGCGTTGCCAGCCTTTGAGGAAGGAGTACGATCTTTACTTGAACGTTTGAAGGTCGTATCGGTCTGGAAATACCACAGACGATAACTTGTTCCACAGGTTGGTAGTGCGAGGCAAAAAGTGTCCTAAAAGAGCACAGTGGTGGAGTGCCAATTACACATATTAAGCGTAATAGCTGATGCTCGGATTTTTTTATCATATAGGGGGGTATGAGAAAGGTGACCCGTGTGGTCGTTTGGTCCCCGCAAACGAGCAGATGATGGGTCTATGGATGCTTGCAACTCAAGAGCCACAGAGTGCGTTGCCGCATTTTTAACCCAACACCCCTTCAACTCTCTCCCCATCGCTTGAACTTCACTCGGTGAAAAGCAATGAAAAAATCAATAATAACAATATTTTGGACATCTGACACACAACGCCATCTGGTTTCAAACTAAGCAGAGCTTGTACTATGAAAACTTGATTGACTGATAGATTACTTAGTTATTTACTTTTTTGTAAATACGTACATATTTTATATAGGAAACACCCAAACTCCGAAAGAAATATTTGCAGATCATTCAAACATTTGATCCGACCTGGGAATCGCACCCGAGACCTTAGCACAGCAGTCGTATACGCTGCCACTGCACTACCGAGGCAGTCATGTGTAAATGCACACTTAGTTCGGAAGGACTAGTTCGCTAGGACTTCTCCTTTACGGTCTTTTGCTTACATTTCTCAATCAAGCTTTAAATGAGGTACATAGTCATGTAACATCAATAGTTGTTTTATAGAAGCACAACTTTCAGACCAAAATAGTTTTTAACTGCTTGTCATAAAGTAGTTTTTTTCAATGTACTGTTTAAGCTACACAGTACATTCCCTCAAATTAAATATATGAATTTAAAAAGCGTCTAGTATTACATTGTTAAGTTACGGCGATTAAAAAAAAAACTGACATTCCTACCTATTTGGTGTTTTTGTTAAAAAGGTTTTCCTCCTCGATGTGCGATCGCTTAGAAATTATCAAGGTCATCTACATGTTTCACATCTAGTTATGTGAAGCATGTAGAAACCTTGATAATGTCTAGAAGTTTTTTTTAGAAGGTATATTTCTGTATTTAATTCACATAGTGCAATAATAAAGAGTAATCTATCCATCAATATGTAAAGAAATTTCTTTGTACCCCTTCTTTGTGGTACGGGAGGGGCAAACGTGCAGACGGGTCACCTGACGGCAAATTCTTAGCACCCATTTTTAAACAGTAAAGTTCATGATAGCATATCATATTTGGTATAATTTATGTTTAAATGCAGAAGAAGTTAAAGTTTAAAAAATAATGTGTGCTTTATGGACAAAAAATATGTAAAGACGGTTATTTTGAAAACGGTCGAAATTCGACCGCTATCATTCACTAGTTAACACTCTATCATTCACAAAACAAATATAGAACAAACAAAAGTCTTTTGACTTAAGCGTATATCAACGTTTCCGAAGCAGTATTATTTCTTATTTATTATTATATAGTATTACGCACATTTAGCTCTCAAATTATAAGCACCAGTTATCTTGGCATCCCCAGTACGGCATCCACCAAGAGTTCTGCACTCTTCCTGCAAACAATAAAGTCAAATAAACAAATAAACCCATGTTCGCAATGATAATAAATTGATTGATCGATGAATTGAGGAAAATATTAAAAATTAGTCACCATATTAACCGCAGTATGCAGTAAATAACATTGGAACACTAATTACTCGTATTATTATTATACTTTTAATTTATTTCTTAAGACATAGTTGAACAATTTTCTTTATCGGAATGTCGCTGGAACCTATTTTTTCCAGTCGATAATAACCCGTATTTAAAGAACATTTACGAACCCTTTTTAATAGCCCTGCGATGCTGTCTTTACTTGCTTGCCTGCCTTGCTTATAAAGGAATTTGAATATAGGTAATATTTTCGCGAATGACGCCAGCTGAATCTGTGTTGTAGAATGAAGGACTTACTTCCAAAAGAGGGCCTGCAGCATCGTGTATGATAGAGTCTACTCCACCGTCATGTTTGAAAATGGAGTTGGCGGAATTTACGATAGCATCCACCTGAAAAACATTTATCTCCTTAAATTAAAAAATGTCTCCAGTAGTTTGTCTATAGTGAGTAAAACGGAGTGAGGGGTCTATGGAAGTTCCTTTCGGTTTTTACTAAATTAGCTTCAACTGAAGTGTAGGAAAAAAGTCTTGTTATACATTGTTCGGTCTCGCTCCCATCAGCTCAGAAAGTGTAACGCGCGATAAGGAACTTTGTTCCAAAAGTGTTATAAGGCTGAAGAGTTTCATTTGTATAGTTGAGCGTGGTTATCCCGGTTTTTATTTAAATCATTTGTTACATTCCGTAAGCATTGGTAGTCTCCATTGGTTACTAGTTAAGGCATTTGGAAATCGATAAAAAAGGCTAAGCTGCTTGATGCCAATTCGCGTCTAAGAACATTCGTAAACTGAATGCCCGCACCCCGCTTGCTTCACAACGACCGATGAATTCATTGTTTGTTAGGCCGTGTACGGGGAATACCCGCGTGATCCCTTTGCACATGATATTTATTTAGGTAAATGTGATAAAAAATTACCAATATCTCTATCAGTGGAAGATTTACCAGCAGGTTGAGTAGACTGATTTTAGAGGACGGCAAATTTGGCCCAATTTTTTTTTGTCTGTGCGTTGTTTGTACGTCGCACATAGGTAGATTTCGACGATTAGGCGGCAAAAAGACACTTCCAGGAATCTATCCCCACTATCCCCACCCTTGGGCCATGTGCCATGAATTATTTACAGGTAGTCGAAACTTGACCTCCGTTCCCGGTGTACGTTACAGTTCTCGACACGCTCTCTGTGCAACTTCTCTTACCTTACCTTAGTGAAAGTGATGGATTCGCATAATTCAGGTATGAATCTTTAAAACTATATATAATACTTGTGTTTTATTACAGATTTTCTTTTTTTTTTCACTTGTAAGACAAGATATTTTTTGTACAAATTTATCATTGATTTTCAATTTCTCAAGAGTTTTAACTATACTTCAGGGTCCGTCCCACCTGTTTTTTTTCTTTAACGGTATAAACAGGGTCTAAGTATTATAGTTAAAAAAAAAAATTGCCGCTAGAAACCGCAAATCTCGGCAAAATCCTTAATCAAAGGTTTTTTGTAAAAAAACAATTTTTTTTTTCTAAAGCTTCTAAAATATAGTTTTCTTTAATATTATTTAACGGGAATTAACGCGATCTCTTATTTAGGGTATTACATACCTCTGGTTTGCCTGACGTTAATTATCATGGAACGCGAAAGTTTAAAAGTTAGTATAGTTTTCTTTGTTTTAGGGTCATCAAATACCTCTGGCGTGAAGGTAGTGACGAAAAAATATTTATTTGACCTAATGCAGGGACAAAACTTACCTTCTTTTGATGCGAAATTGGATTTTTTAGAGAATTACTTGCTGGTGTGCTATGGTGATACAGAAGACAATAAAAAACTCTTAAGCATACATTTTCATACGTTAGATCGTAAATGAAACAAAGATGGTTGAAAGCACATAAAAATAAAGAGTTTTTCGAAAAAAATAATAGTTCTTCGTTAGGTGGAACCTTTGAGATTCTGATTGAAACGACTCATCGCCAGGGTTGTCCAAGTAAATCGTTTGCCGATTCGAGTGAGCGAAGCAAGAGAAGGAAAACAGGAGAAATACCTTCTTCTGTGGATCATGAAGTAATAGTCCATGCTGCGCAAGTCATTTTACAATCAGATGGAAAAAGAAATGCGTCCAAAGTCCTGAAGGACATAATCAATTCGCCAACAAAAGCCAGTCAATACAAAAAGGCTTATTCTAAGGTTGATGAAGCTATCCCTCCGTTGACCCCCTTCAAAGCACTTAAGATGTTTGTTGAGGCTGATCTCACACGTAGACAATATGAAATAATAAGAGCAACAAAAGACATTTCCCTTGTTATGACCTTTTGTTGAAAGCGAAGCAAGAGTGTTACCCGCTGAAATCGGCTTTACGGGTAACGGCTACCTGCGCGGAAATGGACCTTCAAAGCCTAATTGATCACAGCGTTACGCGCTTATCGAAATTCCTGGAAGAAGTTTTGATAACACTTAATTCTAATGAAAGACAATCATTAACTATTATATTGAAATGGGGTTGTGACGGCTCACAACAAACGCGGTATAAGCAGAAATTTACGTGAGATGTCGACTCTGATGCAAATATATTCTTGAGTTCTTTTGTTCCAATCCAAATTGTCTGTGGAGAACAGGGCAAAAAGGTTGTATGGCAGAATCCTACACCTTCGTCACCACGATTTTGCCGACCGATTAGATTTCGCTTCGTGAAAGAATCGACAAATATCACTAGAGAAGAAATAGCACATGTAGAAAATGCACAAAAGCGCCTGACCGCAACAAAAGTTGATATTAATTCTAACGAATATACGTTTCGGCATATTATGAAAATGACGATGATTGACGGCAAAGTGTGTGTATTTTATTTCGTTATTTTACATACCTCCAATTTTGATATATCTCCTCTGTAAAGAGAAACCTTCTTACAAAAATCTTTATTTAAATAAGGATTAATTTTAATTTTACTGAACTGTCTGCTGTCGTCTAGTGTACGTGGTTTTCCTCTTAAATACTTGTTTTTGGAATAGTAATCGCACCACCGGTCAATCGACTTAAGACTTACGTAGCCTTCAGAATTCATTGTATTTACACTTGCATAAATGCTTAACACATGCAAAGAAATTTCAAGCAAATTTCTTAGTTATTTAACTTTATAAAGAACTGACAATTAACGGTGCACGTAAAATTAATGTTCGTAAATCGCGGCGAAGTTATGCGCTCTTTTCGTGCCAGCTCACAGATTATAATTCTATACTATATACTTATGTTTTCAATATAAGAATGTTCTCTGTGATACTTAATTAGCGACGGATGACATCATTGCTTGGGCTGTACAAATACTTAACTTTTAATCGATTAATGTGTTGTATTCTCTTTCCGATTTTAGATTTAAAAACACGAAATACACCACGACACATAAATGATCTCGATACCAAAGTTACAAAATATAATATAAATATATTTTGTTATTGTATCACTTTCATAACACAAATTAAGAGGAATAAAAATTATTTTAAATTAAGTTCTTCGTCTAAAGAAACGCTGTTGAAATTTGACAATAGATAAACTGATGTTGCCAATAAAAGAAATTTTGCTTGTAGACGGGTTATTAAATTGCTACATGACAAGCTCTTAGCTTTTAATTCTCTTTTTGTTACGCTTTTGTTAAATATTAAATGTTAACAGGATATTAATTGATAAGTGTCTTAACACAAAGCTTGACCTACTTAAATTACTTACACGACTGTTTCTGTGACTAATTATAGGGAGTTTTCGTAAATATGCAGATAACACTATCTGTCATTCAAAAGGGTTATATTTTGATAATACGATATAAATAATGACTTTTTGTGTTATCAAAGCCTAATTAATTACCTAGTATTTATGTGACCTCTTTTTTACTCTTATCAGATTAATACTATAGTAGTTCACTATGCTGCGTCATCTATTGCTCTTGTTTTAAGGCGTAGTTTTAATCCTTGTACTATTGATATGTATATTATCTTTCTTAATCAATAATCCATTAATTATCTACCCACAATCAGTGACACTAGCATATTAAGGGTTTTTTATAAATGAGAGAAAAAAATGTCGTTAGTAAAATATTTGAATCCTTTTACCATTATTAGGGAATATATTCAAAGGCCGATCGAAGCATTTGCTGTGAAACAGTACATGGGATATAGGAAGAAGACTGATGATAGTATAACGAATGTTAAAGAGTTGGTGTACAGAATTGCTGTAATCATATTGTTTATTACGGCTATATTGTGGACATCAATATTTATGTATGTTGGATTTTATAATATTTATATGCCAAATGTTACTCATGTGAGACCGGTGCATTTTCAATTCAAGTAAGTAAGACTTTATTACATAGTCAAACTTTTTTTATTTATGTCACATCCACATCACTGACACTCATTTTTTTTAAATTTCTTGAGCTTGAGTTCTGACCTCAGTACCTACCTAAGTTTTTTTGGTGCTATAGCGTTTACCAGTGCCAATTAAAAAAAAAAGTCAGCTCTATTATTGATTTTTAAGACTCATTTTAAATGCCATAAACCAGTACCTTATGAAGTAAAGGAGTTCCTATACTAGACTTGCCATGTATTTAATATTGTATATACATATTTCAGTTGTTGTTGATTGGTGATATCTTCAAATCACATAATATAAAGGTAAAACCACTTAGGTTATCCTTAAAATTGTAATCATCAAATTATTTATCATAAAATTAAATAAATTTTAGTATTATTATTATTTATTTTTCTAACAGTCAGAGAAAGATGTTTGAGTCAAGCAAGGCAGATATTTTTATGCAGGAATTTGCTGCCCAATTAAAATCCAACTAATTTATAAGTCTACTCTATCTGTATCTTATGGTTTATCTATAAATATGGACCTAGAAAGCATGTTTAATCTCAGATAAGAAGTGACATTTCAAATCTTTTTTATAATTATATTATTAAAAGTTCTTATCTTTTGCTTACACTTTATATTAGCTTGACCTGTATATCTAAAGATGCCATAAGTATATAGGTATTTATTGCAATCTTACAACTGAATTTTAACCAATTTCAAGACATGTTTCTAACTAGATGGCGTTGTTTGTCAGATGTCCGAAAGTATTACTATTATTAACCACACAATATTTGTTCTGGGTGGGAATGGAACTCTCAACCACTGGTTTCGGTCAATATCTCTATTTAGACAAACAATTAGAGCAACAATTTTACTAACATAATTTGAAATGTCCATACTTTTGCATCTTTCTGCAATATCCAGTTAGAATTTGAGTGTTACAGAAAACCTCTGAGATAAAATCTTAGGTAGATTTGTTGACTTAATTAATTGATGGGTTAGTTGGTCTGGTAGCTAGTGATCTTGACTGCTATGTTAGCAGTAATGGGTTCGATTCCCACCCATAACAAAAAATTGTGTGATGTGCATGATTATTTGTTTTGTGTCTGAATGTAATTTATCTATGACATGTATAAGTAAGTTTATCAAGCAGTCTGGTTACCATACCAGGCTCTGTCTCACCCATTTTACACACGGCCATCTGATCCCAAAGATCAGATGGCCGTGTGTAAAATGGGTGAGGTTATTATTACCTGATATGTATAAATTAATATTGTTTTATACAAATAAATGTTACAGGCCATGTGAAGACAAATCAGGAATATGCTCATATCCATATGCATATGTTCCACTGACAAGGCAGAGTAGTATCCTGATGCCGAAACAGCCATACCGAATCAGGCTGGTCCTAGATATGCCTGAGTCACCGGTCAATAAAGACCTAGGTGAGTTACGGAAATTTGATAAGTAAATCTATCTTAATATTTAATTCTTCTGTATCTTCTTCATGTTTGTAACTTAACTCCTCCTAAACCGCTGGACCGCTGGATGAAATTTCGTCTGTATATTTCAAAGGGTTTTCTGGGTGGGTGGCGCTGCTGTCGGTATATCACCAAATTTGTCACTTTGTTTATTATTTCTAAGGCGGTATGAAGTTCGCCAGGTCAGCTAGTATATTACATAAATGTTGAGTAGGTTTGTGTCATCATCATCATCATCATCAACAGCCTTTAATAGTCCACTGCTGGACATAAGCCTCTCCTTAGAAAGGAGGTTTTGGCCTACTATACCACGCTGGCCAGACGGGTTGGTATAGGGTTTGTGTCAAGTTTTCCTTCTCTCTGCAGTGTTGTTGTTCTGCGTCGTTTTTTCCCTTAGTTGACTCTTACAACACCCACGGGATGAATAGGGGTGGTGACAATCTGTATTCTTAATCCGTCACCACACGGTAGGTTTGTGTACGCTTCAAAAACTCAAAAATTTCTGCACCGATTGACCCCTAATTTTGACACGATGTACAATCCGCTTCAAAGTTTAATTTTGTTTTTGATTTCTTATCAATGCAATCACATTGTGACGAGAAGCGAAGCGTGCAAAGTACAGCTAGTATATTTATTATAACAGAATGCTATGTGTAAAGAGGTATGTCGGAATTGAACTAACGAAATTACCAGTTCAACCTCAAACTCAAATTCTTTATTTCATAAAAAAATAAAAATTATTTGAAATCGTCTCTTGTGTAGACTAGTCATAGATCCACACACACAATAGCATCAATCTCTGTGCTAGTTCTAGTTCTAGGGACTTCCTTCCTAGGTTATACCATGTACCCTAAGAAGTCCCCAAGAAATAATAATGCTAAGTGTATTACTTGCAATCTTAAAATACATTTAAAAAAAACTTTTGAACTGCATTGGAAATTTTGCCATGAACACTGACATGACACTCTTACAAATTTCTATGACATTTCCAAAAAAATTGGCAATATTAAGTTTAAATTGAGTGGATTAAGCTATACTAATACACATAATATACAACAGCACTGCAAAGAGAAGGAAAACTTGAAACAAACCCTCTACTAACCCGTCTGGCCAGCATGGTATAGTAGGCCAAAACCTCTTTTCTAAAGAGAGGCCTATGTCCAGCAGTGGACTATTAAAGGCTGTTGATGATGCAAACACAGTACTTTTCTTCAATAAACAATATATTTATTCACTTACAAGCTAAATATTTTGAGCTAAAGAATCATCAGGCACCGAAATACACAACAACTTACATTAAAAACTCAATCAGATCACACGTTTTCCTTTTGGTAGTGAGAGCGTGTAAAGCTTTTATACAAGGAATAGTTAGTCTTGTAAAGTTCGCGTTCTTAATATCCGAAATTTCAAGGTATTTTTATGTGACCCGGACATTGTTCTCGAGTGTATAATGGCTTTGGGTATTAATTTTTGGATTTTTAAACTTAAAGATTTCATGACGTCCTATAGAGCTTTGTTTCATTTTTAATGGAGAGGGTTTTAACAAACATAGGTAGGGGGCAGCTAATTCTATAACAGCATACATGCAGCAGTGGACTAGTAAAGGAGATGATGATGTAAAGGTTTGGCTAGAGAGGCGACGTAGCAGGCCTCTCCTATCGGCGACAACGAGAGATTACTCATTTCAGCGTATAGCTACCACAATTAGAAAAGTTCGTTTCAAATTTGGGACACAGTTAGATTTACAGTCTTTAAGTGCTCGTAAGCTACTTCGATATTATACTATTTCAAGCAGACAAATCTTTTAACACATCTGTTTGAAATTTCCAGGGATGTTTATGGTGTGTATACAGATGCGAGCCAAAGGCGGATATCTAGTGTCCTCGTCTTGTCGATCAGCCATGATTAGATACAGGTAGGACTGTTTAATTATTTCACATGTGACTGTGATATTACTATAAACATAATTGCAAAAACAAAGACAAAAAAATGCCATTAAAATCAATCAAAATTCTTTTTACCAAAGATAAGAAGAAGATAAGAAGAAAATATTATTTTTAAATCTTTCGCGAGTCGAGCTCTGGCGAAATAATAAAAATAAGCCGCAGTGGTTTTGTAAATTAGTCATAGTTGAATGATTTATAAATCATATGATTTACCAGAGGTTATTGTGATTTTATTAAATCCTTACCAAGGTCACAGTAGGTGTACCGACAATTAGGTGACCCATCCGTTTCTTTGCTTCTTTATAAAAAAAATATAGATATAAGTATTAGTATGTTAACGTAATGTAATCTTTTTCTTCGTTGCCACCAGATCCTTGCTCCACAAAACAATGCGAACGTTCGTATTATCGCCGCTGTACCTTGGTGGACTGGACGAGGAGAAGCAGCAGCTCAAAGTGGAACTGTTCAGTGACTTTGAAGATGATCCGGTAAGACACCAGAAGAAAAAAAATCTTCATTTATATTTATATAAATTATTTATTTATTATGTAAAAAAAAACAATCTAAAACATATATCGTGTAAAAATTTGTGTGTTTAATCAGTGCAGAACTTTTGAGTTTTTGAAGCGAACACAAACCTAGTGTCAATTACCAATGACGGGAGTGTTCGTCTAGTAGTTAGTGACCTTGACTGCTAAGCCGGAGGTCGTTGGTGCGATTCCCACCCAGGACAAATATTGTGTGTTGAGCACGATCATTTGTTCTGTGTCTAGGTGTAATTTATCTAAAATATGTATGTATTGCAAATATTTATTTATTTATTTATCTCTTTATTGTACACCATAAGGTATTATATATATATACAGATATTAAATACATTTCGGTATAACAATAGGCGGTCTTATCGCTCACGGCGATCTCTTACAGACAACCTTTATACGGATATAGTCAAAAAAGTTAGGGTAGCCTGGGATGTACAATTACAACAAATTGAAAAAATTAATAAAAAATACTACTAAGAAACATAAGGTTACTAATACAAGTATATACGTTTACAGTATATTATATATCGAAACAGAATTTGGGTTCGATTTAAAAAGTAATGTAAAACCGTTGACCTTTATCAAGGTCAAGGCTCTACAGTCTTTATATAAGCTAAGAAGGTAATAACGATTAAATGAAACATAAAACAGTTAAGGAGTTGACTTGTTTTTAATAGTTATTTCAGTAATGTTTGGGGGGTAGGTGAAATTACGTCTGTTCGCTAAGGAATTACCATTATGAGAAGAACAGACAAGAAACTCATAAGGTTTTCTTTTTCAACAGTCAAACATTATTACAATTTCATTTACTTCAACTAGAAAAACTTAGAAAGTTAAAACTCAACATTTAAATAACTATTTTTCAACACTATTTCTTAACAAATTGACTTTAACTCAATAACTATCGAAATAATAGCAAGACACTAATTTGATTTGGAATCCGGGGAGAAATTGGACAAAGGTTCAACACTCACTTGTTTTCCCGCTCAAAATCCGTCACAGACTCCCTCTCAATAATGTTTTTCAAGCCCACCTGCCGCCACTCTGGCGGCAACGTCTACTTGCGCGTCAAAACGGAGGCAGATGGCGCTAACGTATTTTCGTAATATTAAATTTACCACAAATAACCATATTAAGAATTCCAAATCAAGCCTTAATTATTTAAACAATATTAAAAATAAGTTCTGATAGTCTAAAGCAATCAAAACATTTAAAATAGTAAAAACAACTTACATTGAAAGTACTCACAAAGACTTGCATCAAATTAACTCACCAAAATTAAAACTTCACGTTAATACAGTATTATGAATTACAATCTTGTCTAAAAATTCTAATTAGATTTTAGAGAGTGAAATTTATAATCAAAAATAATTAATAACAATAATCAATTTAATTAATTTCCGGCGCCTCCAAAACTCCGCGGCGACATATACATACAACTAATAAATTTAAATACATACAGGCAGAGTTACATAAATACACAAATTCCTCTATGATGCCAAGTAATGATTAGTGACTAGCTTTTTAAATGTTTGCAGTGACTTGGCTTGCCTAATTGCTTCCGGTAGATTATTCCACAGTCGAACTGCTTGCACTGAGAACGACTTGTCAGATTCTCTGATTCTCTGCCGATCTCAAGGACCTGCAATGTGAATTATGCAAAAACTCAAAGCGTTCTTTGAGATAAGTTGGAGTATTTACCATAGACTCTGCCCAGTTTGGGATATAATTAATTCTAAAACTGCTGGTAATTTCCAGGCGAATCCAGCCACCGATGTATACGTGGAGCTTCAGTCGCGTTACGCCCAGGTGTACTCCAGCGAGCTGCAAGTCCAGGCGCACTTTACTGGACTCAGGTGGTTCATGTTTAACTGGCCCAAAATATCAGCCATGTTTGGTAATTATTGTGTATTGATTTCTCTATATAAGTTAGACGCTGGTAAGGGTCAACATAGCTTGGGCAGCTAACTTTATGAGCACTCTTAATAAGTGTGAAGAGGAACGGGTGTTGAATATTTTTAATACAAGAGGGATGCTCCGCACAGGGGCATGATCATGTCTGGCGAACCTAGGCCCAACGGTTGTTGTTAGGAAGTTAAATATAAAATAATTGTTGAGGGAACTATTATTGCGCAATGCAGGATTAGTTGTTACGTAGTTCTGTGTGTCTTCGTTAGATGGTGTTGAAATATGTATGGCCCCATGTGGATAAAATATTATTTATTACTCATTACAACTGACGACCGGATGGCGTAGTGGTTTGTGTAACGGATTGCTATAGTAAAGGTCGCGGGTTCCCGCTCAAGTCAAACATTTGTTGTTTTTTCGGTGTTGTATGGGTGGTGGTGTTTCTATGTATAATATATATATGTCATATACAAAGGACTAGATGGCGTTGTGTAAATGTGGTAGAATATTGTATTAACTGTAAACGAAAAAAATTAAATGCCTCGATTCAAAAATCTCTTTAACGGTTAGAGCTGAGTATCTTGAATGGTTGCACAGATTAAATTAAAGCTATGAACACTTTGGATCATAAGAAAAAGCCAAAACCATTGCAATAATAAATTAGTACAGCACATGTGGAACGTATGTGTGAGTGTGTGTGCGTTCGTGAGTGCGTGCGTGCGTGTGTACGTGCGTGCATGCATGCGTGTGTTAGTATGTATATGCTCACCAAAGAGGATGTCGAGTGATCAAGGAGAAAGGAAGAAGAAAACTTACTTCACCGACCTGAAATAAATTTGGGAAAGGGTAGGAAGATGATGATGATTTCTTGATCAAGTCACTTACAAACAAAAGAAAACTAATTTATAGTGATCCGTTACGAGTTATGATTGTACAGACAGATGCACAGATCTATGGAGTGTTATTTTTGTGGAAGGGGGTTGCATACTATTTAGTATAGTCGTCATCGTAGGACTACAGTTTTCAGCTCTGTTTAAATGAAAAAAAAAACATATTCGCCATTAGAACCCCTGCAATTCGAGCAGAAATGTGCTGTGCCTATGTTTTTCCTAAGTAATATAATTCTAATTAAGTCATGTTTAATCTGTTACAGGTATTTCTACCAATTTATTCTTCGTGTCCTTTGTGTTCATACTTAGCTGGTATCACCTACAAGATGGGTTACCCGACTTTTTTAAAGTAAGTAATAAATAAATGGATATTCGCTTTATAAAAGTAATAGCTTTTGTCGATGGCTCCGCCCGCGTGTATGTCGATTATCGGTAATCAAAATATCTAAATACCAAATTTTTATTAAATCGGTTATTGATTCCCCATATAAACTTCCACCCCCCTTTTTATCCCCTTAAAGGATCATTTTTAGGATAAAAACTATCCTATGTCCTTTCGCATCAAACTATCTTAATTTCATGTAAGTCGGTTCAGCGATTTAAGCATGAAGAGGTAACAGACAGACAGACACACTTTCGCATTTACAGCTTACCTATCTTAAATCTCGTAAACATAATTATATGTTATGGAACCTGATAGTTTTTAAGTTAGTAATGTTGTGTTCTGTTTTCCAGAATAAATTTCGTCCAGCGGTGAAGACTGAAGGTGACGAAAAATTATACATTGGCAAGGTGAAGTTGGAAAGAGAAGGTGAGTTGAAGATGGTTTATGGCATAGGTGAGTATGATTTATTCACCTCTGCAGTTACACCTAGTTGAAACACACCCATTATTTCTACGACTTTAAGCTAATAATGGGTGTTAATAATTCTCTTTATTCAAGTAACTTCGACGCATACAAAATGGAATACATATAAAAACTTTCAAATAGAAGTTAAAAAAAAAAATATATATAATATAATATAATAATTTCACACATCTCACACACGGCCATCTGATCCCAAACTAGGCAGAGCCTGTACTATGGTAATCAGACTGCTGATAAACATACTAATATATTTCTAAATACATACATAATATAGATATATTACACCCAGAAACAGAACAAATGATCGTGCTCATCACACAATTATTTGTCCTGGGTGGGAATCGAATTCACGACCTCCCGCTTAGCAGTCAGGGTCACAAACTACTAGACCAACAGGCCCGTCATGACATTAATGAATCCTAGTCTTGTTCTATTTTTTTTATATTCGGAATTGGAATCTTGGAACAGTGGTTCATATAGAGTCGAGCTCACCAGAAGGCCCACTCTGCCAACTATCGATCTCACAACGTATTGTAACCGAAAATTGAATCAGTAATCTGCTAGTCTTAGAATTACTTTTTAAATACCTTTTATGATAGTTGTGAGGTCGGAAGTGGTTTGAGACCGAATTGTTATTAATTGGCATTCAGCTATCATAACCAAAATTCGATTGGTAAAGAATGCTGATTATTAGTCCCTTCCCTTTAATCACTTTAATACCAAAAGCAATGTTGTGCGCGGTATGCTAAACCTTAAATTTTTTAGATCGTAACATTTTTAGATCGATTATTATTTATTGTATAGTTGTATAGGTGTAGTGTCGTATTAGTTAGTGCTCCAGAACCTCTGTTATTTACAATGATTCTATTCGTGAAAACCTGTAATTGGCTTGATGTAGCAATCAATCTGTACATTTCATTTTTGTAGCTGTTGGTTTTCCTAACTGAAATAAATAAATAAATAAATTAGTTTTTATTGTTAAAAATCCCCAATAAAACATTGAATTGGGGTATGTTGGGGATCGCAATTAAATTCCGCAATGATTTTAGAATCGTCATACGGAATAATTATTGTCTTGTCCACAATTAGTTGTACCGAGTCAAAGTTGGTAAGTTTAAAAAATTAAACAACACAACAGTAATTTTCTTGGTGTAGAAGTTGTTTACAACAAATCAGAACCCTCCCTTCCCATCTTCCTCCAAACACACTTTGCCAGTAAGGATAAGGAAATACTAAGGATTAGAACTTGCGATCCACAGTTTACGGGTTCGAATCCCGCATAGAATACGACGAACGATAGCTAGCCTATCTATCTGCAAAATGAATCTTGATAATTTTCTTTAAGAAATTCGTACTGTGAAGTCCTAGGTTCTATTCCTGACAATAATAAATGATATTATTTCCAGACTCGGCGTTATTCGAAGAAGATACGCTTCTCAAAGAGTTCCAACAAATAGAACCGAAAGAAACGAAGAAGACTTAAACGTGATGTTATTATTATAATATAGTATATTATTTTATTATTTGCATTAAAGCGAAAGTAATGTAACCTAGCTATTCGACATTCCATTTAACGGGTTCGAATCCATTCATGACAAGGGTGGATGTGGGGGGGTCACGACCCTTGTTAGTCTGGATTTGTATCCTGCTATTTAAGTAGGTACTGAAATTGGAGCTTGTCCTGAATTAAAAACTTGATCCGCCCTTGTCTTCTGACACAAGAGAATTTAACATAGAGACTAAAAGTGCGGTAGGCGAATGTCAAGAACAAAACAAATCAATAGGCATTTTAATTTAATTTACAATGAAATAGTAATAATATTTCGGAGATCACACAACACCATCTAGTTTCAAACTAAGCAGAGCTTGTACAATGAAAGCTAGATTGACTGATAGAATACTTATATACTTTTTTTAATAAAATGGATAAAGGTCTTATTTATATTTATATATATATCAATGTTTATTGTCCATCATCAAGTTGTACATACACATTGTCAGTAATACAGAAAAGATTACTACTACTACTACATTTAATAGACTAAAAAGTACTGTAAATTTATACCACCAATGATATACCAACGATAATTTTATTGTGTATTCAAGATATACATTATATTTTGTATGTATGTATTTCGAGGACCCGACAGGGGTCCTATTCAAGGAGTAGAGAATCCCGCTGTAACGGCGTTACATTTTATTGTTGCACAAACACAATGTCTAAAAGACTTGCTAACACACAAATTTTCTCTGTTATCTTTACTCATACGGTATTGCGGTTTTCTGTGAGGCCGTGTTATCATTCCGGTTGAGCCGGCTGGATTCATAGCTAGAGTTTATCAAGAGGACGCATGCTGCTTCTTAACCTGTTACCTAACAGTTGTCTACTTAATTTGTTCTTAACTTGACACATCTCGGCTGTCTGATTTCTAACCAGGCAGAAACCTGTACTATGGTAACCAGACTGCTGATAAACATACTTAAATATTTCTAAATATACATATGATAGATGACTGTTCCAATGGCGTAGTGGTTTAAGCGGTCACCTTGCCGATTTCTACTGCGCTTAGTGTTGTGGGACAACAACCTGTTGTTCTGAGTCTGGGTGTTCTTTGTGTCTATTGAATGAATGAATTAGTAAAGTCCCCCGTCACACGGGATATATTTTTACAGCGGGAGTTGTCTTTAAAAATAATAATTACACCCAGACACAGAACAAATGATGTTTATCACACAATTATTTATTTAGCTTAGCAGTCAGACTGCTAAGCTAAATAAACAACAATAGAACAAATTATATTAAAAAAAACTAAAAAACACGCTTTTGTAACTATCCGAACTAAAAAGTGATTTAATTATTTAAGTTTGAAATTTGACTGGCATTACACTAAGATACCAGTCAAATTTCAACCTTAAATAATTAAATCATTGATAACATTAACAATTTCTATTATTTAAAAAATAATTGGATGAATTAAAGAAGAAGAAATAAGTGTTTATAAGGTAGAAATAAAATGCTGTTCTTTGTTCTGCTGCCAATTTCTAAATGCGAGCCTTTTGAGAATTATTAAAATAATTCTTGTACTTAAAAATGGCTTATAAATGAATGTTATGAAGCGAATTATTCTAGTGACTGAATACGTTAATAAAAAAATATATATTTTATTAATGTTATTTTAGTAAATATATAAAAATATTGCAAAATGCGTGATGATTTTTATAACCGTTCTTATTTAATTTATATAGGTATATTTAGATATTTTAAAACATTATTTTATGTGCAATAAACCTTACCTGGGCTCGATAGTATAAGTTATTTTTTTATTAAAGTTATTTTATCTATGTTAACACTAGTTTTTTTTACATATATAATTCACAAAAGTGATGTACAACCACAAATGCACAACAAACATGAATATAATACTATTCTGATTGACATCTACAAGATTTGAATCCTGCATGCATAGAGAGAACACGGGGTACAGCTGTCTGTAAGTGTAAGCGATACAGGCAACGAGAGTTAGTTTAGTCAGTTATTACTGCCGTCCATAGCCACCTGCAATTGCGTTGCAGCACAAGTGCGTTGTCGCCCTTTTAGTGCTTCCCCCAAAGTTAGGAGGGGGTTTATTGGGCTTCCGGTAACCACAGTCACTTTATGAGAATCATCGATGCTTAACGGTTTTCTGTGAGGCCATGTTTTGTTTTTTGAGTTTCCAACAAATATAATAAAAAACAGTATATAATGACCATTAATAATGGTCATTATATACTGCAATGTACTCACTCGATTACAGGAGACTACAGTATGCAAACTAAAATAACAACAAGCACTTACATACTAGGCACAAAAACTTGAAGCTATCAAAATAAAATAAAAAATTACATAATGACAACGTAAATAACACAAAAAAATATAATAACAGTTGATTAAAACTTTTAAGTTATTGTTATATAACAAAGACCGAGAATAATAATATTTAAACACCAAATAAATAGAGATAGGAATCAACTGTTACACAATATTTCTCTTAAGGGTTTTCTATACTTTAAATAAGATTTAGTGAGATTTACATTCATTGTCTTAGACGAGATATGACATTGCCTGCAGATTCTTGGCACAGTAGCATTATATCCAAGATTAGGTGAGAGTATATAGGCTATATGGCTTGCCTATGGTTGAAGCAAGGCCCTCCCAAGACCATAAAGGGTGTATAAATAAAAGAAAAAGTCAAATCCGAAGAATTTATTAACATGAGAATTAATAGATTGTGTCTTCATCACAATCTGTTGTTATTTACAACCATTTCCATTTACTCGTCTTTTATTTATTTATTTATTATAATTTGGCCGCATTACTTTGGCTAGGTTCTAAAAAAACTGGTCCCATTTTATGGGAACTCGATTAATATATAATTCAAGATTTTGTATGTAGATATATCTTTTAAAAACTCTTGAAAACTAAACTACTACCGATAGTATTGTCACCAACTTCACACCGCTCCTGCTTTACCGACCATGTTTAGCTTTATATAATCAAATTCTGACAACCTTTTCTTTACCGGTGTAACCAATGCTTTTACCAAAATCACTTTGGGCGAATCGAAGTAAAGATATAGCCATGAATAATTACGTTATTATTCACTTGCAGAAGTGGCGTGTAGACAGTGCATTTTTTTATAAATTCCTTATACATTTGAATTTAAATATAAGTATGTTTCATCATAATGATGATGTTTCATCACAATACATACATATGAATTTAATTAAAAATAAAATGATTATAGTAAAAACTAAAATATTGTCTTTGAAAATTCGGTATTTGTAGCACCACATACTGACAGTTCTTACAATAAAACGCTTATTTAAACGGAGCGATACAAATAACAACTCTCCCCCCCCCCCCCCCCCCAACAGAGATGAGCCTGTGATGCCCTGGGATTACTCCGGTCAAGCCTGCTGATATGTGTCGGTAAATTTCTTTTACGAATAAAAAAATGTTTTAAGGGTTAATATCGTTATTCTGAATTATTTTGACACAATGCCATTGACAACGAAACTGATAGTATGTCAGTAATGTTCTAACAGCGCATAAGTCAGGAGTGTTCTATTTACACAAAATAACTGTTCCACTGAAGGCGCTAAATTTTGTGGCTCTCCACACGAAGATGGAATTTGTTTTTGTAACAATCTGTTTAACAGTATGTTAATATATATATATTGTTTGAGCTAAAAGTAGTAGTAGTAGAGTAATTTCCAGTGGCAGTTTTGTTGTTAACACTTAAAAAAAATACTTTGAAAAAAAAAACTAAACTTGTGATTGTGCTAGTTAGCCACCTTCATTCTAAAGTAATGTGATCTTTTTTTGTAGAATGGTTTCAAAATTTTAAAACTGCATAAAAATAACTTTCATATTACTCCAATTGGGTCAGTTTAGTGTGCCGTTTAGCATATTATCTACTTATTTTACCTATGACATGATTACCGGCCTGTAATTTCGTTTGTATAAAATATATCTGTACGGTAAAACGGGATGAAACTCATAATATAATAATTAATTAGAACACTTGTGCGTTATAGAAGAAACGAATGCAGATATATATTATTCTTTAGTGGTTTTGTCTTGGTTGTGTCTCTCACTAAATTGGTTATTATAAAATAATTATTAAAAAAAAAACGATCCATAATTATTACATTCTTTCCAATATTACTTCCAATTCTTTTCATTACAAATCCGACATATGAACGAAACGAATTTTCTTGTTATTTAAATTCTACTACTTCCTTGACAATGTTCATTTTTCTTTTTTTTTAAGTGTGGCAACCCTGACGGTTCGTCTCGGATAATGATGGCGGCATTGCTATAAAAGGTGTACATTAGGCCAGTCACAGAGGCTTTTATGCCAAGTCCATAGGTCGACGGGCTCCTAAAAACTCTACTCACCATTAAATGATATTTTTTTATCTTTTACAATAATCTTCTAGTTTATTGAGTCTATTATTGAGTCTTTACATGAATTAATAGCATATATTTTTTCCAATTTATAAATCATTAAGTTCAGTCGTTCATAGATATAATGAAAACAAAACAGATTTTTTTAATTTTTTTTCATTCAAAATACTGTTTAAACCTAAAACAATTTCAACACCTATTGGTAATTAAAAACTATTTTAAACCCATTGTCAACATAAAATATTTGGCTCCCTAAACCAATAATTATTTTGATTACTAATTTATCCTATTTTTTTTGCTCCAAAATATAAACCTAAAACTTTCAGTCCATATATAAAAAAAAATTAGAATACTGTTCAAACCCAAAGCAAGTCCTTAAAACAAAAAAAAAACATCGAATTTTGGTTACCCGCTTCCCTTAACCAAATAAAAATTAAACCCATGAAATTTTAATATATATGGGTGTTCGGATACTCTTAAACTCACAGAACTTGCAGTCATGGCCAGTGTTGCCATTATCTTATTTGGACGATATCTTTCTCAGCTGGCAGTGGACGCGTACCGGGATAACTCTGGCAACACCATTCCAACGGCCTGGAAAAATTGTGCGATCTAACGTGAGATTGTTTACAACACCGTCCGGCTGGTCGAGCATGAGAGGCGTAGGAAGGGCGAGAGGGGAAATAGGGTATATATTATAGGGAGATAAGTGAAGATGGAAGTGGGAAAATAGTATTAAAGTCAGTGTCGAAAGGAGAGAGAGCTAGTACTGATGAAGGGAAATAATAAGAGATATATACATAAGAAGTAAAAATACTTAAGAATAACATTTATTGCATGCAAATAATTTATGAAATTTAAACAAGTAACCTTTTAACAGCGTGGTATAGTAGGCCAAAACCTCATTTCTAAGGTGAGGCCCATGCCCAGCAGTGGACTATTAAAGGCTGTTGATGTGAAACAAGTAACTTATACTTAAATCTTTTTTTATGTAGCATAGATATCGTGCACTCATTCATTTGCATTAAGTAAAAAGCTGTTATTTTAACATTACAAATACATACTCTTTATTTTATTTATTTGTATAGATAAATATAACTAGCACAAAATGATCTATTCATTATGTATAAACTATACAGGATGCTGTTTTAAATATGTCACAGGCACAAATACGAATATGAAAATGAGTTGATATGGTGCGTACCTCATTCTCAGCCCGTTCTTCATCACTCTGGTACTGAACGTCCAGCTCTGAACTGTTGACGCTATTCTCCCAATCTTCTGACGAGCCTACCGATGAAGCGTCTAGGTCCATTTCTGTTGATAAGAGTAACTCATTTAGTCTTGCATCTCTGTCAGCTCTTGTCAGTGATTGGCTATTTTATATACAAAAAATGCAGTACGCTACCACTGACAGAGGAATATACAGTTTGATCCCTCTATTTTATTTAGAGATAATAAAATAGAGGGATCAAACTGTATATTCCTCTGTCAGTGGTAGCGTACTGCATTTTGATCCACGGTTGATCCACGTAAAAAACGAAGTTTAGCCGTGTCGAAGCCACAGACAACTTAAAAAAGGTCTGAGGATGATGTTTAAAAGATCACAGGGTTAAATAGGCACACATAATAGTATATAACAAAGTACTAACCCAAGACTAGGGGTTCAGGGTGCCTGGCCTGTGGCACAGCTGGCAAACGCAGTGCGGTAGCATTGATTGCCAGGCCCTGGCCAACGTGACCGCGGCTACTGCTGGACGGCTGATGACTCAGGTCTATCATCGCCGGGTCTGGTATCGGCAGCTCCTCAGCGTAACGAACCAGCGGATGTTCCTGGGGGAGGCATCGTCTTATTATATTTAATACACTAGCAGCTTAAAGCTGATGTGTGTATATCATTACACTAGTCTTTTTAAGTGATTATCAAGTCTATTTTTTTTTTATATTCGTGGCACCACATTCTAAATTTGAACTGAATTTGTGGCAACTATTGAAGTTCTTTCTTGAAAAAGAAAAAAGAAAATTATACAATTGAGTAAATTTTCATACAAATTAAAAGTACTGTCGAATGATGACGTCATACGTGTCACGTGACTACGTATAATATGTATTAAATAATGCCGCGTATTTGTGGCCTATTTTTTAATCAAATTAAAAAAAAATGTTTTTGTTTGATTTTAGGGGAAAATAATGAATTAAATGTTACTTTAGAGGTATTATTAAGTATTAGTAAGCATTTAAAACTATTTTTGAAAAGTTGTCAACCACCGGATTTTTTCAAATAATTATGTTGAGTTTTGAACATAATTTTTTCAATTCTAAATCTGTAATTATGAAAATTGGCATACAAGTGAATAAGCGTGTAAAAATAGGATTTGTTTAAAATGCAGTAAAAATAACAACTAATAATTACACGTTTTCTAGAAAAAATAGATGCTTTATAATAATTTGAGCGCCTATCAAATCCGTCAGTTTACCGACTGAATAATTTTAAATCTAAAATATTTTTTTTTTCTTGAATTTAATAATAATATTTAGACAATATAGTATCCAAATATGGTAAAAACTGAATTTCGTTTTTTTTTTAAAACCGATATTATTCTACGATGATGACGACATATTGAGCAAATGGTGACCAAGATTTAGAAGCTTCTAGGATTTAGAATTGCAAACCGCAATTGCAATCAATATTTTACGGTGTAGGAATCTTTAGGGCGTAAACTAATGAACACACGTACATTCAGCGTCAGTGTCGGTTAGTTACTGTTGCCCTCGAACGAGCGTTAGCGATCCGAGAACGGGTGGCCGGCGCCTGCGCATCGTGCAAGGTGGCAAGTAAGGGTCGTTCGATCTTCCCACCACAACGGTAACATTTTACGTTCCCGTTGGTGTAGTCGCTGGTCATTCTGTCTGATGCAGAGTGAGTATAAACATTCTACTTACGGGATGTGACAATTCGCAGATAGGATTTAGCCTTAGATCAATCATCTCTAGCACTGACAAGAAACTTGTGTCAAACGGTTCTGGTAATAACGCTATCTGGAAACATTTGTTAAGGAGTAATTCAGTTTTTATTTTATTTTATTCAGTAGGTACAGAAACAGATGGCAGATTCACATAGTTGTTTGCTAGACAATAAATCTGCAGTCCAATTACACACAAAAATAGCGGGAAGACAGATGAAGTAACAATTTTTTTTTTGGTTGATCAAATTTATTAGAAAAAGAATGTGAAAATAGCTAAATTATACTCTATATACAGGGTGTAAGGGATGGTGTAACGAATACTGGGAGAGGCATATTTTGGCACAAATAGTCCGGATCGTGATACCACAGCCTCACAGAAAACTGCTAATCAATTCTTTTGTTGCTTTTCACAGGGAGAGTGACGTAACCGAAGTAACAACACACCTGCCCCTCTCCCCGATCCCTTATCATTACATATTATCCATCTGTTCGTTTGCCTCCTATACAAAATATGTTATATACCTAATTTGGACACTTTAAATATTAATATCTCTATTACGATGCAATATTTACAATTATAATGCAAATTCCTGATATTAAAATAAACACTAATAATTATTACTAAATGTTTCTTTTTTTATTTAGTAATTTCCTATGGCAAGTAAGTTACTTAATATGATGTCCAAATATTTTAAGAATTGTACCAAATTAATTACATTATTACAACAATTTATAAAGAGTTTAGGGTAAATTAAGTTCCTACCTGATTATTATTGAGTTGCAAGAACATAAGGTCTGGGCATTTAAGGACAGATGACGGAAAGTCCCGAATTTGATTATTTCTTAAGTTACAGTGGACAAGTGCTTCCATTTTGTCCATGGAGTCCGGCAATGTCTCTATGCAGTTGTTCTCGAGAGTCAACCATCTGGAATTTACAATTTAATGGTTACTTTTAAAATAAAGTAGTGTTAGAATATAATAGGGCTTAAACTATGAAAGTGCCGTTGTATAGTAATAGATACTTTGAATTGTCATAAACCTTCATAGTGTGAGATTTTCGTGTGAAACTTTTTTCACATGATACCTATGAGGTTCTTCTTTTGAAAAATGTGCAACATTCGATTTTCTACTTTCAATTGTATTTTTTATTCAGCTTAGACGTGACAGGTGGATAATTCGAAGATCCGAGTCATTATGAGTTCCGACGTGGAACTAACACAGCAGAAACGGCTCGCAATATCAACGCTGCGTTTGGAGAGACGTCTGCTAATGAACGCACCGTGCTTTTTTGGTTTAAACGCTTTCGTAATGGAAACTTCGACTTGAAGAAAAAGTCACGTGGAAGACCGCCCAGGCGAATAACGGTGAATTGAAGGAGATGGTGGAATCCGATCCGAGTCAAACTAGACTAGAATGAGCAGCATAGTTTAAAATTACCCTACCTACAATATTGACTCATTTGCATGAAATCAATAAAATAACAAGATATGAAAAATGGGTGCCTCATGGTTTGACTGATCTGGAGAAAGAAATGCGTGTTGAAACTTTTGTTGCCTCATTGAATCGGTAAAGAAATGAAGGGATATTGGATCGAATTGTCACATGTGACGAAAAGTGGATTGTTCACGATAATGGTAAGAGAAAACTGCAATGGCTGACCCCAGGTCAAACGCCGCAACAGTGTCCTAAAGCTCTTATTGCACCATGATAACGCCAGACCTCACACTGCACGAGAAACCACTGTAAGTCTACAGGAGCTGTTGCTGGAGTTAGAAACCATACGTCATCCTCCGTACTCGCCAGACCTTGCTCCAAAGCAGAACTATTTTTTTCGTGATTTCAGCTCAGCAGTCACTCAGTTGCTCAGGCCTTTTGCAAAAGAATTTGCAATATTTTGATTCTACCTTTCATATTTTATAATAAATAATAATAATACAATTTAGAATAGACATTGTACTAGTTTAATGTTAGATTTAGTATCAAACTTTATATAAGAATCTAATGGCACTAAGATTTAAATCATATAAAAAATGTAAACAAGACCTTATTCTGGTTCTGCAAATAAAAATTATTTTTATTTTTTTATAAGATAAGGCATAAGGCATCTTATTCCAACTAGATATAGGCTATATACATATTTTATAATTTCAATAGGACCAAATGGGAAGTAAATAAATTAAATAATTCGACCCAAATAAATAAAAAATCAAAAGGTTCCCTGTAAGAGATTGCTTTTAGCAATAAGGCCGCCCACTGTATTATTTATCTAACATATTGCAATTAGTGTAGAATATTTTATTATTTTCTAAAAAATCGAAATTGATTCATAAATGACCAACTTCTGAGGTACCAAACCTTAAAAAAACTGAATGATAACCGCCTGCATTTTTGAAGTTGGTTGAATAACTGAGTTTATATTATTTATACTAAAAGTGGAAAAGAATTTAACAGAATATGATGATATAATGTTATAAGGTTACCTTAGTTTTGATAATTTGGTCATCTCTTCTGGAATGGTTTTGAGCTCATTGCCTCTAGCACCAAATGTATCCAATTTCTCTAACTTTCCAATCTCTTTCGGGATCTCCCGTAACCCAATCTTGTTGCACCAAAACGCTTCAAGGTTCTCCAATTCTCCGATCTCCGGTATCAAGACATTCAGAGGATTATAACTAATATTCAAGTTCACTAAATTTTTCAAGTTACTGATCTCCGGGGGCAAACAACTTATGTTATTATAGTCTAACGTTAGTGTTGTTAGATTCACTAGCTGTGTGATATCAACTGGGATCACTTTAATTTTATTTCTATGCAAGTAAAGATGTTCAACATCAGAACAAGTGTAAAGCAAGGTCGGTATTTCTATGATTTCGAAACCATTCAAACTCAAACGGGACTTCTTTTTTACTATGGCCTGTTCAATAAGAGCCAATATGTGATTTTCACGAATAAATTTCAATATTGCACTCATTTTTGTACTATTTTTGATTACATTTCTATTGCGCTTTTGAATTTGTTGTGAATGTGACAGCTGTATGTATTATTTCTTATTTCCATTTGACCCTCTTGTTTTGTAAAAACAGATTTAATCTCATGGATTTGAAGCATTAGAGGGAAATAGGAATATAATGTTTAGTATTAACAGAAAGAGTAAATGTGAAAACAACTTAAAACTACATTTGCCTTACAGTATGGAACGCAACTGTCAAGTTATATAACATGGTAAACGTATTGCCATAGTATTCAAAATAAACTCTACCAAAAAACATCTTTTGTGTTTTAGATAATAAATATTCATTACATATAACGTATAGACTTCTAGACGTATAGACACTTAATTTTTTTAAAGCAAAATAGCTAATCTTTAAATATCATAAGAACTAGGAAAACTCACTTATAAAGAAACGTGACCAGTATATTGATTTTTCGTCGCAATTGTGAAAATGGCCGTGGAAATCGCCACCTTTAATAATTTAATGAAAATAAATACGAAATCTACGAGTGAGACATAGTTACCCCCTGAATATATTCTCATGACATTAATGTTTGGAATCGTATCCAATCTGCTGCAATAAAAACTCCTCAACATGTGTGCATATTTTTTTAAAGTTAATATTTTGACCGCATTAATTATACAAACTTTTATTGTGAATGCTAATGGTAAGTTAGTGATGCGTATTATTGGCATATATCTGCAGTTATCTTGGATTCTATGTACCTAATTTTAGTTATGTACAAACGCAATGAAAGAAAAAAATTACTAAATAGCTAATGATAAACATGGTCGGTTTATCTTCATCATCATCATGTTTGACTTTAAACCACTATATGTTTAATAAAGATACATTAAGAATTGAAATAATTTCAAAAACCCCATTAAGGAATAAGTTTATAGTGCCGGGAAATACCTGTGGTCACTTAACTATTGTACAGATATTGTTTTAATTAAATGTTGCAAATCCTGTCATAGCCGTTCAGACTCTTAAAGAAATTTTGAGTCAAATTTTTATTAGATTGTCTCACCAAAACAATGTTTTTGTATATTTTTTAATATATGCATATAATAGATGTATATTTTTATTTTTCTTCTCATAAGGCTCAACCCCTTGGAAATCGGCGGTTGTAGCTCGTCACAGGATAATGTATTGAATTTAATTTGCTAAATATTTGACAATACAGTTCTATGACTTTATAGTCTACATATGAGACGATTTCCATTTTTTTTATGACATAAAAATATTTTAGCTTTGGCTTTATGCGATGGTAGCGGCTTATTAATAAATCATTCAATCCGTGATGCATGTTTTTAATCTTAATCCATTACTGTATGAAGTTTTATTACTAATGTAATTTGTTTTAGCCTCCCAAAACAAGAGTTCGCATCACACCAGACGACAAAATGAAGATAGTTTTTTTAAAACACAAAAGGCACCCTCCTACAGGTCATTTCAACCGGTATCCATTAGATACCATAAATCCATCTATCCTCGCGCTGATGATAGATCAGATTATGATATAACCTCGTACGACACTGAATACGGAGGCGTGGTATCTAATTTTACGTCTTCCATTTACGACGATAATCCTCAGTTATATCCTAACCCCGAGTTTTTATCTAGGAGTAATCAGGGTAAGCTATTCCAAATAAATATAAATACCTTCTTACTCATAACAATTCGATATATTTTTTTCTTGTTTCCATTTACATAAAGTCCTTTCTACTGAAATAAAAACATCGTTTTTATTTTTGGCGCTGAACTTTGCACAGAGGTTAAAGTTCAATAAGTGAGTTTCCTTATATTTGTTACACCTAAAGTGTTTGTTAAGCAATTTCTCAGTAAGTAAACTAATAAATCATTAGCTTTATTAAGTACGATTAAATAGTAGGTGGGTATATACATGCTAATGAAAACCGCCGTTTTTAATATGATTCCTGCCATAAGCTCATTCAGGAGAATGTAGTTTTCTAAAAAAAAAAAAAAAAAAGTCATAGGTAGTAATCTCTTACTTTTATTAATTACTAGATGGTTCGATTCCCGGTCCGGGCAAAATTTTATAGGGTTTTTCTGAGAGGAAAAATAGCCTAAGTTACTCCTTATATACACTGCCTTTCCGTTTATCCGGAACAAATAGACAGACAGATAGACAGACAGACAAAAAAAAACAACTTGTTTTTAGGCATAGGTATCGTGCAAATAACCGTGTGAGCACGATTTTTTTTATTATTTTGACATTGCAAACAGACTCTTCAATTTTTTTTTGTATAGATTACAAATACAACTCATAAAAGAAAGACTATTCTTGACTTTATAGTGAATTTAATGTCGATTCCATAGTTGGATTCACCTTTACCCGAATTATGAATAATACTTTTAGAAAAAAGATTGAAAAAAATTGGTTTAGATGTCTTTATTTACTAATACGTTTTGCATTAAAAGTAAAAAGTAACATGCCCAATGCCCACCGAGTCATTGAACGAACGATTTATATAATGACAAATTTTAATTTTTGCCAGTAATAAGCAAAACTGCGGACAACAAAGTAGACACCGACATAGATTTACCAGACGACTCGCTAGCTGACGCGGATCTGAAGGAACATAACATTATAGATAGCGTTACGTACTTGTACGGATTTAATAATTGTCATGGAGTTCGCAACGAATGGATGGTATTGGTGAGTCAAACATTGCACATCTTAAGAAAAATTCATGTTAGTCAATTAACTTAAAAGTAAAGTAATTTTTTTTCGATTACTTACAAGTACATTTTGACCAAACTGCATACAACTAGAACCCTATCGCACGACGTCTGCAATGTTATCCGAATAGCAAGTTATATGAAGCCGTATTATGGGCTATATATATAGGGGAAGGGGATATATATATATATAACGACGAAAGTCTAGGTCCAGAAATATAGTCCAGATCTTAAGTAGACTGAAAACATTAGTTTACTATCTACTAACTAATGTTTCTGATGCAGATATTTATAACCAGTGGAATAGCAGTCGTGTTGCTGTTATCGGCGGTTATGTGGCTAATGTGGAGTGAGTATGCTGCTGAGTTCCGGAAAAGCAGCAAGTTATATCCAATCAATATCAACTTGTGCTGCTGTTTAGCAGCGTGCACCATTATTTACATACAGGCGGTTATGGTAAGTGTTATACGTAAACCGTGGTGGTGGAACACATAAAACCACAACCATCTTTGTACCTGCTGATAAAAAATATAATAATAAAATGCATGCATTTATAAGAACTACTATTTTGGCCCTTATATTTTATACATAAAAAGTTAACATTCCTTTGAACACAATCGCAAATCTCCTAAAGTTCCTTACCGATCGTTTTGAATTTTTACTCAATGTAGTATTCATATATTAACATGTTTAATCAGAAGATGCAGTATAAACATAAAAATCAATGTTTGTTTCCTACCTAAGTAATCAAGTCGATGGTTTTCTTTCATAGGGTGTGTCATCCCCTTCACAATGTGAGCGAATAGCCCTACTATTACACTACACTCACGTCTGTTGTGCTATGTGGATAGTGACATTAGCTGCGGCAGTAGCGGAATACTGTGCTTGTGACACTTTATTACCCCTCAAGTATAACTATTTACTTGCATACGGAGTACCAGCTATCGTGGTCATGGTAAGTGGCACGACAAATTCCTTGAATTACATAGTATCTATAAAATATTTATTTATAACTGGGATAATTAACAGCTTTGATAAATTAGCTTAACCTAGACGTTTGTATCAGTACATCAGTTACATATCCCCACGTTTAGTATATAAATATTGAATAATTAGACGGCTTCGTTGTGACTTATTTCTACTAGTTCCAGATGTACCACGTAGACTTATGAGCATTTCACTGGCCCTGCAACTCAATATAAGCTGACATGTTTGCACTCATTTGGCTCACATAATAGTGAATAAAGTGACTTACCTTTCTAAGTTAGCACGAGACAGCGATTAAATATATACCTTAAATACCCCGTGTGGTGACGGATTAAGAATACAGAGTGTCACCACCCCTATTCATCCCATGGGTGTCGTAAAAGCCGACTAAGAGAAAAAACTACGAAGAACAACAGCACTGCAAAGAGAAGGCAAACTTGACACAAACCCTATACCAACCCGGCCAGCGTGGTATGGTAGGCCAAAACCTCCTTTCTAGGAGAGGCTTATGTCCAGCAGTGGACTGTTAAAGGCTGTTGATGTGACTCTACACCTAGGTTAATAATTAACTTCTGAAAAAATATAACTGGTTTTGAAGCGTCTTTACCATGGCGTATTGCAATACAGGGATTTGTTTATTCCTTGATTTTAACCCTTAATGGTGAATTTTCTTAAAATTTGAATGATAGCCAACGGAAATTTCACCCTTTTTAATAAAAGAATATTCTAAATCGGCTTATAAAGAGTTCTAACATAATAAACGTACCTACAGTCAAATTGAAACCTCCTCTTTTGAAGTTGGTATAAATATAGGTGTTTATCGTAGTTTTTTTGGCAATTATCGTTATTAGAATAAATAAATTACTTGTGATTCTTGTTGTGACTTCTTACAGTGAGAACTTCCTATTTTTCTTTAAACTACATATATCAATAATTAACTCAGTGTGAATTTAGCGTTATTAGAACTTTGTATTATTCTATTTTACAACCCGTAAAAGCAGTATTATATTTGTTTTATTTCGCTACACATGTATTTATACATTGAGCTGTTTTAACTGATAGAAACAAGACACAGAAAGCGAACGAACATACGTTATGTATTAAAATAATTCGCGAATTTAATAAAAAAAAAACTTTCAGTTCAACTACGCTCTTTCAATGGAACACTACGAAGTAAAGCATTACTGTTGGATGTCCATTGAAAAAGGAATGGTCATGGGTTTCATGGTTCCAGCAATGATACTAATTCTAATCAACACAGCTATAATCATTCTTGGTCTCCAAAGCGTAAACAAGAAACAAGCAGAAACTCTGACTGCGAAAATACAAGAACTTGTTGATCATCATATAGCGAATTGGCCTAAACAGGATCAAACTGACGATAAAAATGGGAGTTTAGATACTTTGGACAATATTTTTACGCCTGGCAGCAGTAGAAAGAATACGGATAGTTCAGAAACTCTAGACAAAGATTATAATGTAAGTGAAGATGATTCTCATTATGTAAACTTGGCTGTACCAGAAGAAAATGGTGAAAATTGCAATGACGTAAGTGATTCATTTATCTTACCAAAATGATAGTTTACCAAATGTAAGTTACTTTAGTTGTTACCGTTATGGTAAATATTAATGAGCACTTAAGAATATTAATAAGAACTTTACACACTTATCATATTATATGGCCATGTAATGCGAAACTAGGTAGAACCTGTACTAAATAATGTACATAATATTATTTGTGAATAAATTAAAACTAGACGCACACCAGAGATTGATGAATTTTTGGTCTAATTGGAAATCGATATTTGGGCATAAGTATTTAACTTTAAACTAATGATGAATCAACCCGTCTAGCCAGCGTGGTATAGTAGGCCAAAACCTCCTTTCTAAGGAGAGGCCTATACCAAACAGTGGACTGTTATAGGCTGTTGATGATGATGATGAATCAAAAGTTTTTACTGATTTTTATTTTAGGCAAACCTAGCACAGTCAAAGATTCTTCAAGATAAAGGACTTTTGAATATGTTATACATGGACAATGTGTCATGGAAGTGGACTTTCAACACTGAAGGCAATGAGTTAAAGGTCTATTTGAACTTATGTCTGGTTCTGGAGCCATTCTTTGCGATTAACTGGGTCATGGGGGTGGTGGCAATAGAGAATGCAGCCCATTGGTCTACGCCAACAATCTATTTGATACTTGTTGTTACCATGGTAAGTTTAATACTTTATATGTTTTCATTTTGAATCAGAAAAGTCTCAAAATAATAGATAATTAAAATTCTTTTTGCTCTTGATTCAAAACACATTTTTACGATTGATCTATTTCTGTTATTTCATTTTATCTTTTGTATAACATAGAGACATTAGACAGAGATATTGTCTTTACCTTTCTAGTGAAATAGAAACAGTAAAATATTTAATATTTGTTGCCATTGCCTATTTTAACAAATAATGAATAACACGTAACGTAGATCTACATACCAAAGAATTTAATATAAAGATTCACAATTTTTTTGGCGAAATCACATAACTATTAGATAAAACTTATTTAATAGTTAAGTTTTAACATTGCTACTTTTCAGTACATTTATTTAACAACAACAATATGCACAACTCTGCCAATAGTGAAGCCAAAGAATACAGCACCATGCTGTGAGGCAGTTATAACTGAAACTACACTTCCTAGGAACAGGTGCGTAGCTTATTTTTACAGAACTAGACCTTTGCTGTTTACGAAGGTTTGATTTTTGTTATTAATATTTGGCTAAATGCAAAACTAGAATCTCTATCTACTCTGCGAGAGCTGCCTGTGTATCAATCAAATATCATGTGTGTCTATGCATTAAAGGAATTTATGATATTGTTCGAATCTGCTACTTTTTGGGAAACTTGTTCCTTATGCAAATATACCCTATGTGGTATAATAACACTTACTACTTATAAGCTTATGTAATAATTTTAGATGCCCTTCAAATGTTACAAGCTTATCTCTAACCCAAGTTGTTTTTAATTAAATTTACAGGACCACCGACAGTATTCCTTTACTGGACCCGACCATCCAACAACCGATTGTGACTCCAGCCCCTGCAGATACCATAAGTACCATCAGTATTTAAAAGGAACAACAGAAGTTATGGGTCAATTTTGCTGTCGTAAAAACGACTTTGAAAATTAATGAAAAATATTTGAATTCGACATTCACTATGTATACTATGGCTTTACTGTGTGCTACTAGTGTACCTACTAGTAAAACACAAAAGGCACTAAACATTGTGGACGGACTTTGTGCAAACCAGTTAATTGTACGTTCTTAGTGAGTGAGTGACTATAATTCACTCATTCAGATTTGAAGTATAGAAGCATTTACTCAAAGCTGAATCAATCAGTAAAACAAAATAGTTTTAATAATGCTGTGGAATTGTTGATGTTTAATAAGATTTTTGTTCATTTAAGACTGATCAAGAATAAAGCTTGATTTTAAGTCATAGATGCCTACTGACAATATTATTGGTTATTAAATTTTACATTACCAGTAAAATATTTGCATTGATTAAAACGACCTTGCATATCGGGTGAGGCGAGTTGGTGGCATGTCTCTCCATAGACTCGACGGTAACTTTTTGTCGCCTATTCCCATCAATGCTACTCCGACAAATGTGATTAAGAATGTTTATACGTTATTCACATAATTAGATTCTGCCATCGTCCCAGTAAACCGGATATGTAATTAAACCTTTCATCAATGTAATAGGTGTAGGTTTTGCCTTAATCGCCAGTTATGTTACAGGAATCTAAAATAGTATTTTGCTTAAAAACCACAAGAATACCAATGGAACAGTAATAAAAAGTTCAAGATTTATAAGTCAAGCTTTCATACCATCTTAGTAGAATGTTCGGAGTCTGGCATTTATGCGAAATTAAGGGGCACGCATTCGTTCGGGACACAATAAGACTTGACTTAAAGGTCTTAGTTACCAGGTCATTAAATTCCAAAAAAAAAAAATTTCGTTCGAGTCAGACAGTGAGCGAATGGCTGCAATGGTTTTACATTTATGACAATAATCATAAACTTAGTTTATGACAGCTATACATATACATTAAAGCTATTGCAATACCGGCAAAATACTTAATTCTTAATTTACTTGATATTTGCTAGCTATACTCATACAAATTTAAACTTTATTGTAATTACAATAATTAACATTTGGATATTGTTAGACTAAAAAAAATATTTAAGCCTATACAGTGATGCCACACAAAATATTTAGATCGAAATAATTTTCTTTCCAATGTGATTCATATTACATAATACAATTTTAATCAATATACGTTCATTTGTTAAAATTAATGTAGTCCTGTTGGTAGGAAGTTTAAGGTTGATCGATGTAACTTACTTCACACACAAGCGACCCCTATGGTCTATTAAAAATAGCTATATCAAAGATTTTTCCCGATAATATTGTTTTCATTCGTCATAGAGATTCAGCATTACAAATATGAAAGTTATAGTTACAAAGTTTAAAAATCAAGAACGCAGAAAGTGAATCCTGTGTGAAATATAAAATATGTTATAAACATGGGACACATAATTTGGGAGAGGTTCCAAAAATTATTCTTCGGTCTGCGGTATTAGGTACCAATAAGTTTAGGGTACCTACGTTAAAGGTGAAAATTCCCCTAACATTAGCTTCTAACTAATCTTAAATGAGCAATGCGCCTAATATATACATATTAAATGTACAAATATTCATAATGTTGACATCGGATTTCTGTCTTAATTAATATTTCTGTATTCTGTAGTTCTTTTTATTTGCTAGGTAGGTACTTTTGTTTTTACGCTTCTGTCTTCCTTCGCTTAAAGTTTTTATGTATGCCACATTACTGCTTTTGTATTTCGCTAAAAGTGTCATGGGGTTCATTTTACTATTTATTTTCTTAATTAGATTCAACAAGTGTCATTGTTTCAAAATCTGCTTTTACTCTTTTAAAATTATTGAAAATAATTGTGTGGAGCAAAGATCTCTTAGATTTTATATTCTATGTATAAGAACTTTTCTACCGCAAAGTTTATTAATATAGTAAGTAGAGTGTTTGAATCATTAGATGTGTTTCAAATAAGTTTTTTTGACTTCTACTAGTGGTGAGGTATATATGTTCTGTGATTGTCAATGAACTAATGTTGTCTATCGTAGATGGTACTAAAAGATTTCTAAGACTAATTTTTTTTTAAACGATATTTCAGTTGCATCTGGGCAATCAATGTTACCAAAGATAATATCAAAGTGTCGCAGATGGACCATAGAGATTTAAGCATACAGAAAACATAAGAGTGAGTTTAGCTAAACTGCTATTGACTATCGTGAAGTGGGCATGGTTTTGATCATAGAACAGGCGAGAGATTAGAAATTTCCCGCACGGAGCTCGACTAGAAAGAGATAGAGGTAACTATCTTTTATCCACCTCTCTCGTTGCCCGTATTGCAAGATTGGGGCTCTTGTTCACTCTATGCTTATATCTTTATGAGATGGACAGTCTTTCATGCCTATCTTATTATAAACTAATAACTGCCTTTCACAGAAGGATGCTTCCAAGGAGCATGCACCTATATTTATAAGATCATAAAAATAACAATCGAGGTTGCTATGGTATATTTCCTTGGAAATGAGGATATTCGTTTTCTTCGCCCTTCATCATAATTCCTATAGCAATAATATAATTAAGGTTGAAACATTCTGTTGAAAATCGATGCCACCCGACGACCACCAGCATAATATGCATACAAACAAATCGCCCCTTAAGTTCATTAAAAGCTGTCGCAAAAACAGTGACCACTAGAAAACTACTCTTAATTTAATTATATCTTAAGACTACAGTTTTACACATACCATGCAGTTCTACAGATGTTTTTAGAAAGTAGTGAGTGTGGTTTGGTATCATGTGCAAAGAGGTACCGACACGTCCTGTGGCTTCGCGTTTCAATCGAATATAGCCTTCTATATATGTAACATGTAATTATTTTAATTTTCCGAGGTGATAATACTACTACGATTGTAGTGAAGACTTCATTTTGTGATAGTTGATAGTGTGATAGCAATGTTGCCACGATGAATTTTAATAAATGTTTTAAATTATCATTCCAAAGAGATATTTTTTTATCCTAAACGAGACGTGGGCGTTGGTCACTCACAAGGGACCTCATCCCATTGTGAGTGACCACGCTCATAAGTAGGCTCAGTCATCCAAAGAGCAACGATGGCAATTTTCGGAGTTCCTTTGCGTGATCAAATCAGGAATGAGATCTCCTCATCCTCCGTAGACGGACCAAAGTCACTGACATTGCCTGGAGAATGTCAAACTGAAGGGACAGTGGGCGGGGCACATTGCTCGTAGCAATGATGGCAGATAGGGGCAAAAGGTTCTAGTGGTCTGACTACCTGGTGAAGGTTGGATGCGGACAGCGCAACACCGGTGATACTCGTGAGACCTATGTCGTCGAGCATCGTACGTCTTTTGGCTGAGAAGAAACAAATAGGTACTTATTTCAGTAGTGCCGATGATTCTAAATTCAAATGATGCTGTAACGCCATCAATGTTATCAACTTTTAAATTAGTTTTCTTTTAAAATTCTTAATCTATAACATGAATCCCAGCTATTTACCTCTATCAAAAGAGTTGTCCAGAAAAGTATTTCGTTTAGATGTCTATAATTGAATTGTTTTGATGAAAATAACGATGAATAATGTCGTTCCTGCACAATGAACTCATGCATGACGTGAAATTGCTAGATGTGTGGGTGTTTAATAAAACAACTGATGTTCTCTTATATCGAGTGTATTTCTGGATAAATCGGTTACAAAATACTTATCCATCGCCCGCCACTGTCGAGCCGCAAGCTTACATCGTTAGCAAGATGAATCTCAAACGAAACTAGCTGATCGTATAAAATCGTACATTCTTTATATTACAATCTAAGTAGTAGAAAAGCCGACCGGCGTTCGCTAACCTGTATTTTATAATAAAAAAAACCACGCGTATGCGTTGTATTTAAATTTAGTTTGAGCTTAACTTACTCTTTAATTTATAGGAAAAAAATGTATAATAATTAGTATAAATTTAAATTATTACATAGTCTCCCTAATTGCAATAGTTATAGTCCGTCGCTCGGCCGTTGATGCGATCTGTACAGTTCCGACCGTGTTACGTCCGAGGTGGACTCGGAAATCGTCTGCAAAAGCTTAAGGATTGAAACAATATATAAAAAAACCCATGCGAAACTGCGTGAGACCGCGGGCCCGGCCAATACTGACTAAAAGTGTATTTTATATGTAGTTGTCGTGGGGCCGCGGTCCACACCTCGGCCGTGGAGATAAATGCTGTCTTATTGGCGATCGGTGGCGCGAAGTTTTTCCTCGACGGCCTCTTGCGAAGCCTCCGAGAGGTCGGTCGCCTGGATGTACTTTTGTACGCCCACCAGGGACTTCTTCAGCGCGTCAAAGGAGCTGGGAAAGAGGAATTATGAATATAGCAACTCATTATTTATTACTAAAGTTTTATAGAGCAGTTGGGCATGTTGTTTAAAAATACTCAACTGTAAAAATATCTATTACTACTTTTACACAAATAATAACCAAGCTTATTCACGCTTCTCCGGCCTCGCATAAACAAACCAGCGAGGACAAGTTTTTATTTTCTTTATTGATGAAGCCCTAAAAACCAGTATTTTGTCCGTTGATCATCTATGGCTGGGAGTTACGCAACAATTTAATTATTCTATTATAATGATACTTTAAACTACTGTTGACTTTAAAGTCAACAGTTTTCTATCCAGAGATTGTAAAAATAATATTGAAATATTTTCCATATTATAATAGGTATTAATGGAATTGTTGCCAATCTTACTCTACATAACAAATTAATCATAATTTATAGATAACTAATGCAATACGTTTCCAAAGCTTCACCTTTATTACAAGATTAGTTATCAAAACGATAAGTATTATGTCTTCTATATGCCCGTGTAGAAGTTTTAATTGTTAAGTACACTAAATTTATGAATTTGCTTTAATAATTACTACAGATCGTCGGATGCTCGGAATTGTTCATAATTCCGTCCTTAAAATGTAAAATTAATTTATTTGTAAATGGTTCGAATAAAATAAAATCAGTACCTAGTTATAATTAACCTTATTTTGGAAGATATATCTCTATATATAATTTGTACTATGTGCTTTGAGATTGATGTTTGAATTAGGAATGTATTTAGTTTCTTCTGGGGAAAAATGTAATATAAGGGAAGAATTTAGGTTGTGTTGGAGGCATCTAGCAAACAATTCTTTGGTATTGCACAACTTCGGGGTGAATTGGCGGTACAGTTACAGCGCTAGTACTCGACTGAGTATTTATATATTTTATTAAATTTATGTAGGTTTATTTATCTATGTGTGTTTTTATATTGTGTATGTTTGTGTTAAATTTCATATTTTATTTTGCACCTACCGCATCATATTTCTACATCACCTGAAGGTTGACTGGGAGAGAATGCCTAATGGCATTAAGTCCGCCTTTGTACAATATGTGCATTAAGTTTAAAATAAATAAATAAATAAACTTTCCGTGTAGTGACGGATTAAGAATACGGAATGTCACTACCCCAATTCATTCCGTGGGTGTCGTAAGAGACGACTAAGGGCGCAAAACAACGCAGGACAAAAGCTCTGCAAAAAGAAGGAAAACTTGAAACAAACCCTATACCCGTCAGGCCAGCGTGGTATAGTAGGCCAAAACCTCCTTTCTAAGGAGAGGCCTATGTTCAGCAGTGGACTATTAAAGGCTGTTGATGATGATGATGAAATAAAATTTGGCTTGGCATTGACAGAGTCTGAACTTGGGGAGATAGGGCATCACCCCATTGGATGAGTTTAACTAGCACTCCCATTGTATTGGATTTGGATAATTTCTCGAAACCTTATTGGTGGTCACTATTTACGCGAATGGACTAACATCGTGTAACATAATAAGCAGACGTGTAAGAAGCAATCTATTCGTGTGACAGCTTGTTTCGATGTTTAAAAAGAATGTTAGCATAGCATATGAAATAAATAATATTCTATTCTATTCTATCTGCTGCCTCGTAAAAGCATTCCGCCTACTTCTGCATCAGTATTATTTAGCTTCAGTCTTACAGCAAGTCATTGCTGCGTTTTATTCTTAAAATGATTAATGTTTAAGCGAATTACATTGACATCTTCCACCATGCTCGTTTACAAAACGCTTCCGTAAGCAATAAACAGTTAGATAAATTCTATATATAAATTTTGTGTTCTGGCAGCGAAAGACTTCGTTTCATTATGAGATTATAACTGGAACATTAAGTTTGTAATAAATCTGGATGAAATATGATCATGTTTTGTGTGTTCGGTGGAAATATTATATGCCCCAAGGCCAGGTAGCAAAAAACGCAAGTGATTGTCTAAACATTTCGACTGGCCTGTTGGTCTAGTGGCTGATGACCCTGACTATTTAAGCCGGAGTTCGTGGGTTCGATTTCCAGGCAGTCAGTCTGGTTACTGTAGCACAGGCACTGCCTGTTAAGGACCGGGCTGCCCTGTGTGAAATGGGGAGGGCAGCCCCCATTTCACACAGGGCAGCCCGGTCCTCCGGTGTGAGATGGGGCTGCCCTTTGTGAGATGGGGCTGCCCTGTGTGAGAAGGGGCTGTCCTGTGTGAGATGTGTAAAATTATTATTTGCATGTATTAGTCCGCTCCTACTAAACATGGGTTGGACCAGAATTAGGTCGGTTAGGTTAAGTCACTGCAGATTCGTTTCCCATGCGAGACTTGCAGTAGTTGCAAAAACATAATTATTAAAATTGGTTCATTACCGATTCGATTCAAAGAGGTCTGAGGTAACAAACAATACTAAACTACAACCAAATTGAAAAGCTGCTCCTTTTTTTGTGGGAAAAGTTTTTCTCTACAATTACTGAGTTTCAACTCTCAGTTGTAATCCTTTCTTTCTTTGTTAGATTCTTTTCGCTTTTGAATATTTTTTTACCAGTAAACCAGTTTTTACCGGTGAAGCGGCGAGAAGTAAAACTAGTCATGTTTTATTTTGAATTACCTGGAGTACAACATCTTCTTCTTGACCTTGGCGGTGTCGGGGCACCATGACATAAGAAATAGCTTCTGTTTCTTGCTAGCCTCCGACGTTCCCTGGCACTGGTGCGTGTATTCGAAGTCGAAAAGACCATATCTGAAATAACATGAAATAAGAGTTTATGAAAGAAACTAGGGATTTAATTCTACTCTAATGGAATCTAATTCGGTTGAAAAATGTTTGGCACAAGACAATGGCACAGTATGTTTGTTTTTTTTAATAGCGTTTCTGGAATGAAGTATTTACGTTGAGTGTATGAATAAAACCACTTATAACTTCACTCAAAAATTATAATAATACTAGCTGACCCGGCTGGTAAAACGTTGTTTTGCCATAATTATACATTATTGTTGTACCTATCTATTTTCAATGCTAAATCATAATTAGATAGAAATAAAAATAAATGGCAAAAGAATAAAAATTTTAGGGTAATGAAAAATAGATGTTGGCGAAGCTCATACCTAGCGGATATGCACACAAAATTTCATAAAAATCGGTCCGGGTTCCGTTTCGGAAGATTTGTGTAAAAAACACCGCGGCACGAGAATTTTATAATATATTAGATGGTTTGAAGTTATATTAGATATTATTACGCATGATTAAAAAAATAATGTAAGAAATACCGACTTGAGTAATCTTGATAAATGCTCTAAGGATAGCTACTGTTGTTTTCTAAAACATCGTTAAGGCATGGCCTATTAAATGTTCATTAAAATTGTGTCATTCACTATGCAATAGCTTTCATCAATTTTCACGACCATAAATCATTGTTGTACCCCTTAACTAAATCCATAATCGCATTGTAAGGTAAATTTATCTTGCTAGCTATGTGTGATACATATCCATCCATTATAAATTACAAAATGTGTGTGTCTATCTGTCTGTTACCTCTTGACGCTTAAACCGCTGAACCGATTTAGATAAAATTTGGTATAGAAATAGCCCAAGTCCCGGGAAAGGACATAGGGTAGTTTTTATCCAATAAATCATCCCTTAAGGTGGTGAAAAGGAGGGTGGCGTTTTGTGTGGGGACCAATAACCGCTGAAAAGATTTAGATGAAATTTGGTATGGACATACATACTTTGATTCTTGAGGAAATACAGCTTTTTACCGCGATAACCGACATCCCGCAGCGGGAAAAGCTAGTTAATTAATAAAGCATTTCGAACACCGCTGACCTATTTATTACAAGCTAAACGCAGACGTAGTAAGATCATCGCCCGCCCAAGCGTAATAATATTGCTTGGATATTAGGTTACACTTACGTGAGTTTGGAATTCATATTGATGCCAAAATTATATTGAAGACGGATTATTACACCAGCATTAATGGCTTAGTGGTGGTATTAGGTCAATGAGGAACATTTGTAGTTTATATTTTTATAGAAAGGGAGAGATCCGCCATTTTGTTTTTGACACGCTTTTATTAGTTTCACTGAACTGTCGTATCGAATATAAACGTTATATGAACACATAATAGGTTGTTGTTTGGATGACAATATTTGATTTTTGACTCGTTTTAACCAACAGATGGCTAAGCGCGAGTTTAATTCACATTAACTCTAAAATCTTTACCAATCGCAATGTCGAATGAGATCGGCGTCGAGTGCGAGTTGATGTAAAATAAACTTATATTAGGCCACTAGGAAATAAGACCAAAAAAGTGATTGGATTCTACAATTCATTAAAAAAATAATTACTTTTAAATTTACTACGAATCTAATGAAAAATACTTTAATCGTCATTAAGACAGGTCTATGTAATTTATTTGCTTGTGCGTTGGTTTGCCGAAGACTTACAACACGAATAACATTTGCGGTAAGGTCATATTGTTTTTTTTGTTAATACAGCACAGTTAATTAAGACAGATATGCAGTGAATGTACCTGCACTCTCCGGTGCCACCTTTCTGCAAATCTTCGAGGAACTGGTCGTACTCAGCATTACGCTCGCCCACCGTCTCCACATCGATCTGTTTCTCATCCCGAATATAGAACACCACGTAGCGGTGTTTCTTGTCCTTCTTTATCTCTTCGTACGTCATTTTACATGCGTCCGAAACTGTCACGCCAGACGCCTGTGAAAGATACACTATATTAAATAACTCATTTTAATATTATTATTGTTTGTCAAAGGGCTTTCTGGTCTAGCCAGAAGGTCATAGGTTCGATTGCCACCCAGGACAAATAATTGTGTGGTGATCATGATCATTGGTTCTGTGTCTGGGTGTTAAATCTATAATATGCATGCATTTAAAAATATATAAGTATGTTTATCAGCAGTTGGGTTCCCATAACAGGCGTTTCCTAGTGCCGGCCGTGTGTGAGATGTGCGTGGTTATTATTATTTCAATAAAAACGCATTAGATATGCACGCAGTGGTAGGCTGTACGGAAGATGTCCTTTCCCAAACTAGGTTGGGGTCGGCTTTAAGTTCACTACGACGCGGCAAAACTTCGATTTTTTAAGACCGCCAGACCGAACGACTGCCATGAGACCTCCACAACCCGAGTTTCGATTTCGATGTTCTGAAGAAACTGTTGTCTAACTTTTAGGGAGCCAACTACTCGTAACAATTGCCGCACATGTTCGTAACCGGGACCAAAGGCATAACGTGGTCTCCGAGTCACGGAGGGGTCTCGAATGTGTTAAGAATGGTCAGTCCTCCATAGAATGATCTGGCTAGGAATGCTTAACGTTGAAATGTGCTAACTTACTCGGTTACCACTTAACCACGAGTCCCTATAAGTAAAATAAAATATATAAATATTTAAAATGTCCGTTAAAAGAAAAAAATGCTGCCACTTCCTGTACGGGTGATGATTTCCTCCCGCATGTGAACGGAACTAAACAATAGCAGGCTATTGTTACTTGTCTATTGACAAACTGGTAACTTGCTTTAAGTTGACACTACGTCATTCGAACCTCGTGCATAAACTACAAATTAGTCAACATGGGAGTTGCGTTCAAAGGAACAGAATATTTTTATTAGCTACTAGCTAACCGGCCAAACATTGTTTTTTTTATGAAAAAATATAACTCTAGCACTAGGAAATATTGCCAGTGTCGCAGGGGTCTTTACAAATATACATGAAACCGACACAAAGAATATCCAGACTCACATCAACAATTTGTGGTTCACACAAAGTGTTGTCATCATGTCCCCATGTGGGGATCGAAACCACAACACCCAGTGCAGTAAAGCGGCGAGGTGACCGCTTAAACCACTACCATCCGTGCAGTCAACATTGTTCTTCCATATAAATTATTTGGATATATGTTTATACTAAAACCGTCATAAAAAAGTGTAGGGTGGTGTAGGAGGGTGAAAAATACTTTACGACCTATCCTCATGCCTGCTAAATATAAAGAAAAACATTAAATTCGGTCAAGCCATTTCGGAGGAGTGCGACCACAAATACTGTGACACAAAATCATTACTTTTTAAGAGTGTGATTCTTTGATCCTAAGGTTGTAATAATGGTTGTAAAAGAAAGACCATAGACGATTTCTAATCTCTTGTAACTCATTTGTGTGGTGTATTATTGAGTGAGGTGAATATAACCATTATTACATATATTTTTATAAATGTATGAGAAATCATTCATTTATTTATCGAAGTCAATAATAATTAAACAGATTTGTTAAATATGCACCTGTCTGTTGTTTGTACGGTCAGTAAAGTGTGACAGAGATAAAACTATATGGAAAAGAAAACGCGATCAATATAATAATTAAAATATTAAATTATGTACCTAAACTAAGCCGAAATGCTAGTGAGTAAAATACTCCATCTTATCTGAACGTCCGGTAGGTAAATATGAGTTGTGGTAACTCGTATAAATATAATAATTTAATTTTCTGGTTTGCGTTGCTATCGGTGACGGATATCTAGTATCAATAAAAACCATTAAATAAATTAGTTTCGGTTGGTATTATTAGTTAGATAATTGAAAGCATTAATATTCATCTATGCAAATAAATAAAATAGAAGTGTCTGTAATGTCAAAATAAATGGTTTTTTCATGCTCACACGGTTATTTGCACGACACCTGTGCCTAAAAACCAGTTTAAATGTTTTGTCTGTCAGTCTGTTTGTTCCGGGTAATCTTCCAAACGGCTGGACCGATTTTGATTATATTTTACTACCAGGTAGCTGTCTATATAAGGAGTAACCAAGGCTATTATTCCTCTCAGAAAAACCTTAAAAAATTTTGCTCGGTTCGGGAATCGAACCCACTTAGGCAGCACTATTCATCGGAGCACAAATTCCACGCAAACGAAGTCGCGGGTACCAGCTAGTTCCAAATAACATTCATAAACATTTGACTGGCATGTTGGTTTAGTAGTTGTGACCCTGACAGCTAAACCAGAGGTCTTGGGTTCCATTCCCACATAGGACAAATACTGTATGATCGTGGCACGTGGAACAAGGCACATAAATTATCCCAAGACCCTTGGGATAATTTATGTGTGTGTTTTTAGAAATATAAACTACTAGATTATGCCCGCGGCTCCGCGTGTGTCGGTTATCGCGGTAAAAAGTAGCATATGTCCTTTATCAAGAATTAAACTATCTCCATACTAAATTTCATCAAAATTCGTTCAGCGGTCTAAACATAAGGAAACAGACACACTTTCGCATTTATAATATTAGTATGGATAGTATAGATGTTTACCAGCAGTGTGGTTACCATAGTGTTAGAGAACCGTGTGCATTATGTGTTTAATATTATATACGGCAGATAGTGGTGTCGAGGTCCCTATCCTAGTGGCCTGTCCAATCACAGGACGGACGGGTACCCAACCGCGGGCCTTTCGAACCACCGCAATCCGTTACCCTAGTCCCCCCCTCACCCTATCCGTTCTTTGTACCTATCTTTTTTCTTTGTTCCGACTAAAACCGATAACATTTAAAAGGAGGGTTGACGTTTGATAAGCGGCTGGACTTATAAATACTATCCAAAACTCTTTATACTGTGTTACATCTTGCTTAATATGTTACATCATAAAATCGGGAGACGGATAAAAAGATGACGATGATAAGAGTACAAAGATAATTCAAGATTGAAAATTGGACGCATTAAGTTATTTAGTCAGAAACTCGGGCCACTGCGAATTCTAGAAACCGAGTCGCGCAGGCGCCTCAGCTGTCCCCACATTTCATGTTCTATTTCAGTAACAACCAAGGTTGATGCATTCGTTCCCAATTTACATCATAAACTTCACGTAATGTTATAATTATTTGTGTTGTTTGTGTGTTGATTTAGATACAAAAGAAGAAAAAAAGCCGTGTGGTGTCGTGGGACACCCGATAGGAACGAAGTTGTAACGATCGAGTAAAACTGATTCGGCACATTTTAATTACAACGCCATCTATGAAAGCGGCTATTACCTACATATTTTTCAGTTGGTTTCTAATTAAAACAATTTATACATTGGTAAAATCTCCTTGAGAAATGATTTCCTATCTATTCGATAGATGGCGCTGAATGACTGACATAAAAAGATAGAAATGAAAATATCTGACTTGCTTTCTATAAGAGAGAGAGACAGACAGAGAAACATGCGACGCCGCACAGCTTACAATAGCTTACTATAGCAAAAAGTGTCGTGACCAATTTTCGTAAGAATTTTTTCCGTCTAGCCCCCTTTCACAACGCGCGATAAGGAACTTCGTTCCAATACGACAGCGTCGTACAAAAATTGTGAACAGATTTCGTTACACATCTTATCATCAACAGCCTTTGGTAATCCACGTCAGACGAGTCGGTCCAGGTCATGCGTAGTTTTGGTCCCTCCGTCGGCTCTTACCGACTTAAATAGGGGTGATGAGACACGGATTAAAAACACGTAATCCGTCACCATACGGACATATATTACCAGTATTTTAAAGCTGAAGGGTTTGTTTGTTTAGTTGGTTGACCGCGCTAATCTCAGGATCTACTTACTGGTTCGAATTGAAAAATTCTTATGTTTGATAGCTTATTTATTAAGGAAAGCTATAGGTTATAAATTATGCAGCGACCAATACGAGCCGAGAACTAATGAAAAATGTTGTAAAAACGAGGAAAATTTATTCCTTTAAAAAGACGCAGACGAAGTTGCGCGGGTCAGCTAGTTTTATATAAGAATCCTTTATTGCTATAAACATAAAGTCTATTATCATTTGTGATTGTAAATGTCGGAGGTTGGCCTGAGTCACCGGGAATGTTATCGAACGCTATCTGAGGTCGAAGCGGTAATGTTTTTATACATTTATATCAATGTTTAGCGTTTGTACAGGTGAAGTTATCGTGTTACGGTTCAATGAGCAATCTATGTGTTGGCTAGCAAATGGGCTCGGTATGTTCCGCCAATGTCAAGGTGATATATACATACAGCAGGAAAAATTGTATTGAATTACTAGTGCTTGATTTATTTTATTGCCACTGATACTTCTTTATCGTATCTTTCTGGATATTAAAAACCGATAACATATTCTAGAAGGAAAAGTCGTACTACTAATACATTTATTATATTTGTATATGTACAACAAAATGCGGTGTACCTTGGCAATAGTAAAAAAAATACTTATAAAAATATATAATATACTTTTTATTCATTTTTCATGTGAATTTATGTTAATGGAGAGATGTGAATGCAAATGAATTTGAAACAATAATTCGTTATTTATAAGATACTTTATTTCGGAGAAATATAGGTTTTCCATGTTTTATAGATACATTTTTCAACACTATTCGAGTAGATACTTAACCAAAATAAAAACTAGGTAAGTGGACAGATATTTTAGATAAGACAAACGAGGTATGTGTTTAAAAATATAGTGAATTCTAGGTGAGATCTGGTATCATCAATACTTTTACTGAAAAGTCCATATTGGCTTCAACTTCGGCTTTCAAATCAGAGTTTTATCGTACGTAGGTATATAAGATAAATGTATTTATACTAGCAAAACTTTCATTGAAGCTTGTCAACGTCGAAAAAAAACCCCCAACAAGATTCAGTTATTCAATGAATGCCTGCCTCAAAGGTAGTACCGATACAGAGCTGTATCATCGTTAGAGATATTCTAAAA